AAACCCCACCAAAGTATATATTTGATTTGGCAGGATTCGCTATCAAGCCATGCAGCAGTAAATTTTCCAAGTACTTCCACGTTTCTTCTCACTGTATATGGATCAGCCTTGCAAAAGATCATTAAGTCGTCAGCGAAACATATGTTAGTTAGTTTTAAACTCTTACATTGAGGGTGAAACTGAAATCTCTTATCCTCTGCTACCTCCTTCATCAATCTGGTGAGGTATTCCATTATTATGACAAAAATCAATAGAGACATTGGGTCTCCTTGTCTCAATCCTCGTCGTCCCTTGAAGAAGCCACAATTTTCACCATTTAGGTTAACCGTGAATAACGTTGTTGTGATGCATTCCATAATCAAGCCTGCAAAAAACTTAGGAAACCCAAAATATATCAATATCTCTTCTATAAATTGCCATTCAACTGAGTCGTACGCTTTCTTCAGATCAATCTTCAACAAACAACTTTTACTGATATTCTTCCTGCCATACAAACGAATCAATTCCCGTGTGAGTAAAATATTGTGCAAATGATCCTGCTCTTCATCAACAATACGTTTCATATTTCCACAAAAATCCGAGATACTCAAATCACCTTTGGAGTAGTTTCGAAAACGATCCTGCAGTTGAAGAGATCAGGACAATTTGTTGTTATGAAAGAAAGCTTCAAGGTTGTCCCAGATTTGTTTGGCAGTATAGTTATCCCCACTAACACTATCTAAGAGACTAGCATCAATAGAATTATAAATCCAAGTTTTGATTTTTGAGTCAAGAGAATATCAATCATCATCCGAATCATTTTTAGGAAGTGACAGTCCAGTGATATGATCAAAAACACGATAACTACGACAAACATCAGAGAAAATAGTGCGCCATAATTTATACTTAGGATCTTCTTCACAGAGTTTAAAATTGAACAAGTGATAAACCATGTTAACAGCATAAGTAGGATGAGGGACAAAAGAAGCACCAGAAGTGGAGGGAGGTTTAGGATCACCCATGACGATAAGTGAAAAGGGAAAAATAAATTGCTGAAATGGACTTACAGTATAACACACGTGGAGTCTGGACAGAAAGCAACAAAAGAGGGAGAGAAACGACCAGATTATGCCTTCATTCAACGGGAGTCGGCGGCTGAAGGAGGGAGAAAAGAGATAGGATCAACCATAGCTGATACCATAATACAAGATAGGGTAAAATCACTTTGGGGAAACTTGTGTTATTGCTGAATATTTATACAAATTACACAAAAGTATATACAGTTAATACACATCCGAAATTACAGTGAGAATTGGGATAAGTACAAATAAATCTAATAAATACAATATCAAGAATAATATATATTCCCTAATTTAACACCCTTGATCACTTATACTGCCCCAAACATCTGACTGCATTTTCCAACTAGAATGGAATATACCGATTTCACCCCTAGTAGCTAGTTTCATGGCACCGGATCTAGTCTAGAGAAACTCCCCTTTCGAGAACTAGCATAAACATTATTTTGGTGTCAAAGGACACTCTTGCTTCTTCATGTACTTATTTGCTTGAAATCAATTAGTATCCCTTTGAACCAAAAATGATTTTAACCAAAACTTTCCTCCCTACACATATGAACATTTGAAATGAATATCATGAATTACATATGTAACCTTTATGAATTTTTAAGTTATATTTTTACTCAATCATTTTATCAATTACATGAACATTGTTTATTGTGGTCATGAATTTTAATTTAACTCATCATAATGTGAATTTGTATTAACATAAAAAGGCTTTATCATGAACGTGTATGTTATTCAATATGAACATTGTTTATTGCTTTGTATTTATGGGATAAAGATTAATTTTATATTTGAATATTTTCATATACTTTCATGAACTTTGGTAGAATATATTATGAGTTTTCATATACTATATTTAATATAAATTGTGTGTATATCTTAATAACTAATTTTAATTTGTTCGTGATTAAATCTTATGGTGTTGAAATGATGAAGGCTATAATCGAGGAGAAGAATGAAAGTCAGATTTTGTTTATTTATTTTTTACTTTTTGTTTACCACATTTTAAGTAGTTAGATAGATTTTTCCTGAATCTTTAATTGGAACTTTTATAAGCACATGAATCTAAAAACTAGTTCACCTAAAATAGTGAACCATGGTGTACAATGTAATGACTCTTATTGGAGATCCTATCTGAAAGAGACGGGAAAAAAAAGATTTATTTTTTTAAAACGAGAAAAATAGTAAATATAGTGAAATATCATAGTGATGATTAGTGTGTAAATTTTCCATTAATAGTTTATGTGAGGATGATAATTATCTCTTAAAAAATAACTAATAAATAATTTATACATCAATAACTATAATAAAAATTTTTACGATTCAACACTTTTTCCATCATTATTTCTAATTTGAATAGAATGCGAGAAAAAAAAAAAAGGAAGTTTTACTAAATGAAGAAGCAATTGGAGGAGATTCAAGAAGTGTACTAGCTAGATAAACAAAAGTCGAGGGAAGAGGGGTATATTGGATACTTATGCCAAAAATGGATCAAAGATATGTGTGTGAATGAGGCATTGACATAATTCAAGATATGGATCAAAATAATTTCACATAATGAAATATCCCACTCATTTATCAATGCGCAAATTAATAAAGTGAACAGTAGTTAATAATATTTTGTGGCCGATTGTTTGGCATCATTCACAGCAACAAGTCTTGGTAGGATACAATGACTTGGTAGTCCACGGGTTAGCGTTCGACCATGACTTGATCATGATGTAATTGGAGTGACATATCTCCAAAATGTAGAAAATTTTGTGGCGGATTGTTTGGCATCCTTGACAGCAACAAGCCCTGGTGGAATATAATGACTTGATAGTCCATCGGTTAGCGTTCGACTATGACTTGATCATAATATAATTGGGGTAGCATACCTCTAAAATGTAGCAAGTTAGTTGCTAGGCATTACCTCTTTTGATGTACTAAAAAAAACAAAAAAATATTTTGAGACTCAATTATAATTGTCGAGACTAGTCTGTTCAATAACGGTTCTATAATAGTGACCCTCAGTTACATTGACACGGTTAACTTTGGCAAAAAAATTTGACCAACAAAGGGAATAAAATTCATACCATCTCCACTAGGCAGCTTGTCGTCTTCTTTTTACCCATGAAAAATTATACACGTTTGTACAGAACTACAAGTATTGTGGTATAGTTATGCCAACTACAGTTGAAATTTATACATGAATTGGAAGATTCTTAGAACAGTAAAAAACAAAAGCATAGTTCATCTCACACAAAACCGATGGCCGCCAATAGAAGGATTTATCATCACATATATAATATTATAACTCTAGAATTTCTCTTTCCATTTTCCAAGTGATCAGTTGGCTGCAGGCTGGCTATGTATTGAACTTTACTGATCCCTTCGTCCCCGAATAATTATTTTCTTTGAATAAAATGATAATTCAAAACAAAGAGAGTACTTCATTTCCCATTGTCCTTTACTATACAGTAATACAAACGTTCCAGAAGAAAATTGGTTGATTTACAGTTTTAATTCAACAAACAATAACTTTTTTCTTTTGAAAATTAGTGGAGAGTAATTATAACTACAAAAAAAAAAAAAAAAATACTCCCTTCCTCTCATAATTATTATTCAGTTTGAGTTTTCATTTCTAGTTCAAATTGTACTAAAAGTGAAATTTCAAACTGAACAATAATTTTGAGACAGTGGAATACATGAATGACCTCCAAATGTGGGTTAAGAAAGGTAATCACAGCTTCATATATAAAACCGCTCAAAAGACTATATATATTCTTTTATCAAAAAAAAAAAAAAAGACTATATATTCCTTTCCCTTTTGGACGGGTTTCACATTAGTTTATACATTTCCTATGGTGGCGTTGTTCAAGGTAATAAATAAACCTCTCCCCCGCTCTTTGAAAAAGTCAATCATCCCAATTGAAGGGATGAACGATTCCAATTCCTAATATTCAACTTTATCCATAGTCTTAATTTGCATCTTCTTTGTAAATCAAAATTTTACACGTAGGAGTATAAAGCAAATACCACCCGACAGCGTTAAGATCCTTTGACCTCGGATTTGATAATAATCTTATTTCTGACCGAATTATAACTCGTTGATGCATATTTAGTTACCCTAATTAACCATATCGGGTTAGGAGTTTATGATTGGAAAGTATTATTCCTGAATTTATTATTCAGTTTAAATTTAATTTTCAACTCAATTAATTTTATTAAAATTGAAAATCCGAAGTAACACAATATATTTGAGACTAAGGGCGTAATTGTTTTTCTAATCATAATATTTGGAATTCAATTCTCAATATGAACATAGCAATTCATTAAACGTAATGGGAAAAAAAAAGGTTATTGGGCTGCAATATATTTGCCTAAGCGTCAGTCCAATTCCCTTATTGACGAAGATGAAGACATGTACAATTTTCTAATTAAGAATATGCTCATTATGTCTTCACTCCACCTGCGACGTTAATTAAATGTTGAGAGATTAATTAGCCAGTTAGGCACTCAATTGAAGAAGTTGATAACTTGAAAGAGTCAGGATTAAGCGTCGGACATTTCTTTAGAAAAATAGGTTTTAGATAGAAACAAGAACTACTGTGAACGACGAATGATTAAATTAAGAAAGTTTCCAATTAGTGTCTGGTTTGTATGATATTACACGGTTATACCTTCTGAAGCGTATACTTTTTTTTGAAATGGTGAAGCTTATACTTAAACGATGCAAATTATTTTATTTTTAACCAAATCTCTCGAATTTCAACTATAACTCTTAATATGAATACAGTATGTATTTTTGACAATTCTCCCACGCACTTGGGTCATAGACTTCTAAGTATTTAACAAATCGGATATCAATATTATGGTTGACCCTCCAGCTTGGAGAAGTCACTACTATATATAGCCCTCGCTCATTGCCCATTTAGCAAGTCATTAGACACAAACCAAAAAAAAAAACACAAAATATCCCTTTTTTCTCTCTTGTTCTTTTTTCCCCTTCACTAAAATTCCCTCCTTAATTTGGTCGAAACTTAAAAAGAGCCATCTTGTTCTTTAGTTTCTGTTGTCAGTTTCATTCAATTCGATTGATCAATATTTCCAAGATTACTCATGGGGCGGCCAGTGTTGCCACTCCTCATATGTGCCTTAGTTGTCTCAGTTTTTTGTTCGTCATTCGCTTCTGCTGCGATTGTTGAGCATACATTTAACGTAATTATTTCTTCTTATACTGTACACATTCCAATCAAACATGCACATAAAATTCACAAGTTTCTTTGAGTAAATAAATATTTACATTTTGCCATTTTTCTTGCATGTTGTAGGTGGAAGATGTTATCGTGAACCGGTTATGTCGGGACAGAACGATCACAACGGTGAACGGGAGTCTACCAGGGCCAACTCTTCTGGTTCAAGAGGGTGACACCCTAATCATCCATGTTATCAACAATTCTCCTTACAACATGACCATTCATTGGTAAGTCATTTTGACTCTTTTTATTATATTTTATTTTGTAAGTCTTTTGACTTTATCAACACACTTACACAATTATAAAATACACTTGATAAAATAATTGGCTAGCTAGCTTGGTCAAGGTTACATTTACAAAGACCTAATACTTATATATATATATATATATATATATAGTTACTTGCATGCAAATGTGTGGATTTATCTAAGTTTGATTGCATTTGTCAATTTCTTAAAAAAAAAAAACTGTAATTTCATTATGTAGCTCAAATACGCGTAAGACAACGAGATTACATCTTTTTCTTTTTGTCCTGTTGACTTGGTATATACGAAACTCAGACAAAAACAATAATTTTATGCCTACTACCGCAGTGATTAATTTACGTAACGACCGTATATATAGCAGTAAAATGAAGGGAAATTCTCATCATTAATTCCTCAACTATATATTTTTGTACAATTCATATTTGATTTCAGGCATTAACTGAGTGTGCAACCCGGAAGAGGAAAAAACCCTGAATATTCAATTAATCAATGTGTTATGGTTGTGACACAGGCATGGAATAACTCAAATGAGGAGTGCATGGGCAGATGGACCAGAATACGTGACTCAGTGTCCCATAGTTCCTGGAAACAGATACACTTACAAATTCAACGTGACGGAACAGGAAGGAACCCTTTGGTGGCACGCCCACATTACTTTCGTTCGTGAAACCGTCCACGGTGCCATTGTGATTCGTCCCAGGGCCGGTCGTTCTTACCCTTTCCCAAAACCCTACAAGGAGTATCCCCTCATCTTTGGTACGTACGCCTAACACAAATTAATACTCTCTCCTTCTGTCCTGATATAATTGTCGAGTTTAAGTTTTCATTTTTAGTTGAAATTATACTAAAAATAAAATTTTAAATTGGACAAAAATTTTGAGATAAAAAAAAGTATTAAGTACCTTGATATTATTTCCATTTCAAGATTAATTAAGACAAATGAATCTTAATTATTATTAAGAAAAAATCCATTAATAATCGATTCGAATCGGATTTCAAAATGTTGCAGGAGAATGGTGGAATGCAAACATTATGGACATAAGTAATATGGCCGTAGCCGGGGTCCGCCCAAACGATTCCGACGCATACACCATCAACGGCCAGCCCGGTGACCTCTACAATTGCTCTTCTGACCGTAAGTACACCTCACTAAAATTAATTAATTTTACCTTAATTAAAACCGAGGTTAGTTTATATATAATTAATTAAAAATCCTTATAAATTACCACTTCTTAATCTTTCAGATACAACGAGATTTAGAGTGAAACAAGGAAAAACATACCTCTTTCGAATTGTGAATGCTGCATTAAATGCCCAACTATTCTTCAAGATAGCGGATCACAAGTTCACCGTCGTCGCCGTGGATGCCGCCTACGTCAACCCTTACGTGACCGACGTCGTCGTCATCGCCCCCGGTCAAACGGCCGACGTCCTCCTGAAGGCCGATCAGAAGCCTGGATTATACTACATGGCGGCGCGTCCCTACCTTAGCGGCCCCGAGGTGCCTAACAACAGCACCACAACCGCAATATTGGCTTACAAGGGAGCCCAGAAATCATCTACTCCTAAAATGCCCGTCTTGCCGATCAACGACACGGCAATCGCCTTCAAGTTCTACAACGAGCTGACCAGGCTCGTCACCTCCCGATTCTGGGCCGGAGTTCCGAGCAAAGTGGACGAGGACTATTTCGTCGCGTTCGGGGTGGGCCTGATCGCTTGCGAGAAACCGGGAACATGCCAAGGCCCATTCGGACAGACAGTGGGAGCCTTCATGAACAACGTGTCACTTGAATTGCCGACCAAGATGTCGTTGCTGGAAGCTTATGTCCAAAACGTGGATGGGGTTTTCACCACGGATTTTCCCAAACAGCCCCCTGTGGAATTAGACTATACGAGTCCAAACATCACCTTAGACCCGGCCACCTGGTTTACATCCAAATCAACCAAGATCATTAAGGTTAAGTACAATTCTACTGTCCAAATGGTGCTACAGAACCAGGTCACGTTAGCCCAGGAAAGCCACCCGATGCATCTCCACGGGACTAACTTCGTCGTATTGGCTCAAGGGTTTGGTAATTACAATGCTGCTGAAGACAGCAAGAAGTTCAATTTGGTGAATCCACAAGAGCGTAACACCATAGCCGTTCCAACTGCTGGTTGGGCCGTTATTCGGTTCCGTGCTAACAATCCAGGTAAATTTATTTACGTATATAAGTTTGCTAGTGACTGACGTGACAATCAGTTGTTATAAATGGATCGTTTAAACGGCGGATGAATTTTGCAGGGGTATGGTTTATGCACTGTCACATAGAGAAACACGTACCATGGGGTTTAGCCACGGCGATCATTGTTGAGAATGGACCCACACCTGATACTTCGCTACCTCCTCCACCCAGCGATTTTCCTAAGTGCTGATCATCATAAATTAATGACTGATGCAGTTGACTGAAGATTGAAAAGCAATTTTTTCCAAGTTCTTGGATTGTTTATATTGTATTCTTTGTTTCTTTGAAAAAATTGTGACTAGTTCCATTCCTTTGTTTTAACTACACTAGCTTGGACCACATTCATGGTTGATTCATTCATTATGTATTCCCTTTATTTATCTAACATAGTGTTGTATCTCATTTCACTATCTGTAATCTTTTGAACTATCTATTTTTTTATATTTGCTCTATTAGTACGTAGTAAGCGCTAAAGCTTCCCTACTGGATTGCCTAAAGCTTCCTTCTTTGTTGTGATATTTTCAAGTATGTCAACATTGTACTGGAGGGGAAAAAGAGAAGAGACAATTTTTTCAAAAAAAGAAAAGAAAAGAAAAGAAAAACCAAAGAACCAAGCTCAAAACTAAACCAAATTAGATTAATTAAATCAAGGTTTGACTTGGTAAATTTACATACAAAACCCTCATCGCACCCTCCTCAAAGACTAATGGCATGCATGTTATTGCTTATTTGACTTGATGATGATGATCATCGCGATTAAAGTCGTAGCTCCACTTCAATTTCATCTCCAAAACGTACGTATAAAACCCAAATTTTACATGAATATATTTAGTGACATATATACATATTGTTCTTTTTAAAGACATACACATTCTTTTAGTTGCATATAACACTAAAATGATTATTCAATTTGTATTTTCATTTTTATGATAAGTTATATTCTAAAAGTAAAACTTTAAACATGACAATCATTTTGAAGTAGAGGGAGTATGATTTTTTTTCTCTCGGATAGATCTTAGTAGAATTTTTTAAATCCTAATAATTTTCTTAAGGTAAAAACTACAATGATTGACTAACAAAAAACGTCATGGAATTCAAAGTCACCCAATAACCAATTGTCAAGAATATTTGGCACCAAACTAATCGATAACAGCTTCAACCAGAACCTCCAGAAGATAGTAATTTCTCTCATTTGAACGAGGCATTTTATGTGAACAAGTACGTTTTCCTTCTTGCGCACATTGGATCGATTCATCATGACAATCTGTTTGGAGGGGGAAAAAAAGGTCTAAATTATGTTTGTTTAATGCCTTGATATTATGATAGTACGAACGATCCTACCAGTCAACGTTAATCAAATTCTTAATTTGCGTCTTCATGCCAAAATAAAATTTTCAACATATATACTGTATTGACCCAAACAACCTGTATGGAAGACTTAATAATATGTAGTGTATTCGCCCTATTTGTTTACTTTGACTAAGAAGATAATGCGCTCTTCCCGCGTTCCAATTGTTTAAAATATAAAATCAATGTTTGTTGTATATATTCAACCTTTAGTAATAAAATATAAATATAAAAAATTTATTATAATGACTTAAGGATTTACTTAGGTTGCGCTGTCACCTGTAACCACTTATAAAAATATCAATTAAAACCAAAATGAAAACAACATTAAACTTCTATGTGACGGAAGGAGTAAGAGATAAATCTAAGATAACAAAGAAATTGTGAAGTTTAACTGACTTTACTATTATCATTGTTTTAAAAATTAATTATGTTTTGATTTAGTCACTTCTGTGAGGCAACGTTAACCCAACTAATTTCTTTGACCAAAATAAGTCAAATGAATTCCAATCAATAAACAATTTGTTTATGTAATAAAGCACAAAACCAGCTGCAGCTGGTTAATTATGATCATGTTGCAATATCGCTGCATTGACATATAATAATCATTAAAATATACCAATTTCATTTTTCAAAAGAGATTACTAACCCAAATTCAAGTGAAAGTTTAAGTATGATATTACATGTTCCCTATACAAAGGAAGAAACATTCATACTATAAATTTTTAATTATTAGTAGGCACTATGTCATAACTCATAACCTGCTACGAAGATAAATGCAACCATTCGTTTTCAAATAAACATCTAGAAACAATGGGGTTAAAAGGTAAAAGAAGAGGGGGAAAAGAGGTTATTATAACAAGTCAACGCATCAAGAATTAATGCGTCGATCCACATCGGTATAAAATGAAAGTGACAATGGACGAATTTTCTTCGATTTATGGATAAGGAAAATATAGAAAATTCCATTGTTTTGCAAGGATTAAGGTTTTGTGCTCGCTTATAGTCGGTCGTTCTCAAGCTGTTAATAACTATGCGAAGCAATTGTTGACTAAACAACACTAGCCTATTTTTCAAAGATTTCCTGAAACTCTTTTTGGTGGGCGTTTGATCAATTCTACCACGAAATCAAATCGGGCCAAAGACTTTTAAAAAATTCGACATAGATCATATGGTTTGACCTCCAAACCATTATAAATAGCCTATTGCCTTGCTCTGAATTACCAATTCATTTTAGACAAACTACAACTAAGCAAACAATCCATTTTGTTTGTCTTAGGACATATAGTTATTTATTGCTCCATTTGGTTTTAAAAAAAGAGCCTCTTGCTCTTTCTTAATTCTCTCGAGTTCTTTTGCTCTCATCATCATCATCATCAAGGATATTCATAAAAACATTTCCAACAATCATGGGGCAGCCTGTGTTGATATCTATGATGTTTGCATTAGTTTTTTCAGCTTGCTTGTCGACATTTGCTTCTGCTGCAGTTGTAGAGCACCAATTTGAAGTAATTAAACCTTGTTAACTCTAAACCAGTTCTTCCATGATGAGCAGTTAGGCTAGAATGCATATTCTCACGAAAAAAATTTTCTGGCTATTTGCATTTTTGCATTTTTTTTTTAAAGAGTCCGAGGCCGTATTCAGGATCATACTGGGAAAAAATTTTAAAAAAAAAAAAAAAAAAAATTCCTTCCTGGACTCCTGGCCTCCTGGGTGGTTGACTTAGTCCACTAATGTTGAACTTGCAACTTGTATTTTCATATTTTGCATGGTATTTTTACTTGTATAGCACGTAACTATAACGGTTTACGTGAGAAGGGGATCATTAATCATGGTTTATATCTTTGTTCTTGGCTTCCATGCAGGTGAAAGATGTGACCGTGAATCGATTATGCAAGGATCGGACGATCACTACGGTAAATGGGAATTTACCAGGGCCGACACTTCTTGTGCGAGAGGGTGACACTCTAGTTATCCATGTTACAAATAAATCTCCTTATAACATTACCCTTCACTGGTAAGTGTTTTTCTTCCAATCTTCAACATAATAATAATTTACACGCATAGAAAAGAAAGGGAAAAAAAATCTCAATGCTACAATTGTACGATATCCAAGTCAACATGTAAAATTCAGTCCACCTGTGTTGATTTATTTATCCGGCTCTTCAAAGTCAATCTTGTGGTGTAAAAGAAGAAAACACTACACTATAAAAGCTGTACGTAGTTGAACGGTATCTTATTTGGGGTAAGAAATAAATAAAATTACTGTAGTGGGAGATCAATCGATTGAAATTTTATTTTTAAATTTATTGACTTAGTAAACGATTTTCTGACATGATAATTTTACACCATCCGACATGTTGAACTCATAACACGATAGTAAACTGCAGGAAAATCCTCACTACTGATGAGCCTTTATTCGTAGTTCAATATTGCATGTTTTTTCACTTCAGATATGTAAAATCGTTTTGAATCTTTCTGCAGGCATGGGGTAACCCAATTTCTGAGCGCCTGGGCTGATGGACCTGAATATATTACTCAATGTCCTATAATCCCTGGAAATAGCTACACTTACAAGTTCAAAGTTACTAAGCAGGAGGGTACCCTTTGGTGGCACGCCCACATTTCATTTCTCCGTGAAACTGTTTATGGTGCAATTGTGATTCGTCCCAGAGCCGGTCGCACCTACCCTTTCCCAAAACCATTCGCAGAGTTTCCCATTCTTTTTGGTACGTACAAACTTACTGAAATTTTTTTTAAACCGTATTTGTACCGAAATGATTGTCCAGGTTCTGGTACTAATTAAAAGTACTTAATTTCCTCGTCTTATATGATCGATCATTGCAGGAGAATGGTGGGATGGAAACATTGTAGATATAATAGACACAGCTCTTGCCAATGGAGGTCCCCCAGTCAACTCTGCTGCATTCACCATTAATGGCCAGCCTGGCGTCCTCTACAATTGCTCGTCAAACCGTAAGTATTGTCTTTAACAAGCTACTACATAATATTCTAATACAGTATACTTTATATAGTACTAGCATCTTGATATTGTTGATGATTAGTTAGAGTTTCTGACCTTTTTAATTTTTGAATGTTATAATCAGAGACATACAGAATGAATGTGATTAGAGGAAAAACCTATCTCTTACGCATCGTCAACGCTGCAATCAATGCCCAATTATTCTTCAAGATAGCGAATCACAAGTTCACCGTGGTCGCCGTGGACGCCGCCTACACGAACCCATACGTCACGGACGTCATCGCCATCGCCCCCGGACAGTCCGTCGACGCGCTCTTGGTCGCCGATCAAAAGCCGGGCTTGTACTACATGGCAGCCCGTCCCTACACAAGCGCACCGGTGGCTACCAACAACAGCACCACCACCGCAATCTTAGCCTACGCGGGATCCCCGAGGAGATCCAAGCCTCTTCTGCCGGACCTGCCGGCGGAGCGCGACACCGCAACCGCCGCGAAATTCTACACCGATTTAACCGCCCTGGTTACGTCACCGTACTGGACCGGAGTCCCTCAGACCGTGGATGAGGACATGTTCGTCACCGTTGGGATGGGAATAATGCCTTGCGAGAAACCCGGAACCTGCAACGGCCCGTTACAACAGCGGTTCGCTTCGAGTATGAACAACGTTTCCTTCCTGCTGCCTTCCAGGATGTCTTTGCTGGAAGCTTCGGTTCGAAATGTGAGCGGGATTTACACAACTGATTTTCCCAAACAGCCACCGGTTGTGTTTGACTACACGAGTCCTAACAGTAGCTTTAACCCGGACATCATAAGGACGACCAAGTCAACAAAAATTATCAAGGTGAAGTACAATACTACGGTTCAGATGGTGTTGCAAAACCAGATCATTCTTGGACCGGAAAACCACCCGATGCATCTTCACGGGTTCAATTTCTATGTTTTGGCTCAAGGGTTCGGGAATTACGACGCTTCCAGGGACAGTAAGAATTTTAATCTGGTGAATGCACAAGAACGTAACACCGTAGCCGTGCCTTCTGCGGGATGGGCTGTTATTCGATTCAGGGCAAATAATCCAGGTGTATGGTTTATGCATTGTCACGTGGAAGCGCACGTGCCTTGGGGTTTAGCTACGGCCATCGAGGTTGAGAACGGACCGACGCCGTCCACCACTCTGCCTCCTCCTCCCGCTGATTTACCAAAATGCTGATAATTATTCTTTTTGTTTCGATATTATATATTCTTGTGACAAAAATTCATTCATTTCATATGTATGTCATAAAGGCAATATCATATGCATGTTGAAAGCATCAATAAATGCTCTTTTTCTTATAGTGTAACAATGTGATGTATCCGATTGTTTTGCTGTTTAACAGAAGTTCATTCTCTTAAAACTTCCGAGTTCATTTTATGTGCAATGTACAATGGTTTCGAATGAAGTACTATTTCTTTATATATCTATAGTATTATACTAAGAGAGAAATCAGAGAAATGAAATCAAACTTCCCCTTCTGTTGACACATAGAACAAAATCTTATGTGTCATTTTCTTATAGGTTGACACAAAAAATATCTACAAAAATACACTAATAGTCCTTTGAATTGCCAGTTAATAAATTTTTATCAATTATAAATTAAAGTATATCAATTAATTGTGTGGTTAACTTTTTATTTTGCATTCTCTAAAATGAAAAAGAAAACGGAAAGTTTTTAAAATCTCAACATTAAATAAGAATGATTTGAAAAAAATTATCCAGATTGGCTTGAATAATGGCATTAAATCTTGATTTGATCATTAAACAATATTAATGATTATTTAAAATTCGAAAATAATAAATACAAAATAATCAGTGATTTATTAATTCAACATTAAAGCTTATTGATTTGAAAAAAATTTCTGATTGGTTTGAATAATGTCATTACATATTGGTTTTATCATTAAATAATATTAATGGTTTTTTAAAATTTGAAAATAATAAATACAAAATCATCAGTGATTCTTTAATTCGACATTGAAGCTAACTGATTTGAAAAGATTTTTCGATTGGCTTGAATAATGTCATTACATATTGGTTTGATCATTAAATAATATTCATGTTTTTTTGAAATTCAAAAATAATTAATGAAATTGTGGATAATATTTTTTTAGAGATATATCATGTGTCATAATTGCATACACAGAAATCCATTCACTTTATTTCAACAAAATCAAATATACACATATGCCTAAAATCACTCCAATCGTATTAATCATATGACTAAAAATATTATATACAAAGTGTGCTTTTAAAACTTATCTGACTTGCAATCTCAGTTTACACCGGAATATTTTTCTTCTTCTTCTTCTCTCTCTTTTTTTTTTGAGGGGAGTGGGGAATTCCTTTTTTTCTGCTTTTTAATATTCATTATTTTTTTGTGTCAAAATTTTTTCGCTTCTAACTTTTGCAAGCAGTGGGCAAATATTTTTCTGCAGCAAGAATTTTCAAATGCACATCGATGTTGAGTTTCTTTGCCAATCTTAATTAATGATTTCAATGTTTGATTTTTTTTAGGACAGCCTGGCAAAATATATGATGATAATTTGTGAAAATGAAATTAGAGGGCACAATAATAGGTATACCCATTTAACTGTTAGGTATTAATATGAAACCTTTGCTTCAATTTTTTTTAAAAAAAATTATTTTACCTTATGGTGTAATTTATTTATTTGGAGGATCTTAGATAAATGAATTAGAGAATGAAAGATGGTTCTGGAGATCAGTTGTCAACGGTATGGCCTATGGTACAATTGCCTAAGTGTAGTCATATTTTTCAATTTGGCTCATGCGTCCGAAGGTGACTTCTGAATGATTTCATTGAGTTCTAATATTTTGTTCGAGATGGTACAATATCATAAGCAACAAGATTGGTCAAAGATGTCAAATTGTGAATACAAAATATATTTAACATGTGTATCGATACATATGGATCCCTTTATTTTCTTATGTAAATAAGTAGCGCATAAAAATTACTTTTATTGTAACATTATTTAATTTAGTGTTTTAAATTGTATATCAATTTACTAAAATATAAAATATTTCTTTGATTTTTATTATATTCAATTTTATATATAATTTATCTATCCCGACATCGTGCGGGTACCATCTAGTAATATATAACATAGGATACAATAATCATTGTTACAAAAGGAATTACTGTTACAAGAGAAATTTACAAGGAAAACATACATAGAATAATTCATAACCAAACTTATTTTTACGGGTTAATCAATTTAAATAAAGATTCAATCATATCATTCACTGTTAAAATTCCTTGCAAAATTTTCTAGTACGTATTATTATTCTTTTACAAATTCAATAATCTCCACTCCATTCTGAACGAGATACTTATTTTTATTCATCTAAATAATCGACTTAAAGTCTTAAAGGCTCCAAGACCGCCCTTGTATCATCTCTGCAATTCGGCCTGTACATTTGAAGTATACATAACACCAAAAATTTGAAGACCCATCTAATAATCTTTTCGACGGGGCCATCCATGTTGTTTACCGGCCCATAAACCCTCTTTAAGTGTTTAGACAAAAATGACCATAATTGCTAAAGACAACATGAATTAGTTTACTTAAACTGGAAATTTTAATTAGTTGGATGTTTTGTTGAATACGTTAGTATAGCCCAACAATAGGAAGGATCAGCCAAAAAAATTTAGAACAAGTAAATGAAAATTTTCAAGTTCTCGAACGCTTTCCTTATAGTTATATCTTGCTTGAAATTTAGATGATGATTGTTCTTCAATCTTTATTATAGAGGGAGATTCATCTCCGAGAAATGAAGACAAGGAACAGCCATAAAAGAAAAAATTCTTGCTTAAAGAGATTAAAAAAACATACAAAAAGAGAAAGCATGACAAGACTGGAAATGAAACATAAAATGCGGAGAGAAAAATAATTGATTTTGTTTTTACTGGGCAAAAATAGATTAAAAACTGAATAGGTAACTTTTAAAAATTTTGGACAATCGAATACTCTTAGTCTTAGGAAGTGTCGCATGAATGTCACAGGATGTCTATTACTCTGTTAGTCCATTTTAGGCAGTTATTGTGCGAGATCTTTTTAGTTTAGACGATCAATCCTTGTCCTAATTAGATAGATGCTAATTTCGTATGGGATTTCCTTTTATAATCTTTATTGGAGGAATGACAAAAAAACATGGAAGTAAGGTAATTCGTGCGACAAAAAAAAAGAAAAGAAAGCACCCAATAAAAGAGCTTCTTTTCCTTATCCAAGCGAGTATCAGGAGATTAACTGCGTCTTTATTCCACCCAAAATACAATCCCTAAATGGAACTGGCATTTAACCGACTTTAAGTAATTAAAGAGACTATAAATACTCAAACCTACTTGACGGTGTTCATGACAAATTCTAGTGTTAACAACAACAAATCTCTTGAATTACTTGAAGAAGGATCCTGATTCTGCCCTACATTAATTTGCTTTTGATTTAGTCTCTTTAATTAGAAGGCGTAAAGTAATGGCTCGTATGAAGCAAGCCGCTCGTAAAACCATCAGCGGAAAGAATCCAAAGAAGCAGCTTGCCACCATGGCTGCGAGGAAATATGCACCAACGGCGGACGCCGGCGTCAAAAAGCCTCACCGTTTTCGGCCCGGAACCGCCGCACTACGAGAAATCAGGAAGTATCAGAAGAGCACGGAGCTTCTGACTCCCAAGTTGCCTTTCCAGCGTCTGGTTCGTGAAATTGCCCAAGAGTGTTCAGCGACAGAGGTGAGGTTCCAAAATCACGCGGTTTTGGCTCTACAAGAAGCTGCGGAAGCCTATTTGGTGGGATTGTTTGAAGACGCAAATCTGGCTGCCATTCATGCTAAGCGGGTTACAATCATGCCTAAGGATATCCTCCTTGCCAGGCGTATTCGTAGAGAAACTAGCTTACTTAATTTTACACTTCGTTGATTGATCAATATTATATAATGCTTAGAGCATGATGCTATCGAAGTACTGTATTAGTGTTTATCTTTCATATTACAGGGTGTTCACCGTGAGCAACAGGGAGAAGTATTGTTTTTTTTTTTTGGTTACTTTTTATTATTCTAATTACAAAAAAAAAAAGAAATGTTTGGACTATTCCAACGAGATTTTGAATGGTGACAGCAATCTCCATGCATGAGAATCCATTCCACCTTAACTTGTCTAGTTGAGATATCCGAAGCAACGAAGATTACATTTATAAAGTTGAACTTTCAAAAGAAAAATGCTTGATATATGAATCATAAGCAAAAACGTTATGTTCGAAACTGTAATAGTTTGAATAGACTGATAGATTAACGAAAGAGAAGATACATTAATATGTGTAATAACAAAGTCCAAAAGATACGAAAATGTTTTTATTGAAATTACATTCTCAAATAGAATGTGACAAATGGAATATGTATATAGTATAGCACAAAAAGAACAAAAATGGTTTCCAAACAAATATTTCCCCGAACAAATTAACCCCCCAAAAAACCTATGTGTATTCACTTTCTCCTCTTTCTAACAGATGCCAATTTTGTTTCCCCGCAAGAGGCAAAATCCAGAAAGAATCAGCTGAAACGAACTATGAGCTCAACAATATTAACTCATAATTGTGAAATCAGTCAGCGACCATAAAAAAAGTACATATATGCGGAATTTAGAAATCTGAAGGGGAAGGAGCAGGGGAAGAAGCGGAGGCGATCAGATTTTCGGATCCGGCGGCAACTGGACCGGGGGCAGCGCCATTGCTCATGAGTTCGATCATCGCACGGTGGGGGTTGCTCCTTTGCTTGTCACACAGAGAGGGCAAGTACACTCCTGCAACAAAATAACGACATTTACTTCTATTTTAGTCCAACAATTTTTTTTTCCAAAAAAAAGGTACATAAAGAGATGTTATCATATATAATTACCAATCACCAAGAAATATACTACTCTTTTTTTTTTATGAATTACCAAGAAATATACTTTGATTGTTCATGAAGAAATTTAAGTTCCAAGCAAGGCATTTTATCAGATCAAGTTATCTTTATTATTCTCTTAAGTATATACGACATTCTTCTTTTTTCTAATGTTAGTTATTCTGGCATTGTGTTTTACCACGACTTTGAAGAAATTAAAAACTGAATTTCGTTGTCAAATTGTTATGCAAGGACTAAAGTCGTAACGCGTATGAAATGGTCATTGGTCAACAACTTACGCTAAGAGTGTCAACGATTAATAGTAATAAATAAAAATTCACGAATTAATCCCCCGGAAAATAAAAATTGCATGTCCAGAAAATCAGGAAAAATGAATGCAATTAATAACCTTCGCCGGCGGCCAAGTTGAAGTAAAGGTCGACGATGTTGGGGCAGTTCTGGTAGCAAGCTGGAGAGCAGAGCTTGGCGGTGAAGAGAGGTTCAAAGAAGGCGTCGGATGAGATTCCGACGGTGTTCCGGTCAACTCCGCAAGCGCTCACGCATTCGTCGGTCTCGATGTGCTCCGCCATTCTCTCCACCACCACTTCCGATGTCCGGCATTGGTACTCAACTTTTCCGTCTTTGTCTTGGTAGTTTTCCAACAAACATCTCTTCCCGGACGATGCGATCGAGAAGGAACAAACTTGTGTCGGAAGCTCCTCACATATGATCTCACCTAAATTTATTCAATAAATAATTAATTATTTGACCATGCAAAAATCGTCTTTTCTTCAAAGAAAAAATTCAAGCATATGATTTAAAACCCATTTTTAGGTTGAAAATTATTGTAAATTATCTAGCAGCATTTGTTTATTTAAGAAATCAAGGCCTTTACGGAAAGTTTTTTTAAAAAAATATATATATCATGAGGGAATGAGAAAATAAACTTTGTTTTGGAATAATATATTCATGCTCTTGAGAAATGTTTCTAAAATCTGAGGAACAACTTCCTATGCTTATCACGCGCAAGCTACAAATCAAATGAAATAAATCAATCAATTATCTTTTTTATTTTCTCGTAACAAAATAATAATCATGTTTCTAAAATTATGACGATTTTAACGACTGGACTATTACTGCAGGACTAACATGATGCAATGAGTCCCAATGTAACAAATGTTAAACATAACAGAAGATATCATAAGAGGAAAAAATTAATAAAATAAAAGAAGATATTAAAGATGATCTTGCATGCATGTTGAATTGATGAACATACCTAGAGTCCCTTGGATGAAGATGAGAGAGCAAGCCAAGATGCATAAGAACTTCATGGAAGACATGTTGCCTTTGGTCTTGAGCAATCAAAATTAATGTGTTCGTTTCTTCGTGATGAGCTCTTTTTGACGTCGGTTGGAAAATGGGATTCTTGTGGAGGAAATTCTTTGCTGGGGGAAATGAGCAAAGAATGAAATGAGAGATTTGAGAGCGTCAATGGAGGCTTGCTTCGAGTATTTATAGTGTGTGGAATGAGAAAGAGCCAACTTATAAAGCCGACGATCGATGGTCGAATGCATACGTTACCGTGTGATATGAGCAATGATCTTTTACTAGAATATTCCAAGAAATTGAATATAGCAAAAGAATATCAAAAGGAAAAAAAAAAATTATGGTCATTATAGGTTGGTGGGGAAAAAAAAACAAGGATGCTTCCTATGAACGAAGTGGGGTTCAACTTCAGTCACCGACGTTGATTAGTTCCACAATATTCATTAAGATATTTGCAAATTTGCCGAAACTTCAAATGTAGCATGCTTTATTATACGTGTGCCTATATAATAGTAATTAACTATATATAGTCTATAAACAGCTTGCTCAAATTAATTAAATTGACGCATTCAACATTTGCGAGTAGCTGTGTACATCATCATGTGATCATGTCATGGCATATTCCTTCACATCAAAACTCAAAAGCCGTCGATTATAATTTCTTTTCATCTGGAATACTATTCCCTTCCTTCTATAATAAAAATCACAAATTAAAACGATACAATAAAATGAACTATTTTCCTGTTATGAGAAGAATATATAATTTAGGTGCATAAAAAAAAATCAATTTTCAGTTCGTGGAATTGTAAATTTCCGGTCCGTTCAAACATCGTTTTCCAGGAAACCACCAACTTACTTTGAGGTGAAGAAGGCTAATTAAGCATTTCTGAGTTTCCTACGTGTTGACGAATAAACTAGGACGTGTTAGGATGTCTACTTCTTCCCCCTTTCTTTTCTATTTATATGTTCATTTATTTTTGTTAGTTTGATGTTGGACTGTTCTTGAGTAATAAGTTCCACTTTTGCGACGTGTGGAAAAATTGTGGCAAAAGTTGCGAGATAATTGTTGAGATGGAACCCTCAACGACCATGACCTTGTGAATCGTAGTAATTAGTTTGTGATATTTACGTGTCAGTGTTCTGTAATTTCTTCATGAGATTGAACTACTGTTTTTTTAATTTTAATGCTTGACTTGCCTTCCAAGTTGAGTATATATATTTGCAGCCTAAACTTTTTTAACTCTAGATATCTCCTTTTTTAACTTTTGCTTAAAATTCTAGAGTTTAGACCATGCATTTTATATAGTGTTTTCATCATTCTTCTACGTCCATTATTAAGTCAGAAGAAAAGCCAAAGTAAACTGAGAAATCAAACGTATATTTCAACTTCACTTTAATTTGTCCGCTAGCCTTGTAATCAATACTCCCTCCCGTTTAAGACATTTTGATTTGTCTAAAATTTCACTTAATACATATTTTTAAATTATAAAAAAAAAACCTTAAAAATGTTTTTGTTCTCTTGATTGTTACAAAATATTTTTAAGATTTTTCGTCAATTAAAAATATGTACTAGGTGAAATTTAGGACAAATTAAAATGACTTATATTAAGAACAGGAGGGAGTATTTTACAAGAAATTCGATAATATCTTTGAAGAAGGAATGTAGGTAATAAGTTGTTTGCCACATCTTCAAATTTCCACTCTCAATTATTTTTGTAATTAATTGTTTTGAACTCTGGAAATTTCACACTACTGCATCAGGAGGACTTCATCTCTCCTTTTACTACTTCAAAGTTCAAACTACCCTCCCAGGCCCCAACAGAACAAAAATCTCTCCACAGAGTGACATAAATTTAATTGGCAAAATAGGCAAGCTTTTTTTTTACCAACCAAGTGAAAAAACAAGAATTTAACTCAAGTTGCAACTTGAAAGAAAAAATAAATAAATAAAATAGAAAGCGAAACTAAGTCTATAACTGCCGGTTAGGCATATGAATTGATCTCGATTTTTTTATTTTTCATTTTTTTCAAAAAAAATCTTCATATTTTGCGTCAGTTGAATGGGTCAATTTTGTTATTACGTGCCACCAAATTCTGTTTTTTTCTCGTTCACATCAGCTGCCATTTAAAAAATAAAAAAAAAAAATATTGGGGGTACAAAATAAGAGGCCTATTCATAGTTTGGTACTATCACATGCCGCGATGCTACAAAATCAGCAGCCATTTTTTCTTTTTTCCTTGAAACTTTTTATAAACAGTAAAAGCAGCCATATGACATTTAGCCTGGTTCTAGAACCCAGGTTCATATAGGCTAGTCAACTCGTGTCGTGCTAAATATTCATCAGCGTTCCTCAAAAGTCAAAAGGAGTGATACGCTATGCGCATCCCATTGTTTTTTTTTTTTTTACTGTTCTTTTTTGACCTTTCTATTGATGATTAACAAACTAACAAAGTGATTCTGTTTCTCTGCTGGATTATTTCTTTGAGACTTAAAACAAACGGATTTTTTTTTAAGACGGAAATAGTACATATTTAGATAAGTTTCATCTATTCTGTTTGCGGAGTGATGCACCATGCACCATGGTAAATAAAATTGAAGGGAGATTACATAAATTTTTTTATTTTTTTTGTTTATTGATGATGCTTCGCAAATGAAGTCATTCTGTGATTGTATATTCCTAAATGTAACCACTCACTTTTCTACTGGTGAATTATTTTTGTATGATTCTAATGCATTTTATTTAGAATTAGATTTACGCGGCCAATTTGAGTCATGTCAATATGAATTCACTTTCAATGGTCACGTTGTCATATAGTTTAATAAAATTCTAATAATAATTATTATGTGATGTCAGAAACACGATTCATCAACACCAGCATGTGTTTCTTGGAAGACAGATTTCTTGCATTGCCACCATCGGAAGCCCAACCAAAGTATGATCACTATTTGTTTGTTGGACGGGGGATTTATACCATCGCCACCATCGGAAACCAAAAAAAAATCAGGATCAGTTCTTCTTCCTTTCGAGAGATTGACCGTCGTCACCATTGCATAACAATTAGATTTCAAACCCAAGACAAGAATTGAATTTCGAAGGGATAGGAAAATGTAGGTAACGGAAGATTAAATTGACATTTGAGGGGGGGGGGGGGAGGAAGATTTGTGGGGAAGAAAGGGATGGAGAGCGGTCGAAAAAATTGACACTAAAAATGGGCACAAAAAAACGACATTTTAATTGGTAACATCGGGTAGTAAATATCATCGTTTAGCCTGTCACATTAATTAGGCTATTTCTCTCGGCTAATGACATATTTGGTTGGCTAATAAAGAAAAACAACTTAAACGACCGCCACATTAATTAGGTTATTTCTCTCGGCTAATGACATATTTAGTTGGCAAAAAAAAATAATTAATTGACCATTGTAGTCTTGTTTTAAATTGTTGATATCATGTTAATATATTAACCAATTAAAGGGCTTAATTTAAAGTTGATGAGGTCATGTGAATTAATGGCCCAATCAAAATATTCAATTTAATTTCTGATCAATCAGTTCAAGATTTTAAGCTCACCAAGAGACATTTATTTATGTACACATGATGATACATGTAAACTTTACAAGGAAAAGTGTCGAGAAATGAACACATCCATTCATTTTTTTCATACTTTTTGTTTGAACTATGCATTCGATGATAGACCATCATTTTTTAAAAAAAAATTCTTGTAATTCTTCTTTGCATTTACCACTACTCGTTAATTAGGGCAGTAGGTATTATAAACATAAATTAAATTTTTAATTATTATCTTTTTAATTCATATGCATACCCTAGTGAGATAGGTAAATAGAACAATAGATATAATAGTTTTTTGTCTCATATTGATTGTCTATTTTGGATTTTTATTTATAGTACAATTTAATTAAAAAAATTAAAAAAATTCAAAACTGGACAACCATTTTGAATAGAGTATTAGTTATATAAGTCTAGGGCCGTCAACAAACTGAGTCAAGCCCAAATAGCTAAGTACTTGAGCTCGAGTTCGACAAAATATATGGAGCTCGTATTCGAGTTCGAACTCGTTCGAACATCTAAATTAAAGTTTGAGTTTGGCTCAAAATGAAAATGAATAGCTCGCGCTCATTTTGATTGCCTCAAGTATTAGTATTCGATAAAGATTACGTTTGAATACTCGATAATATTAAACTTGAATCAAATTTTGATATATGTCATTTTCACTTCAACACGTTCAATCTATGTGCTCTACAAGTAAAATTACTTGACAAACCAAAAAAATATGGCTCATGAATGAAAGTACGATGAAGATAAATAAATGAAAGGAGAAGAATATACGTTTTTAAGAATAAAATGTTATTCAGAATAAAAATAAAATAATTAATAATTAGCTTGAATAGGCTCGACAAGATCTCGAATTAAGTATTTTGATACTCGTGTCTACTCGTCTATCTAATTGAACCATTTGAACTCGGTTCAAATTCGGTCAAAACTAAATTCAAGCTAAGTTTTGACCAAACTATTCGCAAGTTGCTTGCGAAGTGTTCGGTTTCTTGACAGCTGTACATAAGTCATTTGCTTGGGCTGAACTGAGGGCATCAAGCTGATCTTAGCCTGCCCATGAAATCTGAATCTATGAATCAGCCCATATAAAGAGGCCATCCCAACAGTATAAACTGGGAATCAAAATCAAGCACCTTTTGCTTATGAAATTGGACAAAGAGCAAAGATAGATAAGTGGGACCCAATCAAACTCAAATGATTGCCAGCCTTACAATCTTGGGAGCTTGGCGCCCAGACGTAATCTATGGCCACCCGCCCATCTCCCAGAAATGATCAATCCACTCCCCTCCTTCCCCAATTGAATATTCGGCCCCAATAATAATTTAACTTTAAGGAAAAACAAAATCAAATTCTTCTACTACATACAATTACGTAGTAGTAATAAGGATCGCCATGGCCGCCGCTGCATCAACAACAGTACAGCATCATCTATTCACCGGCTCAATCTCTCGCCGCCTGTCCCCTTTTCAATTATGTGTTCTGAATCCCAAGTACTCCGGCAAACGCTGCCTGAAGGGGAGGAATAATGGCCGGCAAACCGGAGGAGGAGGAGCCGCCGGAGTCCGGTGCATGGCGGTGGAAACCACTGCATCAGAAGCTAAGCCCACCAGGAAGGGTTATGAAATCCAGACTCTGACAAGTTGGCTGCTGAAGCAGGAACAATCTGGGGTCATTGATGCAGAGCTTACTATTGTGCTTTCAAGTATTTCAATGGCGTGCAAACAAATTGCTGCCTTGGTTCAAAGGGCTAGCATTTCTAACCTTACCGGAGTTCAAGGTGCTGTTAACGTTCAAGGTGAAGATCAGAAGAAACTGGATGTTGTCTCCAATGAGGTTTTGACTCTGACTTTGAGTTCGTCAATATACCAATTTAAAATCCTTACTGTCTAATTGATTTCTTTGGAGTGAAAATGAGATGACTTTAATGTGTTTGTGATATTTTCCTATACGGATTGAGGTCTAATTAGTTAGAAGTTTGTTTGGGCAGGTTTTTTCTAATTGTTTGAGATCGAGTGGCAGAACAGGGATCATTGCGTCGGAGGAGGAGGATGTTCCGGTGGCGGTGGAGGAGAGTTACTCCGGCAACTACATTGTGGTATTTGACCCTCTTGATGGATCATCCAACATTGATGCTGCTGTCTCCACTGGCTCTATCTTCGGGATCTACAGTCCTAATGATGAGTGCCTTGCAGATACTGAGGGCGATGATCCCACGGTAATCCATTCACACATACAGAATCTTCTTTTTAAAGTATAATCTTCCTAATGTTTTAACTTTGGAGTGAATCCTATTAGAGATGGCGCTGAAGCAATTTGTGACACAAACACAATACTAAACTCGAAAATGGCACGTATATAGTACTGGACACGAACAAGATTCATCCGTTTTGCCGTAACACGAACCCGACACGAAAATTGGTCATTCATTTGCATTCACCAACAGAAAAAGTATATATCTTTCAATTTGCAAACATCAAAGATGGGCCAATTAACATCCAAAACATGTAGAGATGACCCCTTTTCGTTTTTCCTTGGTATTGTGAATTGCAGCTAGACCAAGTGGAACAGAGATGCATTGTGAATGTATGCCAACCAGGGAACAATCTTCTTGCTGCAGGCTACTGCATGTACTCCAGCTCTGTAATCTTCGTTCTGACATTAGGAAACGGTGTATTTGCCTTCACATTGGACCCAATGTATGGAGAATTCGTACTCACACAAGAAAACATCCAAATTCCAAAGGCCGGGAAGATCTACGCCTTTAATGAAGGCAACTACCAATTGTGGGACGACAAGTTGAAGAAGTACATTGATGATCTCAAGGACCCTGGTCCAAGTGGGAAGCCTTATTCAGCTCGTTACATCGGCAGTTTGGTTGGTGATTTCCACAGAACATTATTATACGGTGGGATTTACGGGTACCCGAGAGACAAGAAGAGCAAGAACGGGAAGCTGAGGCTTTTGTATGAATGTGCTCCGATGAGCTTCATTGTGGAACAAGCTGGTGGTAAAGGATCAGATGGAAGCAAGAGGATTCTTGATATTGAACCTGTTGAGGTAAATTCTTATTGAACAAAGTTCTTTTTCTTCCCCTTCCTATCATTTTGGTGTGTTTATTTGGTTTTGATTTCGATTTTTTCATTGCAATCTGCAGATACATCAACGAGTTCCTTTGTACATTGGAAGTGTGGAGGAAGTAGAGAAATTAGAAAAGTATTTATCTTAATCATCAATGGTATAGTAACGGAAGGCTATTTTCTGCGAAAATGTAAATGCTCTCCTCTGCTAGCTCTTTTTTTGGAGGACTGTAATTTTCTTGTGTATCCATGAAAAATGCATAAATGGCAAAGGATAATTTTCATTTGGGTTCACTTTTGCTGGTTCAAAACAATTTCATTAGTCATTACTTGCACCCGAGACCTTGTTCAATCCAACAAACAGGTTCAACTATTAGTATGAAACAAATAGTAGAAAAACTTTTAAAGAGTAACTCTTGCCTTTACACCACATCATGCACCCTTTCAATTTGATAGACTATAATTCTTTCAATTTGATCATGCATTTTATAAAAAAGGGAAATAAATATGAGAAATGAAATTATGAAACCCTGGCGAATAAAACTGTATTTACATTAAGCGATACAGTTTGAACTTTCATTTTTAGTTTAATTTATACTAAAAATGAAATTATAAATTAGACAATAATTTTAGGACGGGAGAGAGTAATATTTCCGTCTGCTCTTCATTTTTGTCGACCGTGGACATCTTGCTACACCTAAAATAAAACCCAAAACAAAACAAAAAAAAAAAAAAAAAACAAAAACAAGCAACTTGCAAGTTGCTACTTGCTACCCCCTCTCATTTTCATCGCTATGGCTATCGCGCGTGTTTATACGAAAATTCCCTACCAAAAGCTTTTTTTTAGGTACAATCCCTACCAAAAGCTTTGGTTTCATTAAAGAGAGAAATCCCATTCACTCATTTTTGTCTATTGAACTGAGAAGATAAAGCAAGGCTTCCTTGGTTCAGCTACACAAAGCTGATCAGGGACGAAAAGGAAGCAAAACTTAAAGAGGAGAAGAACTATGGCTGAAGCAGTTCCAGCTCTGTTTCGGGGAATTCGCTTCACGGGTTATTCTTCAACCTCCCGTTATTCACCTTTCTGTATACCTCCGGCCACCGGCGCCGTTAAAAAGCTCGTCAACAATGGCATTTCCGGTGCAAGAATTATCCGATGCGAAGCTGTGGATTTAGAATCAGCACCGGCAGCACCCGAGATCAAGCCCACAAAAAAGAAGAAAAACAGGTACGAGATGGAGAACTTGACAACTTGGCTATTAAGACAAGAACAATCAGGTCAAATTGACGCTGAACTCACTGTAGTCCTCTCAAGCATTTCATTAGCTTGCAAACAAATTGCTTCCCTGCTTCAGAGATCCAACATCATTAACCTCACCGGAGGTCAGGGAACTGTGAATGTCCAGGGGGAAGATCAAAAGAAACTTGATGTCATTTCAAATGAGGTGAAATGGGCTGATTTAGTTTTATGAATTTGATCATTTTTTGCCATTTGCAAACTGAACTGATTCTATGTTTAAATGTTTTTTTTTTTTTTTGGTGTAGTTATTCTGCAATTGCTTAAGATCAAGTGGCAGGACTGGGATAATAGCGTCAGAGGAAGAGGACACACCCGTAGCAGTTGAAGAAACAAACTCCGGAAACTACATTGTTGTGTTCGACCCCATTGACGGATCTGCCAACATTGACATCTCTTTAACAACTGGATCAATCTTTGGCATTTACGCCCCTGATCAACATTGCCTAGTTGACTCTGATGATGATGACGATGATTTAGCGGTAACTTTTGCAAAGAACCCTGCTTCCTGTATCGTTTATTGATTTAATTTAGAGCTAAATGAAAGATATGATCTAATAAATGTGCAGCTAGATGAAGCAAAGCAGCGGTGCATTGTTAGTGTTTGTCAGCCTGGTAGCAATTTACTTGCAGCAGGATACTGCCTGTATTCTAGTTCTGTGGTGTTAACATTGTCAATTGGGAGGGGAGTTTTTGCATTCACTCTCGATCCGGCTTATGGCGAGTTTGTTTTGACACATGAAGATATCAAGATACCAAAATCTGGCAAGATTTATTCTTTTAATGAAGGAAACTATGATCTATGGGATGAAAACCTCCAGAAGTACCTTGATCATCTGAGGAAGCCGGGTGCTAATGGTAAACCGTATTCGGGGCGATACATAGGTTGCCTTGTTGGAGAAATACACAGAATGTTGTTATATGGAGGAATTTATGGAAATCCAAAAAACATAAACAACAAGAATGGAAATTTGAGACTTCTGTATGAATGTGCACCGATGAGCTACCTAGTTGAACAAGCTGGAGGGAAAGCAACAGATGGTGTTCAGAGAATACTCGACATCATGCCTGAGCAGGTACTATTTCCTACTTTAGATAATAGACAACGCGTAGCAGATACATTCTTGGACTTAAAGCACAATGCACCAGAACAATGCTGTTATCCTAAGATTTCAGCACAAACCACATTCAACAATTTGAAGGTAGTACATTCTGCTGATCTTAATTTCTCCTTTCGCAGATTCATCAGCGAACTCCAATATTTATTGGAAGCCCAGATGAGATAGACAAACTGGAGAGATACTTGTTGGCAGAATAGAACATTTTCATTTCAAACAGAATCGGCAACCCAAATCTTACAATTGCACAGCAGATGCATATTCGATATTCTGAGGCATGTATAATTCATTCCATTCAAAGTAAAGGGATGACCCCCAACAATTATAAGGTCAAGATGAACTAATTCTACGGAACCAAACATTCAGCAGGATACTGCAAAGAATCTGTGGATTCTTGTAACCCTGTCAAATACTAGTTAAAACATGTTGATTGATATCTGACTTCTAGGACTGACAGTTAATTCATCATCTCTTTGGATCAGTTTACAAAAATAGCAATTTTCATGAGTACTGTACTGGTCAATTGTCAGCATATATAGCCATCCATTATCCTAATCCAGTTTGTCTTGAGCCGGCAACTGTCCGTGATTTAAACCTCTTCTCTGACTCTTGGCTGCATTTTATCCATTATATATTAGTATCAAACCATCTGGTTCCTTTAGTATCTGAAAGCAAAATAAACCTAGTTCTGGATTGGAAAGCTTACCAGGACTTAAGATCTTGATAGTTTTGGTTATAGATTTGACAGTAGTAACAGGATCCGAACCTGGACATCAGTAAAATGGTGATCAAAAGCCGTTCAAAATTTTAAAGCAGAAGAATGTTAAATTCAATTATCTTAAGCAGATAGTACCTGATGAAGTCATGTCCTTTTCTGAAATAATTTCTGTTACTGTTGAGGAAAGCTGGGAATATACTTGGTTAGCACCTCTACAAACTTCCAATGATTGTTGCGGAGACCTGCACAAACTTGCATTAGATGGAGAATGACATAATAATGTGGAAGAAACTCTGCTGAATTTTTGTCAAAACATGCTCCAACAAAAGATTTAAGCTCAAAAAATCCTACGGAGATAAAAGCTAAAGTTTGCATACCACGAGCTGGAATCCGGAGAGGAATCTCCACTTGGCTGACTAGAACAACTAGTTCCCTCATCAGCTAGATCAAAATCGCTTAGTAGTTCAGAAAGGTTAAGACTTCCTAACATATCCAAATTTGGGAAATCCTCCAAGTCAAGGATGTCATCAACTTCCTTGGCACATCCAGATGCTGAAATCTCATTCGATGCTGGTGTTTCAGAACTCTTGAGCATTTCAGGGGCATCAAAGTCCAGCCTTCCCTTGACATGATCCCTCCTGTTTGGCTTTTTCAAGTTTGCTTTAGCTGGGGAGGCAGTTATCTGTTGGTTTCTTGCAATGGAATAGTAGGATATTTGCTTTTCTGGGCTAACTCGAATTGTTTCAGAGGATATAATGGTGCAGTTTGTGGAAGTTATCTGTTGAGGGGTTACATCTTTGCTAGAACCTGCAGTTGAACACATTGCCACCGGGGAAGCAGTTCTTTCAGCATCAGAGGATGATTGCAGGGGAGGTGTTTTAGGGTCAGATGAATTATGGGGAGAGGATTTATCGGGCTTGGTAAACAAACATTTGACCACATTTGAAGTTTGAACAGGATTAGATCCATTAGATACTTGAGAATGATGAACTAAAGACTGGTCTGCAGAGTTTCCTTCAGATATCAAAATCACTTGATTGTCTCCCTTGGTTGGCTGCGAATGTGCAGTAGCACCTGCAAGGCGAAACAACAGTGAACATATATGTTGTTTTCAGTCAAAATTGGATAGTTCTCGAAAAGGGACTAAAAATTCAGCAAATTCAAACTTACCTTTAGATAGCAATTGGTTGGTGCTAGTTGAACTTTTGCGAGATTTCCTCGCAATGTGGGTAGCATCCAAAGGATTGGCAGAAGGCTTTCTTTTCAGCGCTATACTATTAGTAGTCTGACTTGGTGCACTGGTAGTATCTACCCCAGAGTAAGAGGGCTTAAATGTAGAGATCATTGCTGGGGAACCGTATACAGAATAATAACCTGATAAAATTTATACACATCTGAGGTTACTCTACTCACAAGTAGTGACAATGAATAAGTAGTATACCTTGTGCAAATGCACTAAACATGAAATTCCATTTTGCATCTATCAGAAAACCATTGACTTAACAGTTAACTCCACCATTTTCTGTGGTAGCTTAATACAAGTCTTTTTTTTAAAAGGAACTAGGCTTTGAGAACATGATTGGCAGTGCTCAATGGGCAAAACAGAACTCAATACAGAAAATAAGCAATTTATATATTCTATTGTCCATCTAACAGTCTTGAATCTATATGGGATTCCATTAGTCCAACAACTCTACAATCAAAACAACCCTAATACCCAAATAGATAACATTATTTCTATATTCCAATCTGTACAATTTCGGGTATTGATTAAGTAATTGTAACATGATGAGCAAAAAGGACTGGCCAAATAGTAAAACAAATAAAATTACCCGGTGAGGCCGTAATCCCAGAATTGACAGAGTGGGGCGGCGGTGGCGGCGCCGGCGGAGGGTGAATAAGGGGCTGAGGTGTAACCAAGTGAGCGGTGGCGTTAAACCCATTCATGGCATCTTGTAATCCCTTGAGAAGATTATCAACCCTCAATTTATCTTGCTCCATACGGTACCGTTCCTGCTCCAAACTCACCTTCAGTTCCTTCAGACTTATGTACTCATCCAACATCGCCCCCAAACTCAAAAGACTTTTCGGAGCCTAAAAAATTCAGAACAGAAAACATCAACGATCAATTCCAGGCAAAAGTGAAAAAAGAAGAAAAAGTAAACCCAAAACGAAAAGAGAAGAAGAGTGGCCGTTTATTCAAACACCTCTTGAACGGGGGATTTGGAGAGGAGATTTGCGGCTTCGGATCGGAAAATGGTGCGGGTTTTGTTGAAGTTATTATCGAGGAGGTAACGGTCAACGATGAATGCAACCTGGACGGGAGTGACCTTTCCCTTCCCAATCTTCTCTGCATTTTTCGATTTGCTCCGACTGTGGTTTTGCTTCGCCATTGATGGGTTCCTTCCTCTTCTTCCTCTTCTCTGTTACCAAACTTCTAAAATTTCTTTCGTTTTCCCTCTTTTTGTTAGATCGCTTATAGTATAGATCCAGAAGGGATTATCAGAGAGAGAGAGAAAGGAAGAAGAATAGAAGTGAAGAAATGGGTGTTTCGGATGGAGGGAAAATATGAACAGTGCGGGAAGAAAGAGGAAAAAAGGATGAACCAGAAGCGCGGGACGTTTTGAAAATTTTGGAAGGAAATTTTGTTTGCCAAAATTTTAGCGGTTACTTGGTGGCAGTGATTAAGTTTAGGCGGGTAAAGTAATAAATGGATCAGTTACACTATGTGGATTGGGCCTAAGTTCTCTCTTTTTTTTTTGGGCTGATAGATAATACCATCACTGTTTCTCAACATATTTGATGAGCATCCATGAAGATCCGAAGAAAATTCTTTCATAAGAACATGAAACTTCCAGTTTTATTAGGCTCTCCGACTCCTTGTACTTAGGGAGACCCAAAAAAATAAGACTATTAATGGAACCTGTCAACGTTGGCAAATAATATCAAGCACCAAGATATATTTTAGCCGGTGTGTATCACAAATTTGACAAAAGAAAGTGGTCATTTAATCCCCTCAATTTTATCCTCTTTTTTTAGGCAGTTAATTCCCTAATGTTATCCTTTTTTTTAGCACACGTTTAATTTTAAACTTTTTTTTTGTTTATCCTGTTATTTTTATATTATTTTATTTTATGAGATTTTTTTTTAACGATGATTTTATTTTGGTAAAATTTAATATGGTTCATCGTCGAGACTTATGAATTCGGAGAATCAATGGGAGCAAAAAATTTCAACTGATTAATAATGAAATTCGGAGAATTAAACGTCAAATTTGGAAAATTTTGATGGATAACGATATTTGTTTGGATGAATAATAGTATACTTATAGATAAATAAAAATGTTCTTATAGTGACAACGTTATGGATGAATAAATTTAAATTCATAACGATATTCACAAAGATGAATAACGATGCAAATCTGATGAATAATGATCTCATCCTAAATGAATAACAATATTACAATGAAGAATAGTTGTAGTTTTACAAGATAAATAGTTTACTTTTAATGAATGAATAATATACGTTACTAGATAACTTTGATAACAAAAGTATATATTACAATAGGTTAATATTAACAACTAAACTAAGAAAATTATAATTATGTATTATACTAGACAAAAAATGAACAAAAAAAATAGTCATTATTTTTAATATATAAGGTCTTGAAGGATTTGTCGGTGTTCGATACACGTTTATGTTGATGGTTTGATTTCAGTAACTCTGGCAAAATATTTGATTCCCGACCGATCGAATTCATCTTGATGAGCATTTCTTTGCTGCTAATCAAACAAAAAGAACATTATAATAAGTGAGATTTCACATTCAATCAAAACTCTGTTAATCATCAATAACAATACTATTGAAGATGAATAGTCATTTTGAAAATGATGAATAAGTATTAAAATTACATAAGTCGAATCTAGTTAATAACAATAGTGTACAAGTACATATTAATTGATGAATAACAACAGTACTGGTAATGAATGACATATCTTTGCATGATGAATACATATATCTATGGATTGAATAACACTTGTTCAAAGGATGAACTATTCAAATTCACGTGATGAATGATATACATTCACGTGATTATATCAGATCACTCTTTAGATGAATAACGACATAGTAAAGGATGAATAGCCATCATATTTGTATACACCTAATCCAGACCAAATGCCTACAATAAACAGGATATTTAATGAATTACGTCTTAATAGGCTATAAAAGATCATGATTAACATTATGACTAATCTTCAGATATGTATACACCCAATCCAAATCAAAATATCAACAGTGCACATATAACATGATGAATAACAGATCTCAAGGGATGAATAATCACTTTTAGTGTGATGAATAAATCAGCATATTGTACACTATATCCATAAAATGTAAATTATATTTAATCAGAATGATTATGAAAGATCAAAATTTTCGACGATTTCTTGCTCCAAATTTTCTATGAATAACCATTCATTACGGATGAATATTCAAAAAAAAAAAAACAACAACAAACTGATGTTCAATGATAACAAATTGATAAACAAATCAGACTGATAAATAATGCCCAGATCTATTATCGACGATGAATATCTCATTATCAACCATGAATAATGATATTGAAATAATGAATAATACCCAGATTTATTAATCTCTTCTAAAATCAACAACAAATCGATGAACAAAACTAAAAAATAAATGCACACACATTTATAGTCGAATGGACATACTTTAGATCTACATAACCTATCCTAAAAAATACACCAATTGTTTAAGAAAATAGTAGTATTACCTCCTTCTCTCTTCAGTCATCGAGTCGCTCTTATTCGAATCAGAGTACATAATCGTGGCCCTCTTGAATATTTCAAAAAAATATCATTATTAGAACTTCATACATTAAAAAAAGAAGCAAAACCGATGAATAAAATCATATATTACCTTAATTCTTATATTCAGCAACGTATATTGCAAACAAACTCAAGGGCTTTGATGCACAACCGGATTCCGTCTTGAAAAATACCGTCGACGAGAGGTTCTGATGCCAAATTGCTGCAGAGATGAAATTTGGGTTTTTAGATTTTTTAGTTTGACGTCTTTGGATTGAATAGCATAGAAAGTTGGATATGGTTAATGATGGCTAAAAATTAAGAGAAATATCAAGAATTGAAGATTTGAAATATCTTTTTTTTTAACCTCTTTTTGTTGGATGCGTGTTTTACAACCCAAGGTGTACCTATGTGCTCTATATTATAATTGGTCAAGTGTGTGCTCTGTTCTAGAAATGTGGAGGATGTTGAACACCTCTTCCTTTGATGGTCTATATGCAAAGGAACTTATTCAAAAGATGTAATTGAGGATTTCATTTACCACTGTTGTACCTGTGATTTACCACATTGGGGCGGAAAGAAACTGTATAAAAATTTAGAGACCGACGAAAATCAGTTGATGAAAGAAAAATTGCTATCATTGAGGAAGTAACTTGGAAAGTACTGTTTCATCGTAAATTTGGTAACAATGATGATATTAGATTTTTAGAGGAATTTGGTATTCGAAAACCTTCAAAATTGTATGGTAAGAGTATCAGTAATGATTTGCTGCACATTTTTGCTGTTTGGGCATGCTTACATTACAGCAAAACAACATATCGAAACAGCAAAATGATGTTGATGCTACAATATCGCGTCTAATCTGTTACGCTACTGTAGCAACAACAAAGCTCCCAACCTTACTTTTCCCCTTCCCCCTTTTCTTTATTTTTTTTTATTAATTGGAAAAGCCCTTGTAATTATACTTATTGTTATTATTTTGGTTGTTATTATTGATGTATGTAAACTTTTAGAAATTTTAATGAACAAATTTAATTTATTTGATTTATTCAAGAGCTTCTAATTATTATTCAATTATTTGGAGAAAAATAATAAGTGATGCTATACTGGAACAAAAATAAAGATGTGTAATCAAATAACATTAAAGTAAATAAAATACAAACATCAATATTAGAATAATCAAATTACCAAAAAATAAAAAAATATTCAACAAATAATATATACATTAGCGCACTTATTAAGAAATTAAATAAAATATTGAATTAATACACGTAAATAAATTACGAAAAATTATTTCCGAGATTAACTGCATTTCCGCTAACATTGTTGAATATCGCTAAAAGCAATACTTGGTGATTGTTGTCATTGCACTTGCGCCAATCATTGTTAAAGAATTCGTTCTTTCACCAATAATAAAAACAAGATAAACATGATATTTAATTTTGGTTACATCTTCCACCGTAATTTTATTTTCTTCTGTCCATTACTTCAAAGTTAATTTTTTGCTTCTGTAGTGCTATCAACTCCTTTTGGTCTTCATTTGTCTTTAAACATCAAGAAACTATTAATTCTCTTGTCTAAACATTTCCATATCACATGCAAACAAGTCATCTATTTTTCTCTTATTTTTTTCTTTCTTTTTACATCAATATGTCTTTTGGAAGAAGATCTACTAGTGTCACTTTCAATCGCTATTTGAGAATAAAAGTTAGACAAGATAGGAGATTCAAATATATGGGATTCATGAGTTAGATTATCATATTTAGATGATATAAATTTGGAGGTTTGATTGAATAAGCGTTGTGTTTGTGTGACACCATCATTATATCTTGTACAATTCTTGAGAAAATTCCAGACGAGATCGTATTTGGACACTTCTTCAAATCCTTTCTCGAGTACAAATAACATTTTTTGTACGATCCAGCTCAATGTAATATTTATACAATGTTAACTCACTGATAAAAAATAAATAAATTACAAATAGAACACGTTAAAAAATATCACTTACTTAAATAATTTTATGCATTTGCATCACTAGGATGCATACTCTCCACTTGTTTACGCAATCAACGTAACTTCTTGACGGCTTTCTCTATTTTTTTCTCCATCTTTCTCAACAAAGATTTTTCACTGCGTTGAACCCGCCTTTGAGATTTGTTTCTTTATTGTATTTATCCAGTACTCTTTTCCAAAAATCAGAGTGTGTTTGATGTATTCATCCAGTACACGAATATAAGTCTCAACGAGGACTATGTCTTCAGCAATAGTATATACTATAGATCGGAAGATTTTCTCCATTGAAAGACTTTTTTTTTTCTTTGACAAAAGAGAGAAAATATTGATTCAGAAAAAATGACTTATTCAATTGTTTGCTTTCTATCTATATATAGAAAAATTTCACGAAAAAGTCGATTAATAATTTAAGATAATGTAATTTTTATTATCTTCATATGCATCGGATAGATTTTATTTTCATCTAAACCGTTTATTTGCTTTTTTTTTTTGATCTACAATTGAATACTCCAGTCTGTATACATTGCAAAAAAAACGCATTGCTTTTTTTAAAAAAGTCATGCGAGCAAAAAGTGTTATCCTTTTGTTGTTATTATTATTTTTTTAATTTGCAGCTCAATCGTCAACTGAACCTGTTTGCTCGAAGTGGGTCAATTCCAAGACGAATTGTGATCAACCGCGATCGCAAGGATGCATATTTGAAATTGGTTAACGATTATTTCTCTGAAAATCCACGACACAGTGAGCGACAATTTTAAAAACGTTTTTTTATGTCTCGAAATTTATTCATCCGTATCGGTGATACTTTTGAAAATCACGATAAATTTTTCTGAGTATCGAAGGATGTTTTTGGTGGATGAGATTATCACCTTTATTGAAAGCAATTGAATGATAGCATATAACGATTATGCATATGATATAGATTAGCGAGTCAACCTCTATTGCATGTTGTAAGAAAAATTATTTTGGAATTGTTGAAATTTTTGTATAACGATATCTCAGATCACCATCCGCTAGATTTCTTTATATTGGTGAATAATGTGGGTTTCGCAACATGTTGAGAAGTCTAGATTGCATGCATTGGAAGTGGAAATATTGTCTCACCTCATAGGTCGGACAATATATAGAACGCTCTGGTGCACCAACAATCATTCTCGAGGCTATAACTAACTATGACCTGTGAATATGACACACTTATTATGGTATGTTTGTACAAATAATGATATTAATGTTTTAGTTTTATAACATTTATTTTAATTATGTTATTGAATTAAAACAATTAAAATAAAGTGATTATTTAAAATGAAACCGAGGGAGTACATTTTGGAACCACGCCTTTGATGTGTTTGTAACTTGAATTTGTGGGTTTTTAGGTTATGGAGCCCCGGAATCTTATCCAAAAACCACAAGAACGAATTGAATTGAAATCACCTCCAAATGATATCTGTTGGAACCAGCTGATCGAATTACAGAAGAGGAACAAGAAGAAAAGATGATAGTGGAGCTGAAACAGGGCCTTCTCAGATGGAATCCCTACAGTTTTCCTCTTGTTCTATCCCCTCCCGCTATTTCCCATAAACCCAATTCATTGAAAATCTACGCTGTAGTTGAATCGATGAACGGAAGCATCGAAAGAAATCATCATGAGGGTCTAACGGCTAAAGAGAAAAGGCAACTGAGAAACAGCAGGAGAGAAAGCAAAGCCTCAAACTGGAAAGAAGAGGTGGAGGAGAGGTTTATTAAGAAACCCAAGAAGCAGCATGTTTCTTGGACAGAAGAGCTCAACCTTGATAAACTTGCATTGTTGGGTCCTCAATGGTGGGTTGTTAGGGTCTCCAGAATGGCTGGACCTGATACTTATGAACGCCTGGCCCGGTTACTGGCTAAGAAATTCCCAACCATGGATTTCAAGGTGCACTTTTTGCTGTTCTCTTTTCTCTGCTAATTCTGAACGATTACTATATTTCTTTTTTATTTCTGTAGATGAATTTGCATTTACTGTTGGGTATTTTTAGTATGTTATAGCAGAATTAGACACAATGGCTTGCAGATTTTCCGTGTCCTACGATTTCATGGAAGTTCCCCTTTTGACATAGTCACATAGTAAGGCTTTCACAGTAGCTGTAATTAAAAATGCAACTAGAGAAAACAGAATGTGGAATGTTTAGCAGCTGTCTGAAATTCATTACACAAATCCCTGTGAAACATTCATGTCTTTGTGTATTCTTATTGAATTTCACTTTCCACGTTACTCGTATACATTTGTGAATTAGACCAGTGACTTTTTAAACCCGCTAAAAAATGAAACTTATAGGTTGTCATGGATGGAAGCAGTAATAAGGGTTTTCTATGGTTTATTGGTAGTATCTCTTATGTCACGTTGATGTTAATTTGCAGGTTTATGTTCCTTCTGTCCAAGTGAAGAAGAAATTAAAAAATGGAACACTCTCAGTGAAACCAAAATCAGTTTTCCCTGGATGTGTCTTTCTGAGGTGTGTACTAAATAAAGACGTGCATGATTTTGTAAGGGACGAAATTGATGGCATTGGAGGCTTTGTTGGAGCGAAGGTGGGAAATACGTAAGCATTACTGCTGCTCTTACTCTACTGTCACCTGTTCTGCGTGCAGTCATAACTTCTTATGAACCATTCCTCTGTTGTTTTTCAAGGTATAAATTTATCTGACACGAAAGAGATGAGATTTATGTGAAAATAAAATAGATTTTCCTTTGTTCATTTTAATGCAAAACTTTCATAGAATAATCATACAGATCTAGCTAATCTATCCAATGCATAAGGTATCTTTGGCAATACCCTTTGGAATTATTGCATGATTTATGCTTTAGCTACCCTTTCCGTTTATTTCCTTGACACGATCTGTATTGACATGAGTGCCAGTGAAATTTGCTTGGTAGTTTATTCTGCATGTTTTGTCTTTCTTGAGGACACTGTGGGCTTGTCCATAGGTTGGTCCTTGCGAATGGTTCGAGAACATGTCCTCTTTCTTCCCTTCTGATTCCATATAATATTTGTCTTGGCAGAAAGCGGCAGATCAACAAACCAAGGCCGGTGGACTCAGAAGACATGGAAGCAATATACGAGCGTGTAAAGCATGAGCAAGATGAAGCAGATCGTGCTTTCTTGGAAGAACAAGGACAGGAATCTTCGGACTCTGAGAAGCTGAATGTGGATACTAATTCTGCTTCCTCGTCTTCTGTAGAATCCGAGTCTAATACCCCTGTGAAGGCTCGTGGACGGCGGAAAAAAGCTACAGCATCTGGGGATCAGTTGGTCGGATCCGAATTTAAACTTCCAAAACCAGGCTCGACAGTACAAGTTGTATCTGGGGCTTTTGCAGGATTTTCAGGCATCCTAAAGAAGTTTGACATTAATACAGGATTGGTATGTTGGTTTCATTTGCGTTAATAAACTCAGGTTCATGAGAAATGCTTTAATAACAGGTCTGTTATGAAGGAATGTACATTTAAGAGGATGTCTAAAGTGAATGGATCGGCTCCAGATGAGAATTAATGATCAAAGGCTCAGAAAACTAATTATGTTAACTTATCAGTGCTCGAATCACAGATTTTTTTTTCTTTTCTCAGCCTGTTCAAAGTAAATCTTGAAACTGGTGCATACTTCTTTTGCAGGTGACTGTTAGTTTGACATTGTTCGGCAAAGAAACTTTAGCTGACTTGAAGGTGAATGAGATTACAGCGGGGCCAGAAGCTCAATAGCAAGTTTATTATGGTGTAAGTTCATGCATACAGCGGAGGCAGAAGGTCAATAGCGCGTTCACAATGGTGTAAGTTTATGCGTTCATGTATTTTTTGTAACCCTGATATGGTAGTTACGTGTTTGCAAATCTGTAATAGCTCCCCCATTCCTACACTGCACATATGCATGGACACGCTTTGCCTGGTCAAGGTAACACTTAGATCGTAGTGTCCATGGTACATGCTGAATTTTACAGCATAGAATGGGGATACCGCGGGTGCTAGAAGTGCTTCTGGGATCTTTGTTTACGAGTCAATCTCAACAGCTTTAGATCCCACGGCAGATCCATATTAAAGCATAACCTCACCACCTGCAATGACGATGTACTGTGGAAACTTTCACTTTTACCCCCACTGTGTAAGGCCGGTTATTCATGTTGCATCAAATAATCATAATCAAACCTATTGGGAAGGATCACTATAAAGTTGATCCCCGCAGGCTTCCTCATCTGGTATTCTTCTCTGCTGCAGATACATATATTCGGCCGTTCTTTCGTAAGGTCCTACGCTTTTTTTTTTTTTTGTTTAACAAAGAAGTCACCGAATTCAAGAACTGTGTATATCACTACTGTTCTACTACTAGAGGTGTTGCTCAATCTTTAATTTTTATTTTATTTTTATTTTCACTAAAAAACATTGCGAACAGAGTAATTTGTGGCAAACCAGCAGGCATGTATAGCTTTCCCGGGCACAGAATTTGATCACCGGTAATTTCTCGAAGTTGGATCCTTGTAAAATGTCAACTAGGGACACCTGCAACGGTTCTTGAAGATTGGGGCTGTATGCTTCTGAAAAGATCAGAAAAACTAACAAAATCTGAAGTTTCTGTATTGCTTCAATGACGACACGAACCAGAAGAAAACAGAAACTGAACCGAATAGATGAATCGAAAGATAAGAAAGATCACATGCAAGAATGATTGGTGTTGAACTACTGGTACGTTGCTTGTTGTCGGTTGAAGTTGAGCAATCACCACCAAATCATCATCATCATCCCCAAAGGAAGGAAGTCACAACTCACAGGTGACGCCATTATTTTTCCGTTTCCTTACCAATTTTTGACGGGACCAACACCCATGCTTCTTTTATTTTTCTTCTTCGGAACCCTTTCATTAATTAACACAGCATATTATGGATCAGAGAGGTCCATGCCAACCCAAAAGACCAAAGTACATCCGGCAACCCCACACGGTCACACCATCTTCCCATTTTCCCCGTGACTAACATTCAAAGTTTCCTGGTGTCTATTTCAATAGCGTCAAAGTAATCCTTTGCGTCATTTTAATTTATAATAATTACTCCCTCCGTTACATACTTATCGTCCAGTTTAGATTTTCATTTTTAGTTTAAATTGTAGTAAGTAAAATTTCAAATTAGACAATAATTTTGAGACAGAGGGAGTACTATTATTGTACTATTTTAATTCTAACATATTTAGATTATCAAAAATGGACAAAAGAGTATCCTTCTTCTCTCTTTGACGAATAAATTTGTAATATGCTTGAAATGTAAAGTAGACATAATGTATTGTGCAAGTTTGATAATCGACAACATCATCGCATTTGATTCAGTATCCATGCCCTCCAATTAAATGGGCGAACTACTTAAATATTGGTTTATTGTAACCCGGCCAAAAAAGTGAATTTAGTCCTCTATGTCCGAAAATAATTTTATTTTTATTATTTACTACATTTTCTTTTTTGTCTGTGATGGTAAAAATTGTAGTAGTCCAGAAAATTAATGCAGAATCAGAATGACTCATTTAGTCCATTTCATACCGAATTTGCTACTCTCACATGTCTTAAATAATTGTCCTATTTAATTATTGTTCCATTTATGACAAACAAAAAATAGTACTTTATTTATCCTAAAACAATGGTTCAATTTAAAACGGAATGGTAAAACCTTTAGGGTATATTTGTTTCGTTTTTTTAGTGTGTGTTTTTAAGTTTTTTTATATTGAAAATATAAAAAAATATATCAAATATGTAAAAATATATATTGGGATAGGACATTTATTATTAAAATAATTTGAAAACACTATTCAAATAACCAAACAAACAGAGCCTTAGTCTGTTACGGTATTGGTAGGGTTTAGTATTTGGACCAAAAAAATAAAAAAAAATTCAATGTATTGACTGTGCTTGGGTTGGGTTTGCCGGAGGATGATGCAGATGGCCCAATCGGAGGTTGTAAAATATGGGATCGATGTCAGTGAATCGTCTTATTCCGGTAACAGGTCCACTTGCGTATCTTAGCTGTCAATCTCTCTGTCTGTGTGCTTATAGAAAATGGTCGTTTTTTTGGTTGATTGATAAAGTTCTTTCTCGTTATTCGTAAATACACCAACTAATAGACACCGTCCTTGCAAATAACAAAAGTCTTTTGCATGCGGCCATGCGCATTATTTCAGCCTTTACTATTTGTTGTTGTTTTTACTCCCAAACATGAAGCAAAATGGTAAATTTGTCCAAAGAGTACGAAATTGTCTCTCATTATGGTGGCATTCATTTAGAGCACAGTTCAGTGTTTTCATATTTCATTCGTTCCTGTCTTGTGTTTTTACACACTGATTTTTGGAGGTTCAAATTTCTTAGTAATATACTACAACTAGTTTTATCTTACAAGATGATGTCCATCCAATTAATTTTTTATTTCCATACACATTATAACAAACATCTAGACTATTACATGGACGGTGGGATCATAGAGAAGAGGATAATGGACTCCACACCGTCCACACCTCATCTAGTGTTTGGTGTGCTTGGTGCCTGAAGAAGAAAACGCCTCCTGGCAACCTACAAACCTGCAGGGAATGACCAGCAATTTCTTGCTGCTAAGAGGGTTTGAACCCGCGATCTCGTAGTTAGTGTCATGGTCTTTCAACTACTAGGCTATCCCCTGTTGACAATCCAATTAAGTTATGTAGACAGTATCACCCCAAATGAAAATCATTCATACCTTAAAAGCTAGTCAATCGAGTTATTAGAGTAATTGTAGAGCCAAGCATTTCATAAATGTAGACACCTAGAAAAAAGCAGTATTAAGTTGAAAATTGCAAGGTAATGAATGTTTAATCCCTATAGTTTTGGGGGATTAAGGCTGTAATAAGCAACTTTATTTGGCACACCCCACTGACCAGAATCCGTCAAATTGCACATGAACGTTGTCCATCAAACAAGAAAGCTTTTGGGTTTTGCATTTATTAATGTTGTTGAGTACTTTGGAAAGATTCTATATCTCATGTTTGGCTTTCAAAGAATCTCTTTCTTTGTTTTCTGTGTACCCTACCCCCCTCCCAAAGCCCCCAAAGCTTTGCTTTTTCGAGCTTTTTGTTAGTTTTTTCTTTAAACTTTTAACAAAGTAAACAAGGTTATGTTTATCCTTTGCGTCCATCCATTGCACTTTATATTATTTATATATTTATTTTGATGATAGTGGATGATTTGTTGTACTTCCATCGAATTTTAACATAAACAATTAATTTAAAACATAAATGTACCATTAAGTGATTTGATTTTGACATTGGCATTGTCAACTTGCAGTCCATTATTATTCAGTTGTCTATATTACTCTTTTCCTCCCAAATTAATAATTTAATTTGTCAAACTATTTCCTTACACTAGACACAACTTTTATTGTATAATTGAGGGTATAACACCATTCTAAATATTTGAAATCACATTCTGTAGAGTAAGGTTTTCAAAATATTAGCCGAAATGATTCACGACTTAGTATTCGAAAATTTAAGGTTTTTATTAGTCAAGTCAAAAATAGCATAACAAACGTTAAGAGGCAAATTTAACTCTACATACTTTAACTTTTCCTCAACGGATCTTGGTAAGTTATTGCAAATTTGACACAATTACACCGACTCGATTATTGGATTCCAAACCATATTCACAAAGATACAGGGTCCTTCTGACAAATATCAAAGACAAGGAGGGCATATCTTCAAAACATTTCAGTATTGTTTATTCCTTGTGTCAGCAACCACTGCATAAAGTGAACCTCGGTTACTGGAGCCAAAAAATATTGTTGTAAAACGTATTTAATTCTCTCACACAACCACCAATCTAGCCCACCACCCATTTGCTGCCCTATTCCCCTTCCTCCATTCCTCCGCCCCCACCGGCCACCCATTCCCCCCAAACCTTTTCTCCCATCTGAGCTGTTTTTCCTAGATATACTTAACTTACCACATTATATCCACGTTCTACACCTGAGAAATGGATTACTCACTTCACTTAACACTTTAATAGACTCTGGTTTAGCCCCTTCAATACAGCAACGAATTTTTGCGGAATCTGGTGGCGTCCCAGATCAAGATTAATGGGTATGGCCTCAATTCTTTCAGTTTCCAGGTACCTGAAGGTTATCCCTTTTCTCCTTTTGTACTTCAGAACTCTCTATGCAGACTTCAATGTCTCGTTTGCTTCCAAGGATGTTGATAAAGGTTCCTACTTTGAGTCCATGTTTGCTTTTTATGGTGATGCTAAGCTTGTTGGTAGAGATAGTGGTAATGGTATGTCCGTACGGTTGTCTGGTTCAGATGGTGGTGGTCCTAGTGCTGGGAGAGTAGTTTACAAGCATCCCATGAGGCTTGTTGTGGGAGGAAATGGAAACCCAAGAGATATGGTGTCTTTTGAGACGAAATTTGGGTTTTCCTTGTCTGAAAAAGGGGATGGTTTAGCTTTCTTGATGGCTCCTGTTGAGTACCCTGTGAATGAATTTGATGGTGGCTCTTTTGGGCTCTTGGGTAAGAGCAAAATGAAGTTCCTTGCTGTTGAATTTGATACACATAAGGATGGAAAGTACGGTGATGTGAATGCTAATCATGTTGGGTTGGATAATTCTAGCCTTGTGTTGGTAAAAGTTAGTAATGTTTCATCTGTGAACTTAACTTTAAGTAGTGGGAAGAAGTTGCAAGCTTGGATCAATTATCAAGCAATGTCGCACAGAATTGAAGTGAGGTTGGCTGAATTTGGTGAAACCAATAAGCCTATTGATCCATTGCTGTCTTATCCTGTTGACATGTCAAGGATGTGGGGTGAAAAAGAAGTGCTTTTTGGACTGAGCTCTGCGAGTGGGAATTCAAATTCATTGCAGGAATGCAATTTATATTCATGGAGCTTGGAGCTTTGGACGATACCCCATTGGATGCATTCACAGCCAATGAATCCTAATGCGTACATGGAGAAGACAACAAAAGAGTATCCGGTTCCTGAACAGAAAAGCGATTGCACATTCAGAGTGCTTGGTGCTTTGATCTTTGGCATTGGATGTGGGGCATTAGGAGCTCTAATTGTGCTGTTTATATGGACTCTACTGGCTTATAAACGTCCAATTGTGCCGGAGGATTATGCCGAGAAACATCTTGAGTTTGAGTTCAAAAAACCCAAAATTGTAGATAAACCGAGTGGTAAGAATTAGGTTTGTGTGTTTGAGTAGAGTGAGCTTAAATAGATTGATGCTTGTCATTTGGTATGTAAATCCGTTTGAAATTTTGCACTTGTATCAACTGTTTCCAATGCGTGGCTGTAATTTCATGATCAATCTTCTGAAATTGTAGTAGTTTTTTTCTCCTCTGTTATGATCATCAAAGTACAGCTTACTGCTATTGATCACTTGCTTTTAAGTATATAAAGAGCTATGTTTTCTTTGTCATCTCTACTTTGGCTGATTGCTTACCATATTGATTCTTCTTTTTTTGTTGGGACATTTGCAAGTTCAAACACAAGAAGATCCGTAGTTACAACTTACAATTGCTGCTACTCTTACAATTCCCTTGGACCATCCTTTATATTCACCATTTTTACCATTTTAACTGTTTCGCGCAACTTCCAACCCCGATGCATCCCCTTGTCCGTGGCATTTTCTTGGTCAAGGATTGGATCACCTGACATCTTAAACCTGATTATACCTATTTCGGTCCTTGCTTCAATCTTTGATTCTGAAATACACAATTAACCTGTACAGCTCCAATGGTTAATATCACCGAGTCTTTGTTTCAATAGTACAGGCAAATGTCTCCAACATCCCAACATTCTTGTGATACTTATTTCCAATGGCACTTTTCCAATTATATTTGAAGAAATACCGTTACAAAGCACTTGACCTATATATTTTGAAGCCCTATCATACCATCATGATACTTGAAATTAAAATTAAATTAATAGCGACCTGTCAAGGCAAGCTGATTCCACTTTTAGGTAATTAGTCCATTGATGATCATGGATAGAATTAGCCCAATTGAGTATCATGATTAGATAGAGAACCGATAACAATTTGGGTTGGAACTCTCCAGCTCCGTGTAATATCCCCTTTTATCCAGACATAAAAATTATCCCCTTTCAAGCTAACACCCCCACCGCCGTCTACATGAACCCAAGAAAAGACTTGAAAGAAGACTTTAAAAAAAAAAAAAAAAACCCCGCAATAATAGAAAAAGGAAACAAAAAAAAAAAAACTGAAAGCCAACTGGATCTCAGACCGATAAACTTATCTACAGAAGAGAAATTTCGGTAAGATAACGCAGTTTAAACATTATCATCACTGATCCAGGTCCAGAAAAAATGTTTGGAATATAGCTTAAATCTTCAAACACGATTCGGAAATATACATCTATTGGGTTGTAAAACACCAAATAAATCAGTAATTTGACAATAAAAGATGAAACTCAAATGATTAAAAAAGCATCTCAGGTGTAAATCCCCCAAAGTTTTCTTCACTGGTAATCAAAGTGCAAGGATAACGATTTGTAATATCATCACTGATGCTGAAGCTTTAAAACCATTTTAAACGATGATCAAGAACAGAATAAACAAACATAATAGTATACGTAAACTTCAGATTTTTAATCAGGAAAACTGCGATTTTGACGTTGCCAAAGAAACAGACATAAAAGCAAAGAAAATTCCCAGAAACGTTGGTGAAAGACGATGAAGTTACACAGCTGCGGCATTGGAGTTGAAGCAGTTTATAAAGAGCGAAGCCCTAGTTTTTTTTTTTATGGATCTCCACGTCCAGATCGTCTGACAAAATTTGGGCTTGGGCCTTAAGGAAAAGGCACAGAAGGCTTTCTGAAGGGATATATTAGTACATGGCTGACGGCAGAATTTTGGTGGGGATAACATATTGTGGGTTGGGCTTATGTAATCAGTAACTTTTGAATTCTGAGAAATTTTTTTTTGGAGGAAATTTCGCAAATATTATTTAGATAAAATAAAAGAGAAAAAACACTGAAAAAGTTTTGTGGTTGAGTAAGAAGACTCATTGGAATCCTTAACCTTAGGTAGGCCAATTGAATCATCAATATTTTCTGGATTCAGATGGCATTTTTATGAAAATCTGAGCTGCATTACGTAAAAATGAAAAAATGTCAATTTAGTAATTTAAATAAAATTAGAGCTTGACCTGGGGGGTGTGTGTGTGTGCGTGTTTTTTTTGAGGGTAAGTTTGAGATGATACGTCCAAATTCAATTTGCAAGGGACAAATAATAATGGTTAAGGAGTACAAATCGTGGCACATTTGGCTTCACACATCGGCTCTCAACACAAGCCACCAGTTCAGGTACAAGCGAAATTTCTATTTTTTTTTTCACTTTTCTGCCACTCTTGTTTTTTCTTTTCTTTTTTTTTTTAATTATAATCAAATTAAAAGGAAATTACGTAATGCCGAATCAGAACTAGTATACTCTAGAATAGTTATATTTGCATTTCACACTCCTTCCGGTCCAGATGGAACAAAATATTAAAACAGAACATTTTTAACCCCTAGTGGAAATGAATAAATAGAGCAATATCTATGTTTGGATCATTTTTTTAGTGTGTATTTTTTGTATTGGGAATGTAAAAAAATATATTAGAAATGTAAAAAAATGCATTGAAAATGTAAAAAAATGTGTTGAGATGAGACATATATTAATTAAAAATTCTAAAAAAACCAACCAAACATAGCCTTAAACTTCCAAGCCACAATGTGACCTTGGTTGAAAGGTATAGATAATCAGCGAATTTTTACATCTTTAAAACAGTTTTCATCTACTCCCTCTGTGCTAAAATTATTGTCCACTTTGATATTTCACTTTTAATACAATTTGAATTAAAAATAAAAATCCAAACTGGACAATAATTATGAGTCGGGGTAGTAATAATTTTAAGTTTTGATGAATATCTGATTTAGTAATAAAATCCGATGTGAATATCTCCAACTTGACTCCTTGCCCAAGACAACATTTTAACCACGTCTCGTTATAAATACCTATAAAACCCACACATTTCTGACTTCATTCCAAAATCCAAATATCTTTTACCTTCTCCAATTTACCAACACTTTCGATTCAAGAAAAATTGCCCCAGTAAGTTCAAGATGGGATTGATTCTGGGCAAAATCACGGTGGAAACCCCCAAATACGAGGTGGTTCAATCGACCGCCGACTACGAAATCCGCAAGTACCCTTCATGCGTCATTGCAGAGGTGACTTACGATCCAGCCCAATTCAAAGGCAAACGAGATGGCGGCTTCACTTTACTAGCCAACTACATCGGTGCATTGGGCAATCCCCAGAACACCAAGCCTGAGAAGATCGCTATGACCGCTCCGGTGATTACAAAGGAATCTGCATCCTCCGCCGCCGCGTCGGAGAAGATAGCCATGACGGCCCCGGTGGTGACAAAGGCCGGCGGCGACGAAAAGAAATCGGTGACGATGCAATTTATACTGCCGTCAAAATATGGGAAGGCGGAGGAGGCGCCGAAGCCGGTCGACGAGAGGGTGGTGATTAGGGACGAAGGGGAGAGGAAATTCGGGGTGGTGAAGTTTAGCGGGGTTGCGAGCGACGACGTCGTTAAGGAGAAGGTGGAGAAACTGAAGCAGAGTTTGGAGAGAGATGGGTATAAAGTGAGTGGCGATTATGAATTGGCCAGGTATAATCCGCCGTGGACGCTGCCCCCATTGAGGACTAATGAAGTCATGGTTCCGGTCGAATGAGTCATTTGTAATGATGTAATCTAATCTTACGGTATTGTTTGTGACGTCTGCATCATCATTTTCGTTGCGTATGAGATGTATGCTATATTTATTAAGAGGTCATCCTTTGTTTCTGGCAATTGGTTAAGGAATATTGTGAATGCTTTATGATGATTTAGGTTGTTGGAACATACTTTGCGGGTTGAAGCTTCCTCCTTGTCTTGAAGGGCATGAGTATTATATGCGCTGATGATTGTGCGATTGTGAATCAGTTACTTCTGAGTATTATCAGAGCATATTAAACTTCAATTATAGCAGAACGTTGTATGAAATTTGGATAAAGAAGCTATTCGATTCGAGCTAGTGTATAATCGAAGGGGAAAAAAAAGGAAAAGCCATATGCTTTCCTTCATCTTTATGATAACCCACTCATTTCTTAATACTCCTGCCTCCTTAATATTAAACGTTTTGATTTTGTCTTAAGTTTTACTTAATATGAATTTTTAATTTACGAAAAAACCTTAAAAAAATATTTTCACGTTCGCTGTATTCTATTGATTGTTATGAAGTATTTTTAAATTTTTTTTATCAATTAAAAATACGTATTAAGTTAAACCTAAAACAAATCAAAATTCCTTATATTAAGAGCGGGAAGGAGTACTAATTCCTTTCATAAGTTGTTTAGTAACGTTAGAACAGTCTCGACCACCATACTACACAATTCCTTTTGTTGCTAAATGTGTTAAAACTGTTAATTTAGTTTATTAAGCTTATGCAGTCTACTGCAATCCCTTTGTTTGCAACTTTCAAAATGCGGTAATGTATTAATTTGTTAAACTTATGTACTAATGTGGACAAAGAAAAAGCTTTTGGAAAATGGACTACGAGAATGATGAAGATGGTGAGCCGGTCAGATACAAGGTGCAAACTACAAACCGATCGAAGTAATGGAAAGCAAAGGCTCTCATTAAGATGAAGAATATAATATGGATCTTATGCGGAATCCCACTGTGTCGAAGATGAAAATTCAGAAGGGCATTAAATTTTTTTTAATGTAACTTCTTATTTATTTTCATATAGCCTCACTTCTTGCAGTTTTTATCTTTGTAGGTATCTAAAAAACAGTAATACACATTATACCATATTCATCTAACGAATTTATTTAATATTTGAAATATATATTTTAATTAATTTAGATTCGAGTCGGATAGATCATATATCAATAATAATTTCCCGTAAGACATTTTGCTAAAAATGAATCCAAGAACACAAGCCTTACCTTCGCTCTTTAATTGTTTTAAAGGAAAGTTTAGCCAGTTAGAATTTAGAAGCATTGCCAAATTTAGAATGCCATTTCGTATATATTTTGGCAAGAAGTTTGAAATTTTAGATTGCATTAACATAGTTTTTTTTTTTGTTTTGGTGGCATTTACTCGGTAAAAAGATCAATATTGTAAGCCCGGTAAAAAGAACGGAGACGAACGGGATAGAAAGTCAAAATTGAGGAAGACCCAAAACCCCTGTTTGTTGGGGTAGGAAAAGGAATGGATAAACCCTAACATTGCAAAATCAAATCAATGGCAGCACTTCACCTTGTTACGCCATTTCTATCCAAGCTTCCTCATCCTTCAGCTTCAAACTCGATTCCCCACCTCCAAATTTTCACCATTTCTGTCTTCCCAATTCCCAAAACCAGGATATACGGTAAAGCATTCCTTCCCAAATCATCTGGCAATGAGGCTCAGCTCACTGCTGAACCACCTCCAAAGCAGCCGTCCCGCCGAGGCCGGAAAAAGAAATCCTCAACCACCACCGATGCTGCCCAAGAAAAAACACCCAAACGCACTCGAAAGAACCAAACCCAGAACCCAATTACGGAATTGAACGGCGACGGTAAAAGCCAGCTGGAGGGGGAGGAGCTTTACGATTACGATGACGGTATTAATTTTCCATACGAGGACCCACCTCTGATATGCTGCTTCGGGGCAGCTCAAAAGGAGTTCGTGCCGACGGTGAGAGTGTCACCGGAACAAATGCACCCGGATAAATATTCCGAGTGGAAGATGCTACAGTGGAATCCGCCGGAGTTCGTGAGGGCCCCCGGTGGCCCTGCTTCTAACGTTGCTATTTCCCACGTTAGGCTTGGTGGGAGAGCTGCGTTTATGGGAAAAGTTGGGGATGATGATTATGGGCGTGAAATGGTTTTGCTTATGAATAAGGAGAAGGTCCAAACCAGAGGGGTCAAATTTGATAACAATGTCAGGACTGGTTGTACATTGATGAAATTCAATTTTGAGGATGGAAAAATGAAAGCGGAAAAAGTAAAAGACCCAGCAGAAGATTCACTGCTGAGCTCAGAATTGAATCTCGCAGTGCTTAAAGAGGTAACAAGCATGGTCATTTTTATCCTTTCTTGCAAACATACTGCATTACTTTAATTTTAGGAGTTGCTCAACAAATAAGTGCCTCACTTACATTAAAAATTATGGTTTCCTCAAGATAAACTATCAAATTAGGCCCCCTTTTTCCCCGAGAAAGTTTTCACTCAATCAATCGCTAGTTAAATCCTATTTGCATCCGATGGATAAACAAAAGTTCATTTTTAGTGGACATGATAAATAATATGGTTTGTTAACTTTTTATTTAGTGGAACTCTACGCTGATGTTTTAGATTTACATATTTCGTAGTAGCGATGTTACGATTTTGGTGTGGAACTCTTGAGATCTCTGGATTGGATGATTGATATATTAATGAAGAGATAGTAAGGGATTTCTTGAGTGCCTGTGTTTGTTATGATGATTCTTGGATTAATATGTTGGAGGAGTGATAATGTGGTAGGAATCAAATCATCATACCATTCAGAGATGTGTACCGGGTTATTTTGCTCTAATTTCTTCATTTTGTGTTTTTAACCCAGGCTAGGATATTCCATTTCAATTCTGAAGTCTTAACGTCTCCTTCCATGCATCCTACCCTATTTAGAGCAATCTCGTGGTCTAAGAAATTCGGTGGTCTCACTTTTTTCGACCTAAATTTGCCATTGCCGCTGTGGGAGTCGCGTGAAAAGACCTGGGAAGTGATCAGGAAAGCCTGGGAACAAGCAGACATCATTGAGGTTTCAAGGCAAGAACTTGAGTTTCTTTTAGATGAAGACTATTATGAGAGGCAAAGAAATTATACACCCCAATACTTTGCGCAGACTATTGAACAAACCAGAAGAATTCGAAATTATTACCATTATACTCGGGAAGAAGTGTCGCCTGTGTGGCATGATCAGCTGAAGTTTTTGTTCGTCACTGATGGAACCCTTCGACTTCATTATTACACTCCTTCGTTTGACGGAGCGGTGGTGGGAACAGAGGATGTGCTCATCACTCCATTTACTTGTGATAGAACAGGATCTGGTGATGCCGTTGTGGCTGCAATTATGAGGAAGCTCACAACTCAACCGGAGATGTTTGAAAATCAAGATTTTTTGGAGAGGCAGCTTCGATTTGCTATTGCTGCAGGGATAATATCGCAGTGGACTATAGGTGCCGTACGCGGTTTCCCTACAGAAAGTGCTACGCAAAATCTGAAAGAACAGGTATATGTGCCTTCAATGTGGTGAATTTTTGAAGAAATCGCAAGAGCAGCTGTGGAAAGTAGTCACCATGGCAAAGCAAAACAGTTGAGTTTTCCATTCAATTCAACTTCTGTTATGTTGTGGCAAGTAACATGTGTTTGAAAACTGGTGGTATTTTAGTTCACTTCTTGATCAAATTTCGGAACTGCCATCTTTTCATAATGCTCTGTATCTTTATGGTGAGTTGGAAACTTGGAATTTGGCACTTATTTGCTGTATCAAGCCGTGTTGTCTGGAAAAATCAGCTACTTTTGAGAGAAAATCTGGAAAGATACTCCAACTTAAAGGTCATGCAATAATCTCACCAAAATGGTCAACCTAATTATGTGTAGTACTCCCTCCGTCCCATAATTTATTGTCCTGTTTGAGTTTTCATTTTTAGTTCAAATTGTACTAAAAGTGAAAACCCAAACTGGACAATAATTATGGGACGGAGGGAGTATTAAAATTGTGTTAGTACAAGATGTCATTTTGTTTTTCAAAAAATAATCTTTAGACAGGTTAGGAATTTTGGTTGCTGCGTTGGCTCATAATTGAGTCAGATGACATTGAACTTAGGCACAGATGGAGCTGGAAAAGTGCGAACAGTATAACTTTCTCTGGCGCCGTCGGGACTAATTGATTTCATTTCGTACGTTCTTTTGGAAAGATTCGTCAGATTTTGTTACCTGTAACTTGTAAGGTTAAACTTGAAAGTATTTTGGTATGTGTGCCAGAGGACTGAAGAAAGAACATAGCAAAAGAATTATGTTCCATTAATTTTTTTTTTTTTTTTGAAACGGTATGTTCCATTAAATTAATAAATAAAAGAATCAAGGTGAAATGCCAAACAAGGATGGAACAATAAACAAAATAATGACCTATTCCCTGCTACGAATCCGCATCACTTGTTCTGGCTTCTATAATCACCCCTTTCAGCATCCAAAATTTGGGGATTTACCTGTTTCTGCAACAAAATTGAAATTTCACTTGCATGGTCATTTGGGCCTTTCTTTTTTACCACGAACTTCTTGATGACCCGAAATCCCATTGCTTGGCTGCAACCCTCCACAGTAGCATCAATCAGTATCCCTTTCATATGTTGTATTGGACTGTATGGTTTTTTACAATCAAAGCTGCTGCTGCTTTGCTGTACATGCTATAACTGCAGGAAAACTTCGAAAATGAACCCTATCTTTGTGAAGAAAGTCTTGAAGAACTTCCTTCTTGATGATGGTGGTCGATTTCGCCCTCCTTAGATGTGCTACAAATGCATCCTGGAAGAGGATTAGCATAGAAATTCTCCTCTAATCTTGGAGATTCTCCGACTTGTCTAAGGTATGGTTGCCCAAGTCTATCAGCATGTAAGCTCTTCACTTCAGATGCAAATTGTTCCCAAGACAGAGAACCCTTGTCAAATGCATCTATCAGCCTGACAAAGTTAAGCCTGAAAACAAACATCAAGTCATCAAACACTTGAAGCAAAAAAGAAATCACTAAAATTCTAAACAAAAATGAGGAAGAAATTGAGTAATGGTGCTAAAACTCAAACCTGTCAGGGTTTATTGTCTTCCGAAAACCATCAAACCTCCTATGGCCTTGCACAGCCTTTGCCATGTTCCCATCATATGTATAAACAAACACATCACTTCGAAGAGCTACTATGTAATCTAAAGCCGCCAAACGATTTTGATACTGTTCCATTTCTTCCAACTCCTCACTTGTTGCAAGAGTGGAGTGAGAGAAAACATTGGGGTACTCTGAGCGAAATGCATCCATACTATTGTTTCCATAGATTGTCCCAGCCACTATATATATTCTTGTTGTTGAAGGATAACCCATGGCCTTGAGAAAGAGAGCTGCCTCCCTTGGAGACATAGGGCAGCCTCCTTGAATTCGTTTCTCTTTGCTGTCTATCTCCTTTTCTTTCCAATGTTTGACGTTGTACCTCATAAATCTCAGCTCCTCAGATTCTTCAGCGCTCAAATTGTGGCTGCAACCTGTGAATGCGAGCATGTCTTTCTCATACCTGCAATTCAAGATTCACTGGTTCAGTTACTCCCTAAAACTTAAAGTTGGAGACTGCAATCTGTAATAATGACACACTAAAGAAAAAGTTACCTTAGATGAAGTGCGATAAATGGTTCGCCGTCACTTCTAAGTCTGTCCAGCAATTTTCCAGCAAGTTCTTCAATCTCTGGTGTGTATTTTAAGGCCATATAATTTGCACGGCAACGAAGTCTTTGAATGGAAGGCGCGAGGCCATTGTTTGCTAACCGTGAATCAGAATGGGTGAATTTGATGACCTTGTGCTTCTTTAACAAAGGAAGAATTTCACCTCTATAGTAACTAGCCTGCAACACATATATCCAACACTTCAATTCCATGGCTGCAGAGAGAAACTATCAACTACTCAAAGTAAATTAAGGAGGATGATTCTATTACCTTTGACCAAGAAACAGGTGCCTTTACAAGGGGCCTAATGGCATGCAAATGGGGAGGCAAAGAATCAACAATCTCAATATCTTGCCTTAACGTGTGAATGAAGTGCTTCCAGTCGAAAATATCCTTAAAATCACTGGGATCCGTCCAGAACGACTCGTGATCAAGAGAAGGCAGAACAAGGGTAGCATTCATGATCTTTGCAATTGCAACCATGTCACATATCTGCAATGCGACAACTATCAATCTATAGCTCAACATTTACTAACAATTGACAACCTTCAATGCAGCATTAAAGGAAACAACATAGTCGTAACGCAATTGACTTACTCCTGTTCTCATCTGGTTTAACCCGCCATTGGCATGAGCTAAAATGTAACCATTTGTTGCCGATCCCGGTATCCCTAAAAGATTTCACCAGTAAAACGTATATATATTAAGACGATGACTAACTGTTTTTCGCAAATACAACATATTTGAAAAATGAATACACAAAATCGTGATGAAGACATACTTATTCTGTTTTTGGGTATTTCTACACATTGATTATAGTTGTTGCTATTTGGCTTCAACCATATCTCTGGGACCTGTCACAACAACAAAACCGTCATTAACATTCCCGGTTAAAACTTTGGTAATTTCTGCTACCACTTTAGCTATAATAAAGTGGGGAAAATGTTCAGACAAGACAGTAGGAGGATAAAGCTTTCAAGATTCATCATTTGGAAAATTTACCAATCCGTGAAAAGGAGAAAGGCACAGTACAAGAACTGTACTTTCAACTCAGCAGGCGGTTATAATTGGGAAAACGTAACGGTAAAACTAATGATTAGAAAAGCCAACGGCACACACCGCCACCGGGGGGGTTCATCGAACATTGGTCAAAGTCAAACACCGGAATTGGGAACGTTTACTCGTTTTCATTCATTAGTTGCCGCCCACTCATTCTATCGAACTGGCGGCACTTTTGTGGTCACACGTCAAAAAGTAGCTTTCAAAGTGAAAGCAAAACCAAAAAACACCAACCCCTTTTAAGTACTAATTAAGTTAAAACTACACAACAATCAGCCACCGGGAAAGAAGAAAAAAAAAGTAAGCCCAGAATTCCTACGGTTCCAAATGTCCAATTCCAGTCATATTTGGTAACCATTATGCTTAGAAAGACTTTTACAAAGTCTTTTGCTTGGCAAATTACCAACCAATAAATTAAAAAGCCAACTCAAACAAAAAGTCTAATTGAAGATGAACCCAAAATTTTATGAAACAAACAAAACAGGCTAACAAACATAGTAACTTAATCATGGTTCGATTAGTATAGAGACAGAAATAGAAACTCACCGGGAACTCTGTCATCTGGCGTTTATGCATAGAAACCGTAGATTGGGAAACGGATTCCGACACGATATTCTGGGCGTGTGCCGAATCGTCGACATTAATGTTGGGCAGAATGTGGGTGGACAGTTGGCCATTAGTACTATTATTACCTTGTACCTTAGCATCCAGTAACGAAAACTTCAAGAAAACAGAGACCATCACCAGAATCATCAACAAAACTATAAACGTCCTCCCAATATTCTTCCTCGATCCCAAAGAATGAAAAAAACTAATGAAATTCAAAACAATCCCCTCCGCACCGAGAGGATGACGGTGCCGGCCATGATGATGATGATGGTCCGGGCTAGATTCTCCGTCGCCGTCGTCGTTGAAAGGGAATACATCCTCCGGATTAACCGAAATTTGAAGATGGTCGGTTAGCAATTTGTGCGCCGCCAACTCGTTGATCATCATTGAATCAGGAATGCGCCGCCGGGTTGTCGTCGGACTTCCGCTCCCTGAATTCGTGGCGCTGACCGCCGCCCCTCCTATTGGCATTCCCCCCCTACCTTTGCCAACAAACTCGCAAAACAGAACAAAATTCTCCGACGACCCAAAAAAAAAAAAAGAGGTGTCGGCCTAAAAGAATACAATAGCTCAGACGTCGACAAAGTGATGGCCGGCGACGGAGGTTACAATCGTGGGGTGGTGGTTGGTTGAATTCCAATATGAACAACAACGAATGAATGGTTGTTTGTAATTTTCTCTCCCTCCCAGAATTTTTGTTTCTTTGTTTTTGTTGGTTGGATTTTAGATTCTCTCAATATCCAAAGTTGTAATAGACCTGCGAAAATTAAGGGATTACCAAACAGAATTAGATGTTTGGGTTGGCTCGATTAACTTGTGTTTTCCATCGAAACAGCAGGGGAGGTAAGAGAGAGGTGTGGTGTTGGCCTGATTCACTTTGGTTCTTGCTTATATACAATTCTCTCCTCCCCCATTGGACTTTTATTTCTAGAAGTTTTTTCCTTTTTTTTTTTTTCTAATTTAAAAATAACTTATACGTCGGTATTATGGCACCAACGGTTCGATGATTTTTTTTCCCCTAATATATTTGCCTCTCTTATCATGGATTATAATTAATTTAAGACCATAAATAAACAAGAAAACAAACAATTCCTTGGTTCACCTAAAATACAAAGCGGGAAGATATTTTTGATGTATTTGAACGAAGTTGAGTTAATGGAATCATCATTGTTCAAATTATTTGAAAGGGATGTAAGTATTTGGCAAAAAATGTGCATAACTGGTCATGATTACATGCAACCGTTAATTAGTTATTAAGAGTTTGAAAATGTCTCTTAGCATATGTTTTTTTTTTTTTTTTTGCTTTATATTGGAAAACAAAATTTTGTTATTTATGAGCTTTTAATGGATTTTGGAATTTTTGGGAAAAATAAGAAATTCAATATGAAGATTCAGCCCCTAATTCGAAAGTAAGCACTTAATTGGGATTTGGGAACATTAACCGCTACATTACTTGTTTCCGTGAAATTCTATCATTATGGTCCCTTATTATCATATTTATGGACTTACCATTTTCGTTTAGTTGGAGTACTAGTATATCATGTCACTACGTGCATGCATACCTGAAAAATGCAATTGCGTAAGAGCCTACAAATTGAAATTGCTTCCACAATATAGTTTGTGTTTTAGCAAAAATAAGGTTGTTCTCCTGATGCTAGCATTTTATTCCCATTATTTATTGAATTTCCAAAAATTGTCGTAATTTGAATGCTAAGCGTTTTATTCCTCATTTGCATAGAAGTGGAAAGAATGAGAAGCTCTTTCAGTCTTCATCCCATGTTTTGTTATAAACTAATTTAAGGTAAAGTTTATGTTAATTTGTTTTCCGTTTATGTCAGATTTCCTTGTTAGAATTTGAAGCCACCTATGTTAGATGTACCAATCAAACTTTCTAACGCAGGGATGGAGGACAAAATGGATTCGTGAATCTTGTCACTAAAGTTAAAGCCATATCACTGACAAAAAGATTCAATATCACGTAATTAAATGGATGGCAAATTAAGCAATTTGAATTCATTTTTTCTTTGTGACAATAGTTAGAACCTAATTAAATTTTATTCTAATTACCAAACTTCAAAGAACAAACAAAAAAAAATCTAGCAAAATTCTGTATAATTAAGCAAGGCACATAACGCTGTTCGTTGTGTTGTTCTTAAGACTCAATGGTTTATAAGCATAAATGTTATTTCAAGTTCTTTTTTTTTTTTTGTTTTTTCTTTAAGAAATGACCTTAAAAATAAGTTTATATTTATTACAGTATAAGTAGCATCGATCGTTGGAATTTCACTTATTTTTCCTACTTTAACAAAATGGCTAAAAGTTAACTAAGGTTCATAAGGGAGACCATAGTTTACACGTACAAAATTACTCTTTCAATCTTAAGATAAAGTATTATAAGTTCAACCAAAAAAAAAAAAAAAAGAATTACAGTGGTGTACATGTTTAATCTGTCGGAGGAAAAAAAATTACTGGAAAATTTAACCATGAAAATTAACATCATGAAATAATTTAATCAACGACATTTATAAGCTTAAGTGGAGCATACACTAAAACAAGATCTTGTTTCTTACTGGTGTGTTAGGTAAGATAGAAAATTCTTAATTTTAAATCATTAGAAGTTGGTGACATTCCAATAGCTCTATGGTGGTCGTACCTGGTAATAAATTAAACTGACCATATTCTTCTTACGTTTTTATTAAGAAGAAGAAGAAGAAAGAAAACAAAATTATATAGTCGTCCACAGCAAAAATGCATGATTTTTTTTTTCAACAAAAAAAAAAGTAGCATGCATAAAAATTGTCATTTTAATTAAATCCAGTAAAAATGGGGAATGTCGCTGAACTATCATAATCCATACATTATCTGTAGGATTTTATTGAACCATTTAATAGATACGTGACAAAATTGAAAGGTTGCCATTCTTTTTTGCATTATGTCTTATTCGTGTGCATTTTTCTCGTGATATTAACTAGATCTCCCTTTCGTGATATTTCCAAGGACCTTATGGATGAGTATATATATATATATATATATATATATATATATATATATTTTATACTTAAGTTAATATAAACCTCCAAATATCGAAAACAAGAGAGGGTAAACTAAAAGAGTGAAAAACTACTACTAATAAGTTAACATTTGATCAGTAAGAATGTGATTATTATAAGTGACGTCTTTCCTAACGACACATCATGCAACAATCTATTACACGCTAGTGATTCACTTTTTATATATATATATATATATATATATATATATATATATATATATATACACGTGATGTCTGGTCGCGCATTACGCGACCCTGGCCCATTATATTTGTAGATCTTAGAAATATTTATATTTGGGAAAAAAATATTTTGTATTTGGTCTGATATATTTTAGAAATATTTGAAGAATTTAGAAATGTTTTATAAGTGTGATGTTTGTATTTGGCATAAAAATAAATTGTATTTGGCCCGAGACGTTTTAGAAATGTTTGAAGATTTTAGAAATGTTTTATAAGTGTTACTTCTTAAATATAAATAAACTTGATCAAATATATGTCTTGAAGTAAATGCTAGACAAAATATAAAAACATCCTAATAAGTTTAAATATTAATAAGATAATTTATTGATGTTCTCCATTGGTTGTGCCAAATCTATACTTAGTTTTGGAGATTTATAATAACTTTGTAGTTAGCTTCCTCCAACGAGTATACGCTTAATTGTTGGAATTATTTCTTCCAAAAGTTTATAGGTAGTAAAATATAAAAAGTATGATTTTGAAACTGGTTAATTGTTGAAATTGGTTTATCACAAATATGAGAATGAAAAAAATGTAAATTTGCATAGGTTTCAAGATATAGCAAAAGGGAACTCACCTCACCATGGCAAATAAAAAAAAAAAAGTAAAAGATAGCCCATTAAAATTTGAGATTTTTTTTTTGTAGGTAAAAATGATGTATAAAGACACAAATAAACGTAAAAACATCATTCCTTCCCTCTCCACCTCAAATTCATAAAAGACTTCCCCATAAATTAGTTAGAAGAAGCGACATGAACTATTTATATGATGAGAAACTAAAAAAAAGACCAAAAACCAAATCCAAAAAAATATATTCTTAAAACCCCAAAAAAAAAAAAAGTGCGCTTCATTTGCAAATAAAATAATAATAATAATAATAAAAATTGGTCAACTGGGAGTATGAAACAAAATCAAAAGCAATTAAACAAAGAAAAAACACACTTCATAATTGGCCATATACGAAAAAAACCTGAGACTCCATAATTAAAAAAAAAAAACCACTCTAATTGAATGAAACATAAAAAGAAATTTAAAAAACCACACTTTGTAATAAAAACCTAATTAATCAATTCAATCCAAACATAACTAAAATCATACAAAAATTCTAAACTAACTAACTAAATAAAAAATCACATTATATTACCTGACAACGGCTACGATAGCTGTAACGGATAGACACATAAAAGTAATAGTAATAACACTATTCCTGAACGGAAAAAATAAAAAATTATAAAAGTTAAACTAATGATCTGTGGAAATAAAATCATTTAAATTTTAATACCTGTAATGCCACCATCACAACGGCCGAAGCAAGATCAATGAGAATTTTTTTTTTCCTTTGTGTTTATATAGAGAGGTAAAGAGAATATTTTTTGAAATTGAAATTTTATCCGATTAGGATGTAGTTGATCATCACTAATGAAAATATTGACCATGCTAATAGGAAAGTAGTATATTACACCACATACTCTCAATTGATGATTGATGAGGAATTTATTTATTTTTTAATTATGGAGAAGGGATTGATTAGGGAGTCGATTGTCGTGGAGATGAGGATGAGGATTTGGATTTTTTATGAATCCGTGGTTTTTTTTTTTTTGGCGAAAATAGGAGGTGGAGGTGAATTTGGACTGCATTTGCCTTTTAAGTTTAGGAGATGTGGAAATAAAAATTTATTTTAAAAATATGATATGGAAATGCCACATGCCAAAGGGTGGTGTTTTCTCTTAAGTGTGGTTTTTGTTTCTAATATAGTAAGATATATATATATATATATATATATATCTATATCATTGTTGATATCTTAAATTTTTTTTTCCGGCGCCAATAATATTATTGGTTATTAAGAGATGAGGGGTTACATGACAATAATAAGAGGACGAAGTCTTGAGATTTTTGCGTTTAGGAGTATTAGTTTTCCATTGATCTTCTCAAAAGTGAAGGAAACAATTGGAGGTTTTTGCATGACTTTTATCATGGTAATAATTAATTAATAAATAGCTAGCTTGAAAATTAATAATAAATATTTATCATCATTATTATGTTTCCCCCCGCCCTTTTTTCTTTCATTTCGTTGATGGAGCTCAATGGAGAAAACAATCGGTGATAGCATATATTAATTGTTGTACTAAAGATTCTTGTGCAATGTATAACTAGCATTATTGGTTTATTTTGTTAATAAAAATTATTTTCAAACATGAAATCCAACGCGGGAAGTAGGAATATTATTAATGGCACTGTGCCAGCCCTGAATAATTGAAAGAAATCAAAGAGTAGTATCTTCGATGAAAGCAGCGAACCCACCTAAAACTGAAAATTTTGCGGGTGGGTTTTTAGTGTAGGTGGCATGGCATCATTGACTTCCACGAGTCCGCAGTCCCTTATTGGGTCCGGATTGCGAGATTCACACGAAGTCGTTTTTTACGAGTTCAAACTTAATTATTATTAGTAGGATCATATTTGTTAAGCTGGAAACGAGTTTTTTTTTTTTTTTAATTTTTTTTTAATGTTCTTTTAGGCCTTTTTAAGGACGTGCCGGTGCTAACGCCGGCCGTCAGCAGTTTTGGACTGGAGCAGGCAGCTGCCACCCGTCACTGTTATATCCTATTTCCAAACCCCATTATTCTGTTCGCCGACATTACTCGGAGACCTTTCTCTATTCTTTGTATTTAGCTCGTGCGGTGCACTCCATTTTTATTCCCTTTGGCTTCTGGGTCCATAAACGAATTAATAATAACAATGATCAAATTTACAGAATTCTGATTTGAATGATTCATGTTCCTATTTCAAGAAACTAAACGGCTTTAATAAAAAAAATGAATAATATCAATTACATATAGATAATCTGGTATCATACAAATTAATTAACATTTTTATAGATCGCGATCTCAGCCAAATATTATCCCTACCCTATAAAACAGTTCAAATTGAGTTTTGAGTTTTAATACAAATATAAAAACTCAATTTAAAATTCTTTTTAGACAGACAAACTATCAAATAACATGAACCTTTCAAAATAACATGAACTATCAAATAACATGAACCTTTCAAAATCGGTGGCCATTCTCATTTGGAGAAAACTTTTTTTTTTTTTTTAGATGATTGCTTCCTTGGCTGTTAAGAGAAAGAAGTTATAAGTTAGTTGTAAATTATGGTGATGAATTACTTGTGATATTATAGCTAAACATATGGGAAATCATGGTTTGTAAATAACGTAAAATGCTGAGTGAGAAGTAGTGGCAGTCATTAGTGTAAGTTAACTTGCACGGGTACTCGTATTCTCCCCCGACGTGAACGTACAAGCCAAACCAGCTTTGCTCTTCCTTTCCGTTTCAATTATTTCTTTGTTTCTAACCCCAAAAGGCATGAAACCATTTTCCTTGATTGTTCGAGCCATATTATTTAAGGTAAAAACACCAATTAGTTTAAGGTAAGTGTTATAATCAGCAATCCTCTGTGATCTCTTCGTACGTTTTAAAGTTTATTAAAATTAAACTACTCCTATAGATTTGACGCCAATAAGTGAACACCTTTTTTTTTTTCCTCAGGGGGATGTATTAATTTCTTCGAGTCCCTTTTAGTTTTAATTTGATACTCCCTCCGTCCCATAATTATTGTCCACTTTGCCCAAAAAATTTTGTCTCAAAAATATTGTCCAATTTGACTTTTTATGGACCAAGTTGTACATTTGTCCTTAGTAAAAAACATTATCCATAAAATCTTAGTGGTTAAACAATTACTTATGTAGGGATATATCCGGTTGTTTAAGGTAAAATATAGTTAAGTTTGACCAAAAATAAAATCTTTCATTTTAGTAAAACTGGACAATAATTATGGGACGGATGGAGTATAAAAACTTTGTTATGGTACTAGGAAATGATATGCAAATTATACATTTTCCTTGATAAAAAAGTACATGTCAAACTATGATGAGTATACAAAGTGTACGTAATTATTATTCAAAGAAGATCGATCGGATATCAGTTTCAAATGCATGTGTAACAACAAAGAAAATGAAGGTCGAAATGTGTAGATTTTTCCTCTCGTCATAGAATCATGGAAATTCAAATCCTCATTTATAAAACCAAAAACCAGATGGCTCGTACAATGTTGTCCATATAACTACAATAATCGTATATTTTAATACAGTTTGTAGTATTTAATTGATGATATGTCGCCTGCCCACCACACAAAAAAAAAAAAAAAAGAGAGAGAGAGAGAGAGGAAAAAGTCTGCAAGATACGTATTTCGATTACAAGTTTTCTTGCATCCAGCCCGTTGATTTGAGCAAAACACACTACAATTAATAATCCCTCTATCTCAAAATTATTGTCCAGTTTAAGATTTCACTTTTAGTACTCCCTCCGTTCCATAATTATTATCCAGTTTAGATTTTCATTTTTAGTTCAATTTGTACTAAAAGTGAAATCTCAAACTGGACAAGAATTATAGGACGGAGGGAGTATAATTTAAACTACAAATAAAAAATAAATTGGGCAATAATTATGAGACAGAAGGAGTATTTTTTTTCGTTATACAAAGAGTGCAGAAACCAGGAAGGTTAATTGAAGACTTGAAAAGCGTTGAAAAGAAAAAAGAACAAAATTAGAGTTGATTATCTGCAAACTCATCCAAATGAATTATATTTATTAAAAAAGAACGAATGTAAAACCGTCCATCATGCACATTTATTGTTTATAAGCTAAGATTATAAAAACTAAATAATTAGTTATCTTCTAAATTATACTCCATCCGTCCCATAATTATTGTCCAGTTTTACTAAAATGAAAGATTTTATTTTTGGTCAAACTTAACTATATTTTACCTTAACCAACCGGATATACCCCTATATAAGTAATTGTTTAACCACTAAGATTTTATGAATAATGTTTTTTACTAAGGACAAATGTGTAACTTGATCCATAAAAACTCAAATTGGACAATAATTTTGAAACAAAATTTTTTGGGCAAAGTAGACAATAATTATGGGACGGAGGGAGTAACTCGCAACCCACAAAGGTTGAAATTGAATACTTCTAATCGAATCATTTGGGACCATTTTTTTTTTTAAATTATTTAATCAAGATATGCTTGCCTCATCAGCCTCAATGGACTCATCCTTGATCTTCTTCAGTCGCACTATTCTTTCATTCATTTAATAGAAGTTTATATTTCTCACCCTTTATTTTTAATGCGTTTCTGCAATAGGTATAGAGAGACAAAAGTATACTAATAGAATAGTAGTCAGAGATGATCAGAATTGAAGACTCGTGGCTGTTGGACGATCACTTTTGGTCCCGTCAATTTTTCAAGATACACGTTAATTGCAGGAATAGAAACAATTGGCAAATTGGATTTTTACTTTTTTAGAAGAAATATATTTTCATTTTGCAAGACTTGAGCAAATTGGAAAATAAAAAAATTTATATTATGGTTAAGGTTACGGTGCAGACTGCAGAGAGGCTCCTTCTTTGTCTTGTACTTGCTTGTCACGCGGCGGCCTCATCAAAACCAAATTTCTTTTTTTTTTTTTTTTGCTCTTTTCTTTTTGGAAAAATCTTTTTATGTAATTAGTTACACGCAGAATAATCTGTGTTTTATTTTTCACAATGTCAATAACCAAACCAAAATGAGAGCACTCTGATTTAATAAGACAAGTGATTGTAGAAATAGATAATTTTAGTGTCGTGTTTACTGGAGATATTTGACGTTCTTGACAGCTTACTTTGGGACATCTAAGGAATTGTCAATTTGATTGAGGTTAAAGTTGTCTGGAGAGAAAGAAAGAAAAGAAAAAAAAAAAAAAAAAACAGATATGCTTGTAGTATCATTTCAAGTTGCTTTGTTACAATACAACAAATTCATTCAATGCATTGTTTTACTCCTGTATGATAAAATCGTCAACCGACCGCGATGAAACCTGTAAAGGTGCACTGCAAGATTACAATTTCAGCCAGTCCATGCAAGGGCATAAACCCCAACAGAACCTAGAAGGGTAGTCCTGCAAATAAACCTCCCGACTGTACCCAATTATGTAGAAGCTGAAGGAGCGATTTCTGTGTGTCATTGTCACACGAGTCACTGGGACAACGGAGATGATATGCTTCTCGCATACTACCCGAGCCGCTTGAGGTATTGGAGCCCTTTCTGCAATTACTTCAGAAGAGAACTTATTTAGGAAGAAGGAATCAGCAAAATAGGCCGGAGTGCACTGATAGGCTTGTGTGTTGCATAACTGGACTCCTTTAGCTCTGTGGAAGACAATTTCTGGAACCGAAGCGGCTCCACTTGTGGCGCTTACTTTTCGAGTTGAAAGAGTCTTCCTGCAGAATCAAAACCGTTTCTTCAAACAAATATACATAGAAACAGCTTCATTGATGGCAAGCAAACACTCATTTTGACCGCTGTTAATTTTAACTTTCGCACCACTTTAGACCTAGAAAATGAATTATGCATCAACCTGAGGATCAAACTCCATACTTACCACATTCTGGACAATGTTAAGTACAGACGTGTGACTATTTGCGAGGTTATTAACATAAAATTCGTTTGGAAAATTAGTGTTAAAGTCATTGCGATTTCAGTTTTGCTATCCATATATTAAGTATTACCAAATTTTCTGTCATGTAATGCAAGGCAAGGCTAATCCTCTCTTTGAGATACCGGAACAAATTTATGAGGCCTTTTCTAGTTCTGTTTTCAATTGCAAGTAGCTTTCTCTGGAATTTAAGTTCTGAGGAAAAAGAACACAGCCAGGTATAGAGTATGACATGAAAGTTTCTTCTATATACATACCAGCGGATGACAGCAACTTTGCGAACCAAAATTGAACCCCCACCCTTACAGGTCTCACATTTAATCAGCCCACGAGATCCACAACTTGAACAAGGAACCACTCCCTTTCCGTCACACTGGACGCATCTGCACAATTTTCCACAGAAAATAAGGCTAATAGATAACCCTAAATCAACGGAAGCAAAGTAAGAACCAGCATATTGCTAACAAGCAAACAACAATTGCTACATAGTAAATCAGCACAACAGAGAGTATCAAGTTCAGTACGTGATAGTGAAACTGTGTCCTAAAAGCTACTAATACACGTATAAGAAATTGAATGAATAAAAAACCATCAACCGAAAGAGGAAAAAATGAGTGACAAATCTCACACAGTATCAGAGCCATCTGCATGAGCAATTAGACCTCTGCCATAACAATGAGAGCAATTTCTCATCTGATTAGCCTTATAGAATCCAGGCTCTTCATCAGTATTGCACTTAGGACAAACAATTTGCCCTCGTCCCATGCAATCTGCAAAGACAGCAAAACTTACAGTTGAATAAGGTTGTGCCCTTTAAATGAAGGACCATATTTTATACATCAGCAACTTATTGCAGAAACAAAGAAACTTAATAGAGCTACACCAAGCAGAACCATGAGAGAAAAGCGAAGATACAACAAAAATATGCCTCGCTACATTACATGTTGAATGAGTCTTCACATGTATCAATTTCAACAAACATTACCTGAGCATCTTTCAATAGCTTCAGAACGAGGAATTTTCACCCTTCTCTCCTGAAAAGGAGTAAATAAAACTGGGAACTCAGACCTTAAATCTAATTCCCACAATCCGAGTTCAGGGCCTTTTGATGTCCCGTCAACATCTCCACCGAGATAAGGCTCCTTTTCGATTACTGTTTCTCTCTCCTCCACAAAAGTGTCCAAAGTCCCCACATAGACATTACAATCTTCCACTGCATGGATTTTCCACGTTCTGGCTGGACGACTTCCCCAGCAGCACCGATGGCCAACATGATCTATTAGTAATTCCCGAATCTCTACCTCATCCAGTACTTGTCTGAGGAGAATTCAACAAGTACAGTTTTCATTGCATAGTCAATAAACGTATTCACACTAGGCCAATGAAGCAAAAACTACAACCAATTCCTAGAAAGTTGCATGTCAAATTGGGTTCACTCCCATTCCTTTGACAGACATTAAAGAATAGACCAAATCTTATTAAGGACTCATTATTCACACAAAAGAACATATTGACATTCCACACCTTGGATCACTGCCAACTCCCTGGTATCCTCCAGGATATTCTTGACCTGCAACAAGAAAAAGTCATAATTTAATATCAAAGATGTCAAATTTGGTCCTTGAATAAGATTCGGTAACGAAGTCAGCAGTAACTTGAACCCAAAAGCAGTCCGTAGATCATTTCCTTTTATCACTTTGCTACAAAGACCAGACAAAATCACAATTAAAACACCGCCAATACAATTGCAGCTATACCAACTTAGCACAGAAATGTTCCAACTACATTCGAATAAAACACGGAAGAAAAACCCCTTACAAGCAACACGAACACACATATAATTGGCAGCCAAAATAACCCAGATTATATTTATTAGTATACTGAAATACAAGCAAAGAAGATAAAGAGTACAAACCATAAGATGGTGAAAGGGCATGAGGTTGAGAAGGACTGATTAAGGGGCTATGAAGCACGGGAGGATAGATATCAGAGTGAGGAACAGAAGCGGCGGACCGAACCTCATCAAGGCTTACTACTTCTTCATTTCCGGCCAAGGAAGCAGTTGGAATAACCGAGCCAGGCCCTCCCACATACGAGCTCAATTTGTCACTTCTCCCTAAAAATAATCAAGTTAAAATTAAAAGGGCACATGATACCACCATTTTTTAATGATCCCAGATACTAATAAAGTAATCAAGGAAACAGAAAAAAGGAACACTTTTTATGCCTGTATAAAATTAAATGATCTGGAAATGATTTTATAGAAAAAAGTGAAAAAAGGATGTATCTTTGGACACCCTTTTGGGAGTTCAGTGATTACCTGAAGAGAGAAGAGGCTGTTCCATTCCCATATGTCGGAATTAACCTCGTACTGTCTTCTGAAATGTGTGAATCGGGACTTGTCGGAATTTAGGCAAATGTATAAAGTGAGTGATTAGCCTAATCTTGTGATGATGTTTATATATGGAGGAGATGATGATAAATTTTAAAACATCGTTGAGGATCAAAATTCAAAGCTTAATTGGCAAGGAAAAGAAAACTGAGGTGGCCTTCCTTCCCAGTCTAGGCTTCTCTATCAAACGACTATCAAATTTTTTCCCATTTTCACAAGAATCACGACTTGTACTATTTTGAGGTTGGGTCCACGGCAATGCTGCGACACCTTCCTTTGTTGTTTTTGTCCTCCGAAACTTAGGACATTTGGAAATTGAATTTGGGCCTGATACTCTGAATATTGTTGGGTTCCAAACCATGTAAAGAAAGATTCCGCTAGTGATAAACGAAAAATTGGCCCAATATGAGTCAATATGACTCCTTTTTTTTTTTTTTTTTTTTTTACAGTATGACTCGTCTTGTTATTTGTTTGTTACTGCCCGATTGATGCACGGTAAAACATCATGCATTTTGTACTCGTGAAGTCGTGATGGTTAAGTTTACTGCTAGACTAGTGTCGTAACTCATAACATTGTACTTCTTGTTGTGTTCAGGCCCGTCCCCAGTGGCGGGCTAGAAAAATATTTTAGAGGAGGCACATTAATACTACCAAGTATCAATACAAATTAGAAAAAAAATGTTGAAAATACAAATGAAAAAGATCAAAGTCAACCATCATAACGCAATTGTTGTAGATTAACACATGCTATTGTAAAACCCTTGCAATTGTTTATTTTCTTAATATAATGATTATGGTTTTTGACCCAAAAAAATCATAATGCAACCATATTATAAAAGTGGTACATACGTCTTTATTCTTTGAAGATAAAAATCTAGTGAATTTTGAGTCCAATTCTGAAAATTATCCACTTAATTAGAGAATTTATTAAGCATTAATTAAAAAATATACATTAATACCCAAAAAACAGGCCAATCCAGTGGGGGCATGTGCCTCGTTGCCCTCACTTTATCTCTGCCACTGCCCGTCTCTAAAAGGGGGCTAAAGGGACGATTGCCTGAGTCCAACTCTAAGAGACGCCAAACTTCATTAGAATTATTAACGTTCTATTAGTTTTAATTGTATTCAAAAAAATTTAATAACTAAATGTGCCCAAATTTTGAGAAATGTACATGTAATTAATCTTAAAGTTAGCTAAATAATAATAAGCAGACATGATCTTCTTAAGAAAAATACAAAAAAAATATAGCAAAATTATTATGCTATTGTAACATGATCGTTTTCCAAACTTTTTTCCTATTATGTTAGTCTTATTTAAGAAAAAAAAATTAACACATCAATTATTAGCAGACATGATTTTCTTAAGAAAAATATTAGTAAAAATCATAATTATTATGCTATTGTAACATGATCTTCTCCCAAACTTTTTCCCTATTCTGTTAGTCTTATTTAAGAATAAATAATTAACCCGGCAATTATTGTTCCAATTACTTCTTCTATTTTTTCCTCTAAAAAGAATTCATTATTGCCAATACAATACAAAGAAATGTCCATCTATAAACATTGTGTAGTAATTATGTGATGGATTGTTGTGTAATAGGCGCTTCCAAAATTTTTAAAGGCCCCTTGTTATATATAATAGGCGCTTCCAAATTTTTTTAGGGCCCTTAGGTCTACTGAAGGTTAGGATCGGCCATAGTTGTGCTGCTATTGAAAATACAACATTTGTCTTTCTTATTTCAATAAATTATTATTTTTTCTTACATTCTATTCACCTTCCAGGCTTCCACGACGCACACGTTGAAGATTGATTTTGTCTGTTGACTGAAGATGGTGTGGACTTTGGAATTTGGCGTAATTTGTAATCTTAATGTGGTGTGATAGTGTAATTGTTCCACCAAAAAATTACTCTAGTTATTGTTTAGGAAGAATGTTTGCAACGTTTCAGACATTAATAATTTGCCTTTTTTTTTTAATTTCGTGAGGGGAAATTCTGAATTGTACATTGTCCGAATGCGCAGTGCAGACGGTGAATATTGTAACAAGAACTAGTGTGTGTAATTTGCTACCCTTAAAAAAGCTCTATTCATGTGTAGTAGTTAAAAAAGAAACAAGCTGCCATAATCCGAAGATTCGGACCAAAGTTGCATTCTCTCTGGTAAACAACTGAAACTGGCATCCCATTTTCATTTTGTTTTGCAAAAATAACGAAAGAACTGCAAAAATTTTTTCCAATTAATAATAATTAATCGATGCCGACGTGGAGCTACTGACCCGCTTTAGTCTTCCAACGTTAACCATGCGACCGTGAAGAGTGAAGAGTGAAGACGGCAGCGTGGGTTTGACCTTCAAGGCTTCAACCAATACGAATTCCACTCAGTTGAGCTCCCTACATATATAGTAGATATTCAAAAATCTCTTCTAACATATATACCACTCCATAGTAGCACTGTTCTTTCCATAATATTTCTTTTCATTTTGTTGTTTCACTTCTCATTTGTATAATTACAAGAGCTTGAACTGCCCGTCAACAATATCTCCCTTCCATTTTATTATCAGTGTAAAAGCAGATGTTGAAATAAGCTTGTAACATATTATTAGATCTAGAACTTTAATTTTTATATCTTTTCTACTTGTTTATACTAATTTTACAAAGTCAATAGCCGATGATTGTGGATGGAATTATATGGAGCTGGATCATTATCATGTAGGAGTACAAGTTTATATATTATACTCATATAATATTCTAATGTCACACAGCAGCTAGCTTCCACGTCTTTTGTATACCAGCTGGATCATAGTTGACTTCAAATTTTCCTTTAACATACCTCGCCCGCTTTATCCGACCCACTTGCATTGGGTTTTCTGTATATACATATCACAATATCCAGAAGAACATCAAACCGCTTATGAAAGCTTAATCATCATCATGGCTCTCCATACTAATTTTGGTTCCCCGTTCGTTCTTATTCTTACAGCAATAACATTTTTGTTCGTCTTCCAACAATCCAGCGCGGTTTCAGCTACTTCCAATAGCACAAGTACTCCACCCAAGGGAATCGTGCTTCGGGTGACCAAAGACCCCGCAACTCTCCAATACATAACCTTGGTTCACCAGAGAACTCCCCTCGTTCCGATCAAACTAGCCGTTGATCTTGGCGGAGGATCTCTCTGGGTAAGCTGCGGTGCCGAAGATCACTACGTCAGCTCGTCTTTCAGCCACGTGGATTGCACTTCCACTCTCTGCCCACTCGCAAGAGGGACTCCAGATTGTGCGGACCATTGTGTTTTCCACCAAATCCATCTCCCCAACTGCACCACCACCGCCTGTTGGTCATTCACCTTCAACCCTTTCGGCGGAAAACTCGACGCCGATGGCGAGATCATCCAAGATGTCCTCGTATTCCGTTCTACCTCCCCCGGCGGAAAGGCCGTTTCCGCTCCAAACTTCGTGTTCACATGTGTTCCGTCTCCTTTTAAAGGCGCGCTAGCCCCCGGAGTGAAGGGCGTAGCCGGTTTAGGATCTGCTTATCCAGCTCTTCCATCTCAGCTTGGTCGGATTTTCAACTTCCCGAGCAATTTCTTGGTTTGCTTAAGTTCTTCCACCAAGGCCAACGCCGGCGCGGTGGTTTTCGGGGATTTGGGTCGCTTCCCGGCACTTGTTAATGACGACATGTACAAATCTATGATTAACACTCCTATTATAAAAAGTCCATTTGGAAATGCAACACCACTTGGGAGAGAATTTACGGAGTACTATGTCGGGTTGACCTCCATCAAAGTCAACGGTAAAGTTGTGCCAATCAACGCCACATTGCTATCCATTGATGAACTTCAAGGCTATGGAGGAACGAAAATCAGCACCGCTCATCCTTACACCGTCGTGGAGAGATCAATTTACCAGGCCGTGGTTAAGGCTTTCGTCGAAAAACTCCCATCAACAGTGACTAGAATAACTCCACCGGTAGAACCTTTTGGAGAATGCTTTAAAGGTATTAATAATCTTAACTCGGTACCTTCCATCGATTTTGTGTTCCAAAACAAAAAAATAGCCTGGAGGATTTCGGGATCGAACTCGATGGCAAGAATTAACAAAGATGTCACGTGCCTTGCTATTGTGGAGCTTGCAACTTTTATAAGCCCGAGTCCTGAGTTGGAGTTTGAGCGCGAGTCGGCGATAACGATCGGAGCACATCAAATGGAGGAGCACTTGCTGGTGTTTGATCTCCAGAGTTCAATGATTGGCATTAGCCCTTCTCTCGTGTCCCGCAAAACGACGTGCGCCAACTTCAACTCGAAGTACTAGCTCATCCTTTGATGGATGATTCTTTGCATATATTCCTACCTCGCAGCACCTTGTTTGCTGGTTCGATCAATACATGTAATTTTCAATAAATACTGATATACATATAATCCTACTTCATTGTATTCAGCTCCCGGATACCTTTGTACCAAGTGGTTATCTTTTTTTTAATTGAAATTAAAGAAGGTCAAGAGACACAATGAACTTTACATGAGTGTTGTTAATATGGTGAAGGGTGAGGAAGAAGTAAGCGGCATGCATCGGGGCCTAGTGTTGGCCATCCGTGTGCTGTTGAAACGGGAATGGTCGGTGGAATTGAAACATATTTACCGAGAGTTTGAATTTTGCAACTGATTCGTAAGCAACCCTAACGTCGTCTAGTCCAGGTGGTTTGCAACGGTTAGAGGAGCTCCATGAGTATTAAAACTTTGGTTAAAACATGATATTAAGACATATGCCTCCTTTTCTTGTTAAAAAAAAAAAAAAAACTTTACCTCTCTTTTACTACTGGTAATAACGGGTGTAGGGGTTTACTATAGTCACCATTGTGTATGAAGTGTGCAATTTGTGGTGGAAGTGAAAAATAAAAATGAAAAAAACTATGCAGGCAATTACGGTATAGAGGATCAGGACAATGGGAATTCTCTACATTCCTAACACTGTAATGGTCTAATTAATTGATAAACGGGAAGTAATAGGATTATTGGAATGAATTAATTTCCTCATATACAATTTTATGTATTGTAAGAAATTGTAGTACTCCTTCGCTCCTTAAAATAAGGCATTGTGATTTATCTTAAATTTCACCTAGTACGTATTTTTAATTGATAAAAAATTTTAAAAATATATCTTGACGTTCGTGTTCTCTTGATTGTTATGAAATATTTTTGAGATGTTTTTGTCAATTAAAAATGCGTACTATGTGAAATTTGGGACAAAAATCGAAATATCTTATATTATGGATAGGAGGGAGTATTATATATATCAGGCTGCAATTGCGAGAGGGGGGTAACTAAGGAAAACTTGCTTGAGCTTGATGATCTCGAAAAAGGTCAACAGTTGGGTTCAGCCGACTCCAACGCCATGAAGCTAGCGCAGACTTACTACAGGTTTTAACTTTTGAGATTCAGTTTGCTTTTATTTAGTGTCGGTTTTATTTGGATTCACCATATCTTTCACCTTGCAGCTTAGTTCTGAGTACATTACGGCGAAATTCCATGTCCTCCCTCATCAGCCCATCACGCACATCTTTGTATATAGAAATAACCTGAACTCAACTCCGGAAATCATTTTTTCCTAAATATATTAAGCATCGGAGTTCAAAATCATTACTCTCACTAATTCAAGTTTGAGCATGATAATAACGAAACTCTAAATTGCTTCTAATTTATATCCAGATTCCCATAGTTCAGAGTTCCGTACATACGATCATCTTTTTTTGTCTTATTGTTTTAGGATTGAGTAATGAAATTCTTGGAACACATCTCTAATCTCCATATAAACTAACTCTTAAGTTATCTTTAAATTCGATGGAATAACTCGTAAACTGAAATACACAAAGGCAATAGCCGTTGCACGTGTATGGGATTATGGAGCTGGACTCATTGATTACATGAATATATGTGTATTACTAACAGTTAAAGGTCACACAACTAGCTTTAAACGTTCCATTTTTTTAAAAAACCTTTGCATGATACCTATATTAATGTACCCAATGTTATTGTATCAAAGCAATTAGCCATAAAATTAAAGCTTAGTCAATTAAGCTGAAATTTAAGGTCTCTTCATGGCGCTCCATGATGTTAATAGTTTTTCCCTGTTGTTTATTCTTCTTCCTGCGTTAACCTTGTTTTTAGTCTCCAATCAGTCTCATGCCGTAACAACTTCACCTTCTTCACCCAAAGGAATCGTCCTTCAGGTGACCAAAGACCCGGCAACCCTCCAATACACCACCTTAGTTCAACAAAGAACTCCCCTCGTCCCAATTAAACTCACAGTTGACCTCGGCGAAGGATCACTTTGGGTTAGCTGCGAAGATGGCTACAAAAGCTCCACTTTCAAGAACGTGCGCTGCCGCTCCGCCCACTGCGCGCTCGCGAGAAGCATTGGCTGCGGAAACCGTTGCGCTTACTCGTCGAATCATCTCCCCAACTGCACCAAGAACGCGTGCTTGACGCTCGCCATCAATCCCTTCAGCGGAAATCTCAACGCCGATGGCGAGGCCGTAGAAGATGTTCTCCTTCTTCAATCCACATCCGGCCAGGTTGTTTCCGCCCCGCATTTCGTGTTCAATTGTGTTCCGTCTCATTTCACCTTTGGCCTAGCATCTGGAGTGAAGGGCGTAGCCGGATTGGGATCTACCTTGGCCGCTCTTCCAACTCAGCTGGCTCAAACTTTCAGCTTCCGGAGAAAGTTCTTAATTTGTTTAAGTTCTTCCACCAGGGCTAACGCCGGGGTGGTGGTTTTCGGGGATTCAGGCAGATTCCCGACACATAAAAAGAATAATAACACTAGTGATCGCATCTACAAATCCCTGATTTATACTCCTCTTTTGAAGAACCCAATGGGTAAAGATTCCAAAGGAAGAGAATCATCAGAGTACTATGTTGGGTTAACATCCATCAAAGTCAATGGCAATGATGTGCCATTCAACACCAAATTGTTGTCCTTTGATTATGAAGGCGGAGGCGGAACCAAGATCAGCACCGCTCATCCTTACACCGTCTTGGAGAGATCTATTTACCAGGCCGTGCTTATGGCTTTCAATCACGAAATCCCTCTAAATGTGACCAGATTAAACACACCAATCGAACCTTTTGGGGCTTGCTTCCGAGGTATTACTCCTAACTTAGTACCTCCCATTGATTTTGTGTTCCAAAACCAAAAAACAGTGTGGAGGATTTCGGGGAACAACTTGATGGCCCGAATCGACAAAGATGTCATTTGCCTTGCTATTGTGGAGCTTCCAAGTTTGAAAAGTGATACTACTGAGTATGAGTTTGAGCGGAAGTCGGCCGTAACGATTGGGGCACATCAGATTGAGGAGCACTTGCTAGTGTTTGATCTCCCTAATTCAATGGTTGGGTTTAGCCCTTCTCTCTTGTACCGCAAAACAACATGTTCCAGCTTCAAAGTCTAGACCCTAAATTCTAAACAAACTAGCTCTTCTCTTTTCTTTGCGTGGAGATGCTTTCAAGTTAATTTCAAGCATCTTCATTCTTGAAGCAACGTTATATTAGCCGGGTTTAGTTAATATTGGTTTCAGTTTAACATTTCAGGTGTTATGTGTGTGTGTTTTTCTTCATTCTCATCTAGTATTCTTCACGTGATCACGTCCTCAAAAATAAAAATCTTCATGTGTGTTAATCAGTAATGGGAAAGATGTTGAGTTAATCGGTATCAATCACAAACCTTTGAGAGTACTCATTTATAATTTTTCTTTCAAACTTATTCAATTGTGTCCCCAACAAAAAAGTGTGTATTGCGAACATTGAAAATAATAGGACAATTAAGTACTTTAGTCAGTATTTGAAGGGCAATTTTGTAGAATATATAAACTTGAGGGCACATGTGAAAGCAGGTTTGTCAACTGGTAGAATAAAAGGATGCTTTGTGGATTCGGTGGATTCTCGGAGTGTACATAAAGAATTCTTCCTTTTTGGAATGTTCAGCCTAAAAATGATTCGAGTTGGCAGTGGAAACAAATTCTAAAGATTCGGGATCTTGCGAAGGATGGATTTGTTTGGAATAAGTGGAAGGGAACAAGTAATGGGAAATATTCGATAAAGTCAGGATATGAATGGTTATGTGGTCAGGGGATGAAAATGTTGGAGTATAATTGTATCTGGTCACGAATGAACTTGCTGAAACATGCCATTGTTACATGGTTAGTCTGGAAAAAAAGGCTTCTTACCAGGGATAGACTTGCAGCAATGCAGGTGGGGATTCCAGATATGAGCTGCATTCTTTATAAGAAATGGCCGGAAACAATTGAGCACATCTTCTTCCAATGTGAGTTTTCTAGGGATGTACTGGAGAAAGTGGTGATATGGCTGCATTGTAGAAGAATTTCTGTTGTGGAATCCAGATGAAAACAGCAGATTATGAACATATGGAAAAGCCAGAAACTTAAAAGAAAGATCCTATGGACTGCTTTATTGCTTGTATCTACCATCTATGAGTACGTGTGTCTAATGGCATTCTAAGAGTGATCCAAATGGAAGTGCAGTACAGAGTGATGTTCAGGAGGAAGAAGCAGATGGAAGATGGGATTTTAAAGCAAATTTTCAAAGTGTAATGCGGTTATTTTCTGTGTGAGTTCGTGCTGGATTAAAAATGGGTGTCTAATGATGTGTTTTGAGTAGTTTTCTGTTTGTTTAATCAAAGATGATGCATCCACTGCAATTTTGTAGCCATAGCTGAGATGTAGAGTGTAAAGACTCTGAATTGTCTCTTGGTGATTTGTAATATATATTTACATTTTCACAGAAAAAAAAAAAAAATTATAAGACAACATTTCCAATTGTACATTTTCTCGCTTGACACACTGCATTCTACGTAATTATACACGTCATCAAATCAACTTATTCAATTGTCACATGTAAAAATAAAATTCTAAAAACTAAATTGGTGTTTTGATGCATTTAATTAGGAATACGATATTGAATCACATTTTAATTATCTAATTATATTGTAATGAAAAAATTCCAATTTATGTGTCCTTAGAATAGATAATCTCCGCATTATTTACCCTAAGAATTGATTTTCACGAATCATGTTCCCTGTGTTTGAATTTATTGTTCAAAAATACTTTTTTGAGAAATAAAAAAATGTTATCCCAAACTGTTACATTTTGCCCCCAAACTTCTAGAAAAGAGCAATTACATACTAAATTTGCAATTGCAGCCTAAATTTTATTGATTTTATAAAAATTTACCTTTGGGTCAAATGTGAGCAAATTACACTTTGACTTTTGGTAAAAAATTTCTCATTGCTTCCAGTATTAATTTTTTTAATATCAATATTTTTTCTTTATTATAAATTGTATTTATATTTTTATTTGTCGTTCTTACATGTTGTTTTAGAAAATAGTTTTGTCAGTGCTATCTTTTTTGCTAATTTTTTGTTCAAGTTCTTGGCACTTTTATTTATTTTTGGTATTACATAATTTTTTTAGATTTTGTTTTCATTTGCCTAACATATAAATATAACTTATAATATCTGGCACGTGCTATATTCATCGTTATATTGGGTAAATCTAGATAGGCTTATCCACGAGAAATACAAAAATAGTGATATGTTTGATTGTAAGTTTTGTTCTTGTTTTGACTGTATCTCTTATTATCAATCGTTACGGGACGATTTTCAATAAAAAGTAATATAATATAGTTTTTATTTCAAAAAAATATACATAAATACAACTTATAATATTGAAAAAATAGTTCAAAGAAAAAAAAATGTATATTAGAAAGAACAAAAACTAAGTCAAGGAAAACTTTTGACCAGAAGTCATGGTACAATTTACTAAAATTTGACCCAAAATGGAAATTGTTATAAAATCAATAAAATTTAAGGTGTAACTTACTCTTTTGTAAAAGTATAGGGGCAAAAACATAACAATTTGGGATGATTTTTTTAATTTCCCATTTTGCCCTTGAAACAGGACTTACAAACAATAGATTCAAACATAAGTAACAAAATTTGAAAAGACCAATTGTTAAATTACACAGCGCGAAGATCCCTTATCCCAAGGGTACGTAAAATGGAATTTCCACTACTAGAATTTGCTCTAAAACAATATTGTCTCGTGTAATCAGATTAGTTAGAATTTGCTCCAAAAAGTAATCATGTTTCATGCAAACAAATTTATAACCATATTTTACTAGTACATACAAGTAAATATTAAGTGCATCCAATGTACCACGTCAGCATATAGTCTTGGGGGTAAAAAAATAAACATTCATGGGAATCAAAAAAATGGTTACTTATTTCTTTATTATACTCCCTCCGTCCCATAATTATCGTCCAGTTTGAGTTTTCAGTTCTAATTTAAATTGTACTAAAAGTGAAATCTCAAACTGGAATATAATTTTAGAATAAAAGGAGTAATTAGTTTGTTATACTAAAAAGTAGGATGCAGTAGATGTATAGAATACTTTCTCAGTATATACAGAGAGAGTAAGAGAGAGCTACTCAACGATTACATATCCGAAACTGCTACATTGTTAACTTACCGAAGTATAATCGTGGAAAATCCAGACATGTAAGACTGTCCAAATTCGACGCCTCCACAGACCATAAGTAATTAAAAAATCAGTTGCAAAATTAACTTTCGTGTAGACGTATTTCAATCTCACTACTGGTGCCTGTTCATAATCTCTGCAACGAGGGGATATATGAAATTAAACATTATGCTATTTAAAATGAAGCTCGCTAACCCCGCGATTAGTTGGTCCTCTTCGTATGAGTCACGGGGTTTGAAGTTCTTCAAGTTATTCTGATGCATTATTTGGTTGTTAATCTCCTCCCTATGATTTTTAGTTTTGAAGTCACTTTCATAATCTGTCGAACCTTTGACATATACTATTAAGACTGGTGATACACGAGGAGATTAATATGTTTAAATATGAAATATTCACTTAGTATTAATTTTGATTTACAAATGTGATTCAAGAGTGATGATACACAAAGAGATGAATACGCTTAAATAAGAAAGATTCACCTATATTAAATTTATGAATCGAAATATAGATGAGTGTGATTCAATCTGCCTTGTTTCAGTCATAACTTTATAGTCAAATATTGAAGTGAAACTAAAGTAAATAAAGTTCGATTACAAATAATTTTGTTAACACCCTACAGGAATTTGATTCGTTTGGTGTCTCATTATGTAGCATTTTGATTATTAACATTGAAAGTTTGCAAGTATTTACCGTGGTAACTTTATAATAACATATGAAAATGATTGCTAAATTCATCGGCCATTTTCTCCAAAAAATAAAAAATTAAACTACTTTCTTTATCTTAAAAAAATTGATGTTTTATTTAGTAGTACACTAGTACTATATTATTTTTGTGATGGCTGGACTACTCAAATTAAAGCAACGAGAAATATCTTACCTTAATTAAGGGACTCAATATAAAATCTTTTTCTCCAACTAGTGACAGCGAGACTGCGACACCAATTGTTTCTTTCCTTATATGGTACTCCCTCCGTCCCATAATTATTGTCCAATTTTACTAAAATAAAAGATTTTATTTTTTGTCAAACCTAACTATATTTTACCTTAAACAACCAGATATACCCCTACATAAGCAATTGTTTAACCACTAAAATTTTATGGATAGTGTTTTTTACTAAGGACAAATGTGTAACTTGATCCATAAAAAGTCAAATTGGACAATAATTTTGGAACAAAATTTTTTGAGCAAAGTGGACAATAATTATAGAACGGAGGGAATATTAACTAGTACGTATATTAAGTTGACAAGTTATTTGCAAATTCTCATTTCAACTTTCAAGTATCAAACGAAAGGTAAAAACATTTTTGTTTTTCCAACCATTTTTTTTTTGCCCAAAACGACAGCATCACTATGTGACCAAACGACATCTCCCAACTCCCGATTAGAGTTCTAGACCTAACGAATGATAAAGGAATCCCATGATTAATAATGATTAATGGGTATGGAAAACAACATTTACTACAATATCAACCAAAATAAAAATAAAAATAAATTCCCAAAAGCGAGAGGAAGACAGGCTGTTTTAACACCCAGCCTCCGTATTATAGTACTTACCGACATGTCGGTCAGATTATATTCCTTTTCCTTCTTCAATCACCACCCTACTTAAGTCAACACACTCAACTCCCAGCAAACCACCACCACCTCCACCGCCGGCAGCCCTCATTCCGCGCTTCCCTCCGCCTTCTCGCTCCTCTCTATCCAAATCCAAAAGTCCAAACCTTTTTATAAGCAGCAATTTCCCTAAGACCAAACTGATTTTGTTCAGAACTGAAAGAAAAAGGGGGGGAAAAGAGCTAAAACCCATGAAGGGCAATGTACAGAGGCAGTGGTTTACAATTGGGCTGGTGGCTTCCTGGTATACATCCAACATTGGGGTTCTGATTCTCAACAAGTATTTGCTCAGCAATTATGGGTTCCGCTACCCGATTTTCCTGACCCTGTGCCATATGATAGCTTGCTCACTCTTCAGTTACATTGCTATCGTCTGGTTCAAAACGGTGCCGTTGCAGACCCTACGATCCCGTTCTCAGTTCCTCAAGATTTCCGCCCTCAGCTTGATCTTCTGTGGCTCCGTCGTCAGTGGGAATGTTTCCCTCCGCTATCTTCCCGTGTCCTTCACTCAGGCTGTTGGGGCTACCACGCCGTTTTTCACTGCCGTCTTTGCTTATTTGATGACTTTGAAGCGGGAGTCTTGGCTCACTTATGCCACTCTTGTTCCTGTTGTTACCGGTGTCGTCATTGCTAGTGGGGTAACGAACTAAACTATATCCTTTTTGAAGGGGCTATGTTTGATTTTTCAGACCTAAGCCCTAATTTTCAGTTTGCTGTTATTGTAACTTAAATTTATGTTTCAGATTTCATTTGGTTCTGTTCCTCTAGTATTATTGGCGGGTTAAAAGTAACGGCTACGGAATATTATGGTGTCTACGATGTGTAGTATTACTGGTTATAAGCAAACTGGGACATTTTTAGAGGGTACATTTTCTGTTAAGCTGCCTTCTCTACTTGTTGATTTTGTCCTTACGCTGTCCACCTTGCAGTTCTTGTTATTTGTAGCCAAATTTATGTGTTTAATATTCAATAAGGCTCACGTTATGTGCTCGTTTATTTTCGAAGTTTGCATTTGCTTTGCTGACATAAGCTTTGTTACCTGTAATTGCAAAGTTTCAACCTTGCTCAAGCTAGCACATGCTAGTGTGTTGCATAGGCACTTTTGAAAATCTTTCAGTGGGCTTGAATGTGGCTCTTGGCTATGAAAACTAGCCAATTATTTCCAGTTTGCTGGCAGTAATCCTCCGACTTTACGTTTCTTTTCCTACTTGTAGCTCTGGCATTAATAAACACCCCGGCAGTAGTAATGGAACCTCTCTTCTTTGTTGTCTATTTGTGTGTCATTATCCCACTTCAAAAAGGTTCATACACTGCTAAATGGCAAGAATTACGTCATCATTCACTTCCTCAGTACTTTGCTGCAGGGTGAACCAAGTTTTCATCTCTTTGGATTTTTGATGTGTCTTGGTGCAACTGCTGCGAGAGCATTGAAGTCGGTTCTTCAAGGGATTCTGCTATCGTCTGAGGGGTACTAATGAATCATATGTGTTAATATTTCATTAATAGTTTGGAATTTTGCTTATTTTGTTTGGTCTCTTATTATTATTCTTTTATTTTCTCAGTGAGAAGCTGAATTCTATGAACCTGCTGCTATATATGGCTCCAATAGCTGTTTTTGTCCTCCTTCCCTCGGCTATCGTGATGGAGCCAAATGTTGTTGCAATCACAGTTTCTCTAGCGAGAACTGATACAAAAATTGTGTGGTATCTGCTTCTGAATTCAGCAGTTGCGTATTTGGTCAACTTGACCAATTTTTTGGTTACAAAGCACACCAGTGCATTGACTCTTCAGGTATGCTCCCCCATTGCCAGACTTGTGCAACTTTACCGGGTTCTCCTTTTACTACTGTGGTTACTTCTGTAGTAGTTATTGTTCAAATGAAGAAGGTTATTTTTTGGAAAATTTTTTGAAAAGGGCACTTGAAAGATCAAAATTATTCGTAAGGGCATTAGCATTTTTTTCTCTTTATGATTCATATTAAAATAATTTTTATATCTTATAATATTGCAATGACTACTTTACCCCTTTTCCCGAACAAGTTACAATTACTATTTTATGTCATTTCTCTCACATAAATAGTCAAACTCATCTCCTCAATTTGTTATCTGCTCTATTCGTGACCCAATTTATTGGTATGTTTGTAACCCTAGTTTTCATTTTCTAAAAATTTGTACATGGTAAACTGATACAAACTTCCAGCCCCTTAATTTTGACAAATAATTTCCCTTGTATCGAAAATAAACTGCCTTAATTTTTATAAGCACCATATACTTGCCTAGTCCCAAGGTTCTAAGTGTTTCCCCAGTGAAAGAATGACCCTCAAGAGGTAGTATGATTGGAAGAGCAAAATAAACCCTTAAGATCGAAGCAAAGGAACATAATTCAAATATTGGCTTGATTTGACGGCTTAAGATTGTATAAAGAAGCTCTCAATTCATTGTCGATTCTTATTAGAAATCGGGGCCCCCGGCGAGAGATTCAAGCTATGAAATCTAAATTAGAAAGAAGATAACAAGAAAAGAAATTTGGATTCACGTGGTTTAAGTCAGCATTCTATAGTCTGAAACTTCGAATTGAAATGAAAAAAGGAACAGAGTCATCGCCGTCTGCCGTCGATCATTATTTCTTTTATTCAGAGAGAAAGATGGGGATTTATTCCTAAAAGGAAGGATAAAGTAGTCTTTAAGGTTGTTAAAAATCATTAACTATATTTAACCCATTTATTAAAAGAGTAAAAAATAGTAATGCCCTTAATAATAATTTTGATCTTTCGTGTGCCCTTTTGAAAAATTTTCCCTTATTTTTTTTTATTTCAAAAAGATTCACTGAGTTCGCATAGGTTTTCTTACTGATTGTTTCTTGAAAATCTTCTATTTGCTGTTGGAGGTTACTGCTTAGTTGTGTAATAGTTACACGTCTATGTCGAGTGACGGTTACTAATCATACCGGTGCTAAGTTCAGAGAATAAGATTGTTAGCAACAGATCTGTTGATTGTCCGTCACCTTGAGGTGATAGAATTATTCACTATTCAGAGATTTGTAGTTTTAGGCTAACTGGACCCCACTTTTTGCCGTTTTAACATATAATTTCCACGCAGATGAATCTAAATAGCCTCAATGTTTGCTGAGAAACTTACACATGAAATTCACATTGCTATGAAAGCTGTTAGTTGCAGTAAATCCATGGTCTCTAGTTTCTTTAATTATGGGAGACACTGTATTGATCAGGCATTCATCTCATCACACATAAGAACTGTATTGCCTATGAGTATGCATGCAATCTATGGCACACAAATTCTCTCATGAGTATATTTGGGGCTCTTAATTGAATAATCTCCAATCTATGCAGGTATTGGGTAATGCAAAAGGGGCAGTTGCTGTAGTTATTTCAATATTGATATTCAGAAATCCAGTGTCAGTTACGGGTATGTTGGGGTATGCACTTACTGTCTTTGGAGTGATTCTGTACAGTGAAGCAAAGAAGAAGAGTAAATGAGATGAGGATGTAAATTATATGTTGTTATATGTGGCATCAAGTTTTTGTGAGAGGAAACGAGTTAGTCCCTCGTGGTTGTGTGGTATTTCCCGGAGATCAGAGTGTTCCTGCAGCTTCGACGGAGAGACTCTGCGTTTTCCCACTGAATTTATCTCTGTAAAGATGCTGAAAAGCTGTTCATTCTGGATGTGTTACACACGAAATGCAGCAAATACTGCAGAAGTCTACTGAATTCAACTATCACGAAATCATTGATTAACAATTTAATTAGTGAGATCGATAGTGATGTAAACTTATTTTACTACGTTTTTTTATTTCTCCCACAAAGTGTACATTGTTGTAATAAACAATTTGTTAAACATCATTCAATACATACAATTACCACGCAAAATGAAATTTTTTTGGAATCCTGAATGTGAAGTAGATGTGCTCGACTCCAGTAATCTGTTCACGTCAATGGATTTGGGAACAGATTAGAGTACTTAAATTTGTTTTAAGATAGAACTCTGTCACCAGATTTGATTGTTCTACTTGTTTTGGAGGCACCGACAGGACTTGGCCGACAGAGGAAACCATGTCTGCATTCAGTGCCTTTCCAACTGACACATGAATCCATCCATCCATCCATGATCCATCACATAACTAATTCATTCTCTCGTTTGTATATAATCTGTTTTTTTTTTTCTTTTAATCTTCACTACCATTCAGCTTAGAAATGATATAGTACTACATTCTTTTGGTAGCAAAGTCAAAGAACGCGGCGTTTCGAGTTCGATTTGTGCCCAAAAAAAAAAAAAAAAAACAAAGAATGTGGACCGATTAGAGTGAGTTGGATTTGGAAAGCTTAAATAAATAGACACACTTTAGCACAATTTAGAATAAGAAGATGATGGTGACTTTTAAAAATAATAATACAAGGAAAGTCGCCAATTTGAGATCAAAACATACTTACTACTAGGCGCCAGCGAGGAACGGGATTTCTATCCAGTTATCATTGTTCATCGGAACCGAACCAATTACAGGAAAGAAATTTCGGGTTGACCAAATTATTTAGGGTTTCAATGGCAAAGTATCAAGAATCGTGGAGGAATCTGCAAACCAAGAAAAAAACTAGTAGGAAAATGCAATACAGGACTAATCACGAATCAGAATGAAAGTAGACGAGATGAGCTTTTTTTTTAGTGGGGAATGACCATAACAGCATTTATTCCGGCTTGCTTGCTCCCTATATCACTTCTTTTTGTTACCACTGCTATTTTTCTTTCCTCCAATCAAAATTCACCAAACAAACTCATCATGAATCTGAATCATCCCCCTTTTTTTGAAATTGGAAAAAATAAAATAAAATACCACTCCCTTAGTTTTATTTGAATAATAATACTACTACTCCGTAGTAACTTTTTTAGTTCAACACAAAAATCAAATAATTAAATTATTTAAATCAGACGGAAAAATAAAAGCACGCAATAAGTGTGACAATTAACAAATTTGGAGTTGCTTATTGGTAATGGTGACTGAGAGAAACTGAAATCTGACAGAATTACAGCACTATCCGCGTCAGCATTTCAGCCAACAAGATCACTGCTATAAATATAAACAGAAGCGATCTTACTGGGGGGTAAAAACATTTAAGGCAGCATTATTACCGATTCGCTGCCGCTCCTCCTCGGTTGCACGCTTCCCGAGATCACCGGCCCCCAAAATTTCATCTTCTTGCCCCCCAACAAATTTTTTTTTTTGGGAATCCTCTTTAATCCGTCTTACCGCACAACAGCATCTTTTGCTGGTGAAAACTGACGTTACAGCTTTAGGCCTTTTTTATTCTAGTCTTGGGCAAGTATTTACTGAAAATCCATGGCGGATCACGGCAAGTCTAAATCGGACATTTCATTTGCGGGGACGTTTGCCAGTAGCGCTTTCGCTACTTGCTTCGCCGAGGTTGGTTTTTCTGTTTTTTTTTTTTTTTATTTAATTTCACTGACTGAGATGCTGTTCATTTTTTTTTTCTTTTAATGTTCATTTCCCGCGCTGTTGATTTGAGTTGTTCTGCAAGATGTTGTGGATGTCTGTGATTCTTTACTATTAAAACATAACTAAAAATTAAAGCATGGATGAAAAAAAATGATTGATTGAAACCAAACAATCCATGGAAAATTGTTATTTGTGTTGGATGTTAATTGTTCTGATGCAGGGTGATCTTTCTGGTATGGTATTTCCCAATTTTGTTCAGATACTCACTCTCAGTTGATTGTGTAATGCTTTTCAATTTGCTTCATTTCTGGAGCTATTTCTCACGCAAATTTAGGGGGGTGGGGGAGGGAACGCTAATGTTGAAACTGCATCCCTCTTTGAGGCTTAGATTTTTTTTTTTTATTTGCATATCCTTTTTTCGTTGATTCCCTTTTCTCATGCTTTTGATTTGTTATCCCTATAACCAGATCATCCACTTGGGGCTTTCTTTCCCTATTAGCTGATCATGCCTGATCTTCAGAATTAGTCTCTTAAATCTCTTTTCGTAGCTGTGCATTTTTGAACTGAAACTGTTCTTTTCTTAATCTCGACGAAACTGTTTCCTCTAATTTGGGCAGCTTTTTCTGTACCATGCAGGTGTGTACTCTCCCGTTGGACACAGCTAAGGTGAGGCTGCAGCTGCAAAAGAAGGCTGTTGAAGGGGCGGCTTTGCCAAAATACAGGGGATTGTTGGGTACGGTTGGCACTATTGCTAGAGAGGAAGGTATGTCTGCATTGTGGAAAGGAGTTGTACCAGGACTACACCGTCAATGTCTGTTTGGAGGTCTCAGGATCGGAATGTATGAGCCTGTATGTATTTAGCTGGAGTAATACTCTGTCTTGTTAAATTTGTAAGTTCTATATCTCTGGTGACTGGTCTACAACGTTTATGTGTTTACCTGTGATGCAGGTTAAAAACTTCTATGTGGGCAAGGATCATGTTGGTGATGTGCCTTTATCAAAGAAAATACTTGCTGCACTCACAACTGGTCAGAAGCTCCCTCTTTAGTCTTTGCAAAGAGAAGCTTTCATTGTCTTTGTCTCAAAAGAAATAATTTTTCCTTTACTAATGCTTAATGTCTTCCCAGAAAGACTTTTGACTCTACATATTATTGATATTTTTTAACTGTATGTCAAAATAGGTGCTCTTGGAATTACTGTTGCAAATCCAACAGATCTTGTGAAAGTACGGCTACAAGCTGAAGGTAAGTTGCCGCCTGGTGTGCCAAGGCGATATTCTGGTGCAGTGGATGCTTATTCCAAAATCGTGAGGCAGGTAAGTTGTGATCTTTTCGATGCACCTTCCTCATTTTAGCTAATAATAAATCCTCTAATAGTCTAACTAGTTCCCTCAAATTTGATCGCTAACATTCAGGAAGGTCTTACTGCCCTATGGACTGGAATCGGGCCCAATATTGCACGAAATGCAATCATTAATGCAGCTGAATTAGCTAGTTATGATCAAGTGAAACAGGTTAGTCACATAGAAAGCTTCTGGCCATCTAAAGTTGTTAAGGCAGTTTTTAACTACCATGCCCCTTTGTTTGTATGCAGACTATTCTGAAGATTCCTGGGTTTACTGACAATGTCCTCACTCATCTTCTCGCTGGCCTTGGAGCTGGGTTCTTTGCTGTCTGTATTGGTTCACCAGTTGATGTGGTATGCATATTTTCTCCGTTCTTTCAATATCGATATGAGATCTTTCTGAACTTTTCAAATAAAGTTTATGCAAAACTCTGTTTGCTTGAAAACAATAGCGGGTTTATGCATCGCTTATCACTTATGATGGAGCACTGTTAGTTTGCTTTGGTGCTATTATAAACTGGGGCATCCTCAGTTTCTCACTTTATTTTAGTATATACGCGCCTGTTTGCGTGTTTTTCTTCTCCTACCTTTGCAGCTCGATCACGTTGTTTTATAGTTGTACCTTTGATGCAGTTGCTGTTGCTTTGAATTTTGAAAGTTATGTAGGAAAAGGTGTAACTTGGCAATATTCATTGTGTTGTACTGTTTCTGTTCTGTATTCTACTAATACAAAATCATAGAACATCAAATGAAATGTCCAAAATGTTTCGTACATACATTTTTTAAAGAATGTTGTCTAAAGGAAATAGGTATTGTTGTTCTTTAGATGTAAGCTGGTCCCATTTTGAGGCAAAAGAAGCACTGATTTCCTAAACTTGAAGGCGAATGTAATTTTCTTTGAACAGTAACATATCTTGTGATCAATGGTACAGGTGAAATCCAGAATGATGGGAGATTCCACATACAAGAGCACCCTTGATTGTTTCGTGAAGACTCTTAAAAATGATGTGGGTTCCGTTCCTCTCCTCTTCTGTTTTCTGCTCAAAAATTCAAAACAATGTAATAAGCTCTCTCTATCTCTTTGCAGGGGCCTTTAGCTTTCTATAAAGGATTCATCCCAAATTTTGGACGGCTAGGATCATGGAATGTGATAATGTTTCTAACCTTGGAACAGGTAAGAGTTGCAACATTAGGTCGACAAAACTCTGTGCTGGTTCTCTTCAATCGTCTGCTATTACGTAGACAAATATCTTAAATCCAGTAGCTAGAGCTAGTTCATTATACATCAAAATTCAAACATACTAAAAGTAACCCAAAAAAAGGGCCGGAATATGATCAGTTGATGTGCATCTATTAACGCATTGTTTTGGTTTCTTTTCCTGGTGATCTCAGGCCAAAAAGTTCGTAAGAAGCATGGAGTCCTCTTGACCTTGAACTCTTGAAGTATTAGAGTTTGATCCATTTTTTTCCAGTCTTTCTGGTTTGGAGGATAATAAAAGATAAAACAGTAACATCGATCTTCTTGTTCCTGTTGACCTCAATTTTTATTGATCTACTGGTGGCAACAGTTGAAAAATCAGTTGGTACATCTGTGGAATTGTTTACATCAATTATGTAATCGTTCCCCATATTTAGTTAGTAGTTCTTTTATTGATAAGGCACTTCTGGAGACTTGATTTGAGGCTTTAAAAATTTTAACGCCCCATATGTTTATGTACTACCAGTCTACCACATATTGTTGCTTTCTTGGAGCAGAAATTCTAATGGCGAAATTCATTTTCATTGCATTTGTATCTTGTCATCCTTTTAAGGAGATTTCCTTGTGCTTAATCTAGTTTGGGAAAATCGAATGGAAGAACTGTTATCCCGCATATACAAATCAAATTTTTGTATGCACAAAATGTTTTTTTGGTACATTGAAAGAGGGCAAAGCCTAAAATACTAAACTATCATAAGGATAAAAATTTACTGGTGATGAAGTTGATCAAGCAGGAACTACACTGGAGGCTTGAACATTGCTGGTCGAGTAAGAGATCAGTTAAAGTTGTAAAACTGTTGCATAAGTTGTTTGATTAGTTGCAGGAAAATTTTGATGTATAGTTAAGAGCTGGTAGTTAGCCTTCAAACAAGGAAGTTTTGGTTGTAAATATGTGATGCGTTTTGATGATCAATATATATGTACATTTTACCAAAAAAAAATTTACTGTCGACATCCAGTAATCACGCCGTAGTTTCACAATCCTCCAATAGTCACGCTGCAAAATGAGTGTGCCGACGATTTTTGTAACATATGTAATTTATGGTTTTAGATAATGTGACACACATCAATTTCACTTTTATTTTTATTAGACTTTTAAATTGAAAATGCGTTGATTTTTGCTTATTTTGAAGGCAACATAAGGACAGTATTGTTACTCTTAATTGCACTTACTGCGATAGTTTAGTGTTTAGGACTTTTTCATTGGGGGAAAAAAACAATTTAAATAGAGAATTTAATCAAAAAAGATTAAAAAAATTAAAAAAAAAAAAAAGAAAAGAGGAAGAAGAAGATAACCATTGTAGAGTGCAGACACAAGAAACTTACGTTGGGCAGGATAGCCCAATTTGGAGGGACTTTCTTAGTCATAAAAGAATGTATAAGGACCAATGGACAAATAACGGAAACTAAGAGATAAAAATAAAGAGTGTTTATTTTCAAAGCCACCACCTTTACTACTTGAAGCCACATATTTTATAATTAGACCATTTTACCCTTATAATTTTTTTAAATCAAATAATTTGACTAGAAAGAAAATAAAAAAAATTGAAAATTTAAAAATAAAAAATAAAAAATTGACCGACCAGGCGGTTCACCCGTCCCGTGTCCCGGGTTAACACGGGACGAGTGGATTGCTCGTCTGGTCCCAGTTCGGTCGATATGATGAACCGGACCGGTCAGGCCTTTTTTCTTAATTTTTGTTTTTTTTTTTAATTTTTTGGTAATTAAAAAATAGCAATATTTGATATTTAAAAAAGTCTAAAAATTAAAAAAAAATCAATCGGATTCATTGCTATTTTTTTAATTTTTAGATTTTTTGTTGTAATTAGTTAATCTAGTTTTTAGGTCATTAAAGTTATTACTAATTTATGATTTGAGTTACATTAAATATCACCAATCTTTGTAGTACAAAAAATAGTTAATCTAATCGCACATATTTGTCACAATCTTTGTAGTACGATTATTATTTTTCATTATAAATGTATAATTATTATTTTAACTAAAAATTATCTTTAAAATAATGATTAAAACAAAATTTATATTTTAATATCAATTCAAATAAATTAACTTAACAAATAATCTTAAATTTTTTTTTAAGTAAAAATTAATTACTTGTTTATTTTCAAGTAAATATAAAATCGAGAGTTTAAGCACTAAAGTATAAATATTGTTAATAATATTTAAAGTACGAGTTATTTAACATGTAATGATACTGTGAATAATTTATCCGTTCTCACGTGAATCGAACCGAATAACTTGTCCGGTTTGGTCCGAGTGGCAAGGGCAAAATGACAGAGACAAAATGATCCAAAAAATTTTTTCGTGGCTTTGACTACTAAAGTGGTTGGCTTCAAAAATCCACCCCAAAATGAAAATATTTCCTTGGGGCAAGGGCCTGAAAAAAGAACTGCCTTTGAGGAGGATTGAACGAAACCCCTTCGTCGTCTTCACCGGTTGTGCTTGCAAAGGGGTTTTTCCGAGAAAAAAACGACGACGTCAAGTGCCGGGGTCCTACTGATACTTCATCAATTAGACGCCCTCCCCGCTGATTTTGTAAGTTCTTTACCTTTTTTTTTGTTGGATTTAGTATTTATGGTGGTGGTGGATACAGTCGCCCACCGCTCTTTGGTATTATTTTTTGTCATTTGAAAATCTCGTGTTAGTTGAGGGTTTACGTTCTTTCGACTTCGTTGTTTTGTGTAAACAATTTCTGATTGGAGTTTAGAAACTCAATCGCTCTTTACTTGAATTTGATGGTGAAATTTTTTCAAACCATTTAGGAAAAAGAAAAAAAAAAGGGGGCGAAATAAATGGGTTAGGTTTCTGTGAGTTCTAGTCTCGTTTTATGGAAATCATGTGTTGCATATCGGAAGGGGTTCCATTTTTGTTCCTTTTGCAGCTTGTTTTACAGTTTTGGAATTTTGTTTTTATTTATGTCACACGTTCTGGTTTCCGATGCCTCCATTGTTTGATTTGAACTTCGCGCATAGCGTATCCAGCTTTATTGCTTCTCTGGAAGATATATAATTTGTGTGTACTTTGTCTCCTGTAGAACAATTACGGTTGTCGTAGATCTTATGAGTTTGAAGTTTACTTAATGAACCTACTGACTTCATTTCGGATTGCCACCATCTTCTTTGTCGAGTTTTTTGATTCCTGACTATACTGTCTGGTTTGTTCCTTTGTTTGTCAGAAGCTCTTCGAATATCCTCTGATTTCTTGCTTTTGTTTGCGTCAGCAGGAATAGGACAGTTTGAACTCGATTGCTATAAGTAACACTAGTTTGGAAATTGTCTGAAGAAGATGCTTCAGATCCGTCTTAGAAAGCCATCTAGCGAAGGTGGAGGAGGTTCAAAGCCTTTGCCCCCTGATGCGGTAACAGTTGCATGTCCTGATCACCTAGTCTTAGCTGATCTTCCTGTAGCTAAAAGTCTCGGTTCACCTTCTGTCTCTGCCCTCTCCAAGATTGTTGGTCGAAGATCCCGTCGCCAACTTGGTGAAAGAGTTCACTTTTGTTCGCATTGTGACTTCCCCATTGCTGTCTATGGACGTCTGGTATGCATCTGCTACCATTTTTTATTTTGTATTTCTAACTTCTTCTGAGATGTTTTTTTTAATTGTTTTTATTGTACCTTGGGTTGTATGTATGCATTCTATTTGAAATTGAAATTTCTTCAGATGGAATTTTAATACATATTGTATTGTTGTAATAGTTATCATGGTTTTATTCTTTATACAAAATCAGTCGTTTCCTCTTTTTGCTATCTATTGCAAAAGAAGTATGATATAATATTTTATCAATCATGAATATGTATGTAGTTCAGGAGCTCTTTGCACTCTTACTTGTGCAGGGTATTGGTTGCTCACTGGTTTATTCTTGCGCAGAGTCCTTGTGAGCATGCCTTCTGTCTGGATTGTGCTAGGAGTGATTCTTTCTGCTTCATGTAAGTTTTATGTTCAAAAGTATTCCTGATCTTAGTTACAAAACTGGATACGTTAAGCACAACATATTCACCCTTAGTGTATAGGGTTGGGGACATTCATGGTTCATTTATTCATTATGTCTGAGCATTGTAGGGATCCTTTGAGGTGTGAACAGTTGGCCAGATTTTATAAGATTTCCCAAGGCTACTCTTATAAAGAATAGTAGTAATATTTTATCTCAAAGAACATTTTCCTGTGAGAAGTTGGTGAGGAACTTTTATTTGCATCAATTGTGTTGAAATGTTTCAAAAACGTTTCTGTTGCTCAGGTGTAATGAGCGCATTCAAAAGATTCAGACTATTAAGATGATGGAAGGGATGATTATCTGTGCTGCTCCTCACTGCCTGAAATCTTTTCTCAAGAAGTCAGATTTTGAGACTCATATTCAGGAGACACATGGAGACCTTCTCCGTTCAGGTGCCGGAAAAGAAGGAAATGATTCAGAAGTAGCCAGCACAAGAAAACCTGCAGGCTCAGATTCTACAGTTCAGGCCCCACCAAGGCCTCCTTTTCCTTCCCACCCTAGTTCCCAGTCTCTTGATGCTCATCGTCCACCTTTCAGGGACCAATTAGCTCCTAGGCCTGTGATGCCCCCTAAGGGAATGCCACCCTTTCCTGGGCCACTTCATAATCATTCCTCAGAACAATTTATTGACAACAATGCGCCTCCAGGTTTTGATAGGCTGGGTCCCCAAAACAGATTTGCTCCGCAGGGTATTGATTCACCTGGTAGCATGCGACAAGAAAGTCAGCTTCCAGACAAGCAGCGCGGGATCAGAGCGGAGTCTCCTTTTCGGGAGTATCCTTACCAGCCGCCCCCTCTTCAACCTCCTGGCCCCAATTATGCTCTTCCAGTGATGATGAATCCAGCCTTGGCTGCTCCTCAATTCGGTTACCCTCCATTTTTGCCTGATGGAGCTCAACCTGTGTTTGGTGCTCCCTATGAGATGATCAGGCCAGAATCAGCACCAGAGCAAGGATCAGAACCTGGTTTTCCCCCTGGTCCCCCGCCAATGGGTGTAAATTTTGCTGATGGTTATCCTCGTCCTTGGAATATGGGGCCTGGTGTCGGGTCCTTCGAACAAACTTCTAGTGGTCAAGGCGCTATGGAGAGCTTCATAAATAGTCCATCTGATTCTCAAGTTAGGCCTCCAGGTTTTCAGGGGGATTATGGACGAAGTCCAGGCCCATTGCCTTCAAACCTACCGCTGCCACCTTCAGGGAATAAAGGGTTGGAAAGTGGAACATCTATGGACCCTCGAGATAATAAGGGAATTTTGGCAGCACCTCCACCATCTCTTCCCCTCCCGCCACCACCACCACTTCCTTTTCCTCCACATTTGGCTCAGATTAATCGAGGCCAGTTCTACCCTGACGAGGCAAATAATGACGGGTAGGGCTTCAGTTGACGAATGGGAATTGCGACAGTGTTAATTTTGCTAAGTTTTGAGTCTTTTCAAGTACATTGTTGCTTTTTTTAGTTCTCGTTCGCTTTAATTTTGTAGCCAGCCAGTTAAACTGTTACGTTCCAGTTGATGAATGTACTTTTTGTAGCTTTCTTCATACATCCAATGTATGTCCTAATCTTTCAATATAGGGAACAGTTTTCTCGGTATATTTTTCTTTGCTCCTCAATGAAGTAATCTAATTTGTTGTTTCTGCTTTTTATCAAGAGCAGTTTGAAGTAATCTCAGCCTAAGTAAATTTGTACGTGGGGAAAGTACTGTAATTAGAATGCCTATACATATTCTTGATACATCTAATGGAACTAAACTCGCAAAGAAGTGAAAATTTTTCTCGCAGGACATAGTTCTATTCTCGTATTTCTGAAGCTGAAAATTGTTGAAAATGGCACAGTAAGAAGATCAGCTAGCTTTCTTTTCGTCCAAAATCATACTGGAAACCTTGCTGATGCATTTTTTATCAAGTCTCTCGTACAAAATACCCAATGTCTTGTAACCAGAAAATGCATATACGTCAATCACATCCTCGTACTTTTCATAAATTGCTGGAACTGTGAGAAGTAGAAGAAGGCCTGCCACGAAAAAATACACAAGATTTCAGCATCAACTGAAAGAGTGTTGTACAAATTGCTGAGAATATATGTTCATTTAGGACTACAAAACTTACTAGCATACGCCAGAGTGAAAAGATCGGTGAAGCTGCCAATGATAGATATTAGAAGCAGAGATGCCGATACTTTGGCAAACATTATGGAGTCCTTCCCTAATGCTATATCTTCTGCTATTGCGAGCATATTATTAACGTTGTCTCGTATGAAGACTGCTGCATCATTCACCATTTCCTCCGATAGATGCAAATGTGGTAAAGGTGGAGCAGGTCTGTTTCAGAATTCGCAACAAAACTAAGCATGTTCGCTTAACTTGAACCTCAATATTAGTGATAAGGACAGAGTAGCTGCAATATTGCAAGCATTATAAAACTAAATCGCCGAACCTCAGAAAAACCACTGCCCCCAGACTCATACTAGTATCGTCCTACCCTCGTTTTCCGGCCATTGGCTTCTCAAGATTCTCAGGGAAAGCCGGTCAAATTAGCCTAGCCTTGAGGGAATTTTTTTCAGCTGGCTTGGAGGTTTCTGACCCTCTATAGTCTATACACAGGCTCGCCAATCATAGAAAAATCTCATATCTACATTTTGTTGGTCACATTCACAGATTCACTCCCCGCATGTGCGTTGTTTCCAAATGAAAAAGTTGAAGAAAAATTGGAAGGTACTAGAAAAAGATAGCTTTTATTTCTTTACGGAGGCAATGAAACATCGAAACTAAGAGCAAGGGAATGGAGAATCGAAAGAAGGTAAAGTATACTTTGCTCCGGAAGAAATCGATATCAAAGCTACAAAATCAGTCATTTCAAAGACTTGAACCAAAAAAAGAAAAATGATAATCTACCAGTCCTTTTCACATTACCTGTTTACAATGGCTGCTGATTTGGACCAGACAAAAAGAATGGTGAGTAGGAGGAACAGAACACTGGATACCCAGGATACCAGTGTATAACCTGATTTTTCAAACACCAACCAAGCAGCCAATGTTGCCACTAATATCCCCGCAGTTAAATTTTTACGCCTCCACAACACCACATCCGCAACTGTCAAACAAACAAAGGTGCTAAGAACATAAAGATTCGTGTTTTTTAAGCAATGAGAGCCACTCTAGTGATAATTTTGCCAGTATATTTAGCTGCAGTAGAAGCTGGGTATGATCAAATTTCGCATTAATATAATCAACAACATTAAATAGAGTGCAGCATTGAATTATACCAGAAAAAAATCCCAGATGCTAATAAAGACTCAATCTTGATGATGAGGATGATGATGACTTACCAATTCCTCCTCCGAGAATTTCATGAACCGTTCTTTTCCTATTAAACAACCGGCCTGCTGAATCCATTTAAAAGTTAAAACCCAAATGAAATATGATCCCAGAAAGCAAATGTAAAACCGCTCCCTTCAAGAACAGGGGATAGGCTCCAGGATATTCCGGATAAACTTCTGTGTCTTGTTGTTATGTACTTTGGACGTAGAAACGGAGACCACCATGATATGTCCTGCTCTCCTGTTTTTAACTTTTAGTTTCGATCAAAGTTGAAGAGTTATCTTTTATTAGTGTTTGATCAAATTTTCCATTTGCCAGCCCAAAAGCTTGAAAAATATACTCATTTGCTAAAGGGGGATCCTTTCTCTGTCATTCGCCCTTTTTTTATTTTTTCTCTAATATACCACTACTAGTCCTAGAATATTTTCATGTAAGGTTGGCATGTGGGGTCCATCTGGAAAATGGAAGAGTGGGGTGTAGGGTGTTGGCTGGCCCCACCTGGCTCTGGCCGGTGACTGATGATGACAGAGACTTGCTTTGCTTTTGAAGATATGGTCGACGACGAGGACATTCCACACATGTGGCTCCTCCGACTTGTGCTTTTTTTTGTTGGATTCCAAATTTTACTTTAAACTGCTTCCACAGTTTAGGGTGAAAATCCCAACATTATTGTCCAGTTTGAGTCTTTATTTTTTATACATATTGAACTAAAAGTAAAATTTAAAATGGATAATAATTTTGGGACGGAAAGAGTAGTACCGATTCTTTCACTAGGGAGATCTGAAAAGCTTGTAAAAGAGGAATTAATTACTTTCTCGGACCGAAAAAATGCTGGTCCTGTTCGGGGACGGTAGGAGTAAATAATTGGCATAGTCAAAGTATATGGAGTTTCTGAGCATGTATGCAAAGGCCAGCACTGCAAACAAAAAAAACAACAAAAAAAAATGTTGGAAATTCTTTCTTTGTTTGCCTCTAGCAAAGGATCCAGAACAAGTCCAAATTCCAAACCTGTATCTACTTAGAGACTGAAATGCCTATTCCTGTAGAATGTTATGCGGCCACTGTATATTGAATTACATATCACAGTAAAAAATGCCAAGTTTGGTTGTTCTATTTTGAACCAAAGTCATTATTGTTACAAACGCACGCTCACATAAATCTCTTATCATCAGCACTAATCCGCGAAACTGTAATCTATAATGCACAAATCATTGGTTCCAAACTGAGGTTTTTGATCAATTGACCAAAACCGAAATTGTTAACCAACAGAGTATTCCTATCCTTCTTCTCAACATTCAACTTCTACTAGTTTCTTCATTGTTGCTCTTACTTTCATCTTGCGGCCTGACTTGGTTTTCTATTTCATCAGTGCTCTTAGTTTCAATTGTTCTGTTACCTTGAGCCTCTTCCACTGGCACTGGTGATAATGATGCTGTTGGTGCTGGTGATGGTGATGGCTCTGGTGCTGGTGTAGGGGTCGGTGTTGCCACTGGCATTGCAGCTGGTGCTTGTGTAGGCGTTGGCGTTGGCATTGTTGCTGGCACCGGTGATGGTGTTGCAGTTGGCTTTGCAGAATCTAACAAGCTGGCAGCAATTGCAGCTTTCAAATCTTCATCCTCTTCTTCTAAAAACAAATCTCCATCATCAGCATACTGGAGATAGGGATCAGGGGAACGCACCGGTTGATTGCTTCCTGGGAATCTTTGGGAGGAATTGCAAGACTTGGTGATTCTCTCCGCATCTTCAGGAGATAGCCATTGTCCATACCCATAAGTGGCATCAGATGATGCCATAGGGCACTCCTTCGGAAAATTCCCTCTTACTAAGAAAATGCTCCAACCTGAACCTTTGAGGGAACTCAGATAGGCAGAAAGGTAAAACTTAGATAAGTGTTCCGGGGCTGCATATAGACTGTCAAAGTTGTACCATTCTCCATTCACTTTCCTGATGCAGAACCAATGACTTTGTAGATTACAGATAAAAGCATTTTCAAGCTCTGGGTTCATCTTTGCCTGCTCAGCAACAGGGCTATCAAGTGGAATAACCTGCAAATCCCAAACTTCCAAAGCCTTTTGTAGGACCTGCAAGCACAAGTAAACTTCTTAAATGGAGTACACATATACTTAAACTTAACAAGAAAAACACAAGCTACAAGACAAACAAAACATGGATGTCAAATGTATTAACATAAAGTACCTAATTTTGAGTTCAAGGTAATCACAAAAAACTAAACTAAAATGTTAAGTATAAAACATAAACTATATCCACAACAAATGTTAAGTACACTACACTTATCGAACTACTTTATATCAAGGGGATCATAACACCACAACAATAACAAAATCAACTTTGAGGACGAACACACAATTACATTCAATTAAGAAAGGGTAAACAGCTCTACTTAGATGCTATACACACTCTGCAATATTAAAAGGTGATGAACTCATGCCGTGCAAGAAGGGGAAAGTTTAACTCAGTAGAATCTAGCCAGCACAACCCATTGCAAATGAAGCCTAAAGATTCTGAGCCAGAATGGTTCAATGGGACATAGCAACAGAGTGGACTTCTACACAGAAGCAGTCTGCACCGTTAGATTAGGCTACTCAGAAAATGAAAAATAATAACAACCGTCCAAAAACCCCATATAACAATACAAAATCCACATGCAGGATGGAAAACAGATTCAATACAACAACGAAGTACATAAGGTACTCTCTACAAAAGGTTCACGGGTGAAAAAAAAAAAATTTGTTCAATTAGGTTGAAAATGATACGCATTAAAAATAGACCTACCTATTCCTATCATGTAAAAATTGAACTGCTTAGCACGTGGTCCAAGAGAATCCGCAAAAGGCATCAGCTAACGCAAGCCAGCGTTGATCTTTGAATGTTATTTACACACAAGCATCAATTGGTGCGGTGAAAATCAATTTCCAATTTGACTGGTACTCTTGGTTTTGTAAAAGCCATTCCAAAAATTTAGGTGCCTTACAGAATATAAAGTTCATTAGTTTCCTGCGCCAGAAGTATCCATTTATACAGAAGGGGCCATAAGTTCATAACTAGCTTTACACAACTGATCCTAATGAGTTCGTGACATTACATTCACATTCCTGAGGATTCTTCACTCGTCACATCACGCTGTTTACTGATGAAAATTGATCCACAAATCTTAATCAATGATGACTTTACAGTGGTTGAACACATTGGCCACACAATTGATTATTCCATGAGTCAATTAGTAAAGGACCATATTAATCATACAGGGCAACTCAAGGAAAAAAAAGGATTGTGTGCAAACAAACTTTCCTCCCATAAATGCAGCAAAATTGTTGGCAAGAACCCTAACCATTAAAGACAAATATCACAATAAAGAACTAGACATGCAAAAGATAGGAATAAAACCATAATCTGGGAAAGAAAACAATCAAAACCACCATGAACTACAAAGCTAATAAAGCGATTCAGTTTTTTTTCGTAAGACAATTTCCAATTAATATACAAAACCAAGAAACGGAACACCACCAATTGAGAAAGAGAGGAAAAGGCAACCTGAATGCTGAAGTCGCCATCCAAGGATACATTGTGAGAAACGTGCGGGTCCGGGAGGAAATCTCCGCCGGATTGATTCATCATCTGCCGCTCCCGGCGATCGAGATCAGAAGCGAGTGCCGCGAAATCCAACTCCGAGAAGAAAGGACCCTGCAACACCGTGTTCACGCAGTGCACCGCGCAAAGCTTCGATTCTTGAACCTCGTGGTACAACATCCCTCCGTTGCTCGCTCCTTCCATAATCTCTCTCTATATCTTCCTCTTTCTGCTTCTCCTTCCCCTTCAATTACTTCTAATTTAAACACGGGGGAAAAAAATAAAAACCCTAATAAGTCTGGGATGCGAAGTAAGCTGATTCGTTTTCCTTTTCCAGCCAGGCAGCCCAGAACCAGAAGCAGATGCTGATTATTTTATTTTTGATTAATTAACATTTTTTTTCTGGCAGAGTTAAAGATGTCATTTTTTTCTCTTTGTTGAGACACAAAACGTAAAAGGGACAAGTCTATTTTTCAAATATATATATATATATATATATATATATATTTATGTTGATTACCTGAAAGCTACCAAAAACAAAAAATAAAAAGAAAAAGATGCATGAAAAAACATATTTTATTATTTCCTATTAGTCCATAACACTAAAAGGGATGCAAATACTTATATACTGATGAATATTTTTCCTACTTGACGGTTTTCTTATTTTTAGCAAAATGCTTGTTAATTGATGATACATGGAACTCACATAGATTGCTGTTTATTTGATATTCCGTTTGTCTACACATATAAAAAAAAATTAAAAGTTCAACTTGAACTACTTTCCCGTCCTAAAATTATTGTCAAATTTTAATTTTCATTAAGTTAGACAATAATTTTGAGACAGAAAGAGAGTTTTTTTTTTTTTTTTTTTTGAACTACTTTTTTTAGTGTTGGTCGAAGATAAAGGTTACAAGTCACAACCTTCATCCCCAACTAAATGCAAGAAAAGTTCGAATCTTGATACTGCAATCCAAAAACCGTGAGCCAAATGCGTATATAATTAAATTGCTGATTTCTTAAACTTACTGTTATGTTTTGCATTGTCACAATAGAACTTGATTAATAATGCTATAATAACTTGCAAATGAGAACAACCCCTTTGTTTCTCAACACATCGCAGCAGTTTGATCATCAATTATATAACAGGGAGATTAAGGGCGATACAGATGTACAAAAAGTTCATCCAATCCTACTATGGAATTCCAACTAAACCGGCTTTGTAGTCATACAATGACATCCTCTACCAGTCATCATATTCAGTTCTGCATGAGCACAAGGATGACAGAGGATGAACACAGGGATGAATAAAAGATCAGTGGAATATCAGTTGTACGCCCTCCCGCTACAGGTAGGGAAGTCATCATCATACTTCACCAGATAACAACCTAATGAAAGGCATCACCTTTGCCGTTGCCATTAAGATCAAATTTGTGTCACGATGATTGCTACCAACTTGGGGAAAAGACTCAGACTAAGAGGTCATAGTGGTTCTTACCACTGTACAATAGTCTCACAACTTTTCGAGGTTTTCCTCCCCACAAACCCTTCGAAAACTCAGACCCATATTCGGCAATAGGGATAAAACCATGGCCACGTCCACCATGCTGCAAAGTTGAGGTACAGAATGAGGGAAGAGCACTAAATATTAGGAAATGAAAAAAAGAAATCTCAACAATAATACCGAACTTAGAACATGGTGGTCAGACACAAAGCACATGGTACCACATTCTGTATATTTTCCAAGAGGGTCGGCTTTTGAATTAATGTTAGGAAGACTTCATAAACAAGGGACATTACGTACCTCACGCTCTGGTATATATACAGTAATTGGCTGGCGACACAACTTTGATAGCACCTAATGTGAGAGACGAAAATAAAAGAAAATGTCAGTTGAGACTTGAAAATCAGATCTTAATTGAGTAATGTCGCACACGTATGGAATACAGTTAGGAACTTCAACCACTCATGCCAATAGTTTAGAGAATTTTGTGAAAAGCATTTTGCTGTTATCACGAAAAAGCAAAGGAAATGAAACGATACTTCAAAAAAACATAACCTTACTCTTTCAGACTAGAAAAAAAGCACACGCTTAGATTCCGGTTCCTGCCTATTGACCAACTTGCTTGTACCATGAATAAAGCAATGAAATTTACGTTCTATGGAACGCAGAAATGATACTGCACCATTGCTAATAGTATGACTCAATTATCAAGCCCAAAAGGCAGATAATCCACTAAACCATGACACTAAGACAGATGTGTTTACTAGGCCTAAAAGTCAGAAAAAACAATGGCACTACATAAGATTCTTATTGAATGTTTATACTCATAAAGCAGCTACACAATGTACTAGTCAGCCTTAGAAAAGGAGGGGAAGAATGAGATGTAAACACCACAGCTTGAAACACACAACTTGGGTGCATGTCAGTTAGAGGACAAAAAACAGTGGAAGATACTAACCAGTAACTCTGACTCTCCTCCCCAGAAATCCGGTCGTCCAATCCGTTGGCAATAACTGATAACCAAGAACGATTTTTAATGTCATTACATCACCCAGAAGAAAGGTTGTATATGGAGCAACAAATCAACAGGTCTCACCGCCTCAAAGGCTCTTCAATAGTAATTGCAATTAAAGCCTCTTCATATTTACGGCGTTCGTCACCACTTTCACAAATTACCTCCTTGACCGCCAGACGTAATTCATCTGTTACATAGCCACAAGCAAGCATCAATCACAATTTGATAAGAATATTCATATAATTTAAAGGATTTATACATGCCAAATGCAAGGCTAACTGACTCAAAATTCAAACTTTCTTTCTGTGTATGCGATCCTTGAAATAGTGACTTATAAACAAAAACAGCAGAATCATAGCAGTTAAATAAGAAATGTGGAGATCATAAAGGCACGAACAGGTCAAACTAAACCTAAAAAACTTGCAATTCCTTGTTGTTCAAATGTTTGATGTTCCTAACAACCTAATGCTAAGAAAAGGCGATGTGTGTAGAAGGACACTGTTTGAACTTTGAAGTCGAAATCCAGACATCAAATAGGACCTACCTGCATTGTCTCTCTCCTCACGTGAATTGAGTGCCATACCTTTGTTCAAAGCCATTCCTTTTACCTGATCAACAATGCGAGAAGATTATATAGGATCAAGACACCATTTTATGGTTATTATGACTAGCAACATAGTCTGAAAATTAATTTCAACAGCTCTGCTGCAACAGCAATAAATTCTGTATAACATACAAGTTGCACAAAACCTTTACTTGCTCTAGGAAAAGAGAGCAGTTGACAAGGTGATAGTCAGCACGTACCAAAGCACGAAACATACAGCGTCCATCACCAGTGACTCTCTGAACTGAAAAACATTGTGCTTTCTTCAGGGCTGGAGATCCTCCTCCTCTGCTTAAACACACACACACACACATAAGAAAATTTAAAAAAAAAAAATTGAAAAAAAAAAGAAAAAGAAAAAGGAATTATGTGTGTTGTTGCGGTATGTTATCAAATTTTTTTTTAAGATAAATTTTTGAAGGCATAGAATAAGAATATATATTTTAACCTAAGCTAACTGGCAATCCTATCAGCTCACACACCAATAATGGCATAATGGCTTTGTTTGAATGACCTAAAAACAATTGTATAAAAGCCAAAAAAAAAAAAAAAAACTAACTATGAAATAATCCTCTGCCATACAACAAATTAAACCATTTCATTTGGGAAAAAAGCTAAAGGCCCATACTTTATACGAAAGGAAACATAGAGACTTACATTGGAGTTCCAATTCTTGCAAAAAATCCATAGCCGGTGGCAGGTTGAAGGGGACGAATGGCAAATGAGGGCCTTCTTTGGGAACCGCTGGAAACTGAAGCAAGCGGAGAGGAAGTGAGCTCAAACTCAGCAAGTCCATGCTTTAGTTCTTGAAGAATAGCTTCTGTCAAAAAAACAAAGAAACAAAACCAAACAAATCATCAACTTCGGAGAATCCGCCGTTTCAGTGTCTCAGTATCGAACAAGAAACTCGAGGGTACCATTTGAGGGTCTTCCTGCCATGGTTAATCCGAGGAGAGAAGAAGAAGCCGATAATGAAGAAGTAAAGCGGGCCGGGTCTGCCTTCTCCTTTGTGGATTGTTTGAATTTACCCAATTTTCTCAATCTGGGCCTACTTTCTTATTGGAATCGTTACCCAAGCCCAAGCTTAAGACTCATGACAATTGACAAACATAGAGATCTGCAGAGAATTGACACAGATTGTAGCTAGAAATTTCATTGAGAAAGTGTTGAATTAGAAAATGTAATTAACACTACAGTAGTTCTTTTGGCAAGCAAAATCAAAATTAGTTAATAAACTTATCTAATGTAAAAGAAATTTAGCATGTACTCCCTCTGTCCCATAATTATTATCCAGTTTAAGTTTTCGTTTTTAGTTCAAATTGTACTAAAAGTGAAATCTCAAACTGGACAATAATTTTAGGACATAGGGAGTCCTTATAACCAATGAGGTGCAAATTTTACCTCCTTATTTTCGTCACGACTTGCAAGCTTTCAGGACTAGATAATGATAGTGTAAACGATGATTACGTGATGTTTGACGATGGTTTGATATCATTGAAATTAGTTAATAATTGTAGTATTAGTTACAATATCCCTTTGATTTTTGTTTCATTTATTTTTTCTTATACACATTACTAACGTAGGAAACTTAAAGAGACGCATAACTTTAATCAAGTCATTACCAAACCCAAACTAACACATTTGACCTTGCGCTTAGAAGCTATGATTTATAGTCACATGCTATTGGTTTTGATTGGTTAATGTCGGTATAGTTCAATTAAAAACTAATGTGATTTTTGGTGGAACACCAATGGTTACTTGAGATGTAGGATGTAGCCCTACGTTGGAGGTTTAGACATTTTATAGTAGTAGTTTTTTCTTTATATTGGTTAACAACATTTTATAGTGCTTGGTTTATTTTATTATTATTATTATTTTTTAAATAGCCAGAATAGTGCTTGGTTTTACAGTAAAGATGTAAAAAAAAGTTGATTACGAAATTTGGTAGAATGAAAACAAGACACATGCTATTTAATGATTTTTTTTCCCCAAAACTAATCAATATAACATTAGGTACCCAATATACAGATATTATGTCTTTTTTTCCCTTTTGTTATAACAAAATAAGACACTATACGTTAAATTATTTCATTATGTGAATGAGAAAATGTTAAAATCATTAATAACTTAGTTGTCCCATCTATCAGTATGTGGGAGAGCACTTAATAAGTAAATTAGCGTCAAAACTTATCACCTTGATATTTTATGTGAAAGTGGGGTTCTACTTATTTATTAGGTTATGTATATGGAACTCAGAGAAATTATCACGAGAAGTCCTTCTTACTATATTTTTCTCTCTCTAAAATTGGGAGCCCCTCTCTCTTCGAAAGGAGAGAACATACCAAAACAGAAACCAAGCTTTGATCGAGGTCGATCGGTTTCTGCCTTTCAACAACTTGATTCGTATTTGTCAATTTGAAATCCAACTAGCCCATTTTTTATTAATATTCTAATCCTAGCTAATCAAGCTCCGTCCCCAATTGGAATCATTTCCAATCAAAGGTTGTGTATTAAGCTGCTGGAGAAGAGACTTCGAGTAAGCTCCATCAGGATCCCGAAACTCTCTAGGATTACTAATTTGCCAGCTGTTTGTAAACTTATCAGTCAGAAACTTCTCTAATTTGGCTGCGATCAACGTGGTTCGGCATCTAGGGTTTCTAGGTAGCTCTGCCTTACTTGATCTATTAGTTCGGTTTTTGATGATTGGGTCGCTAGTATATACGAATTAGATTGAGGAGGTGTAACATATTGATTGGGCTCAATTTCTTGTCAAGTTTAGCCCTCTTTTTATATGTTCTAGTTCGGGGTAAGGGGATTTCTTCTGTTAATCTGGGTGGTGTTTAATTGGAGTACATGAAAAGTTAATGTGCAAAATTCCAATCTGACCAAAACACACACAAAAATTTCTCTTGCGATCGATTTTCTTCGCGGTTATGGGTTTTCAGCTTCACCCAGGTTACTTCGACCAATTCACCTTCATACTGAGTCTTGTTTTCTAAGGTGGGGGTTTGTCAAAAGGGAGTTGGGTTTCTTAAGTTTTCCCACATCTTGTCCTTCCATTCGAAGAATCATCAGTGGTGTCGAGGTACCTTTTCATTTATCTGGCTCAATTAAGAACCCGTGTTTTATTTATCTATTAGAACAACCCATAGAGACAGCAACTGTTGAGGTTGGTATAGTGCTTTATGTTTGTTGGTTTACAGTCATTAAGAATCACTGTTATTTCTCTATTTGGTTTTTTCTGCATACTCGATACATTGGAGTTGGTACTTCAACTGCTTTGGCACATATGAACTATGCTTCAACTACTGGAAATCTCTGTTTGATCGGTCGTCTCATGGATAATCAAAATTTTGGGTGGGCAAAGAGACAAAATTTTGTTTGGAAAAATTGGGATAAGTCAGTACTTGTTACACACAAAACCAAGAAATTTTACATTTTCAAATTCACCAAGCTGGAGCATCTTCTATCAACTCTGCACAATGGTCCCTATGTTATTAATAGAGCTTTGTTAGTTCTTCATAGATGGCATTCGAAACTTCCACTTAAGCATCTCTGGGTAGAAAGAATCTTAATTTGGATCAGATTCTTTGTTCTTCCTTTAGAATACTTCAAAAATTCAATAGGGTTGGATTTAGCATCAGGGGCTGGAGAACCAGAGTCAATAGGTGGCTTTGTTCTGGAACCAAAACAAGCAAGTTTTCTTAGAGTGCGAGTATGGATAAAACCTTTTCAATCTCTTTTCTCTGGATTTTATTACGAACTTTTGAATGGAGACTTGGTCTGGATACACTGCTCATATGAAGGAATCTTCAAAGTCTGTCGAAGGTGTAGAAAAATGGGACATCCAATATCTAGGTGTTCGGCTAAAGAGACAATTAAAGAAAAGCTTAGATTCTCTTCAAAATTTGAACTGGAGTCTTTGCTTAAATCGATGAGCCTCGAGCATGAAATGGTTCCGAATGGATTTAAATTCAGCAAGGAGCTAGAGAATACCTGAACTGCTCAAGGAATTCTCAAACAAGCGACAGACTTGGGTAGAATTTTTATCCTGAACTGCTATTTAAGTCGAAGAAGAGAAGGAACACGGAGATAGAAGCAGATTTCCTCAACTCTATAGATACGGACGGCATGACTAGTGTTGGTGATCAATGGAGTCGGACTTGTAAACGAAGGAAATCTGATCTAATTGGTTCTGCTCCATGTTCTGTTTTTACTGTGCCCAGTATAAGTGTTAAGACTAAGCTTTGGACTAGAGTCATTGGAGCAACATAGAAAAAGGAGCTTTGGTGAAACTTTACATCATCAACATATTTTTATAGTGTGCACTGCTACCAAAAAGTGAAGGGACTCAGAACCCTCTCAGCTTTCATGGAGAGAATACCCTTTCATGTGCCCACTTTCTACCAAGCCAAGAAAAAGACTCTTCCAAGAAAGTACTCATGGAAAAACATCTAAAAAACAGAGAAGAGAAACAGCTTTGGTTGCGGCCACTCTGATTCATTCCAGTCCTCATGTGACTATCTATGAGGCCCCAGGTGGTGAAAGTAGTCACCCAAATCAAGATCAACATGTAGATGTTGGTGAGAGATTGCACAGGGGCAAATCTTCTAGAAAGCGGTCTCGTACCCTTGCGGACATTGCTAGCTTCGCTGGATCAAATGAGAGTGAAGGGCATAAAAGCAAAAGACCAAGAATGGAGGATTTGGTGTTTGGGTTGAAAAGGAAACATCAGTGAGCAGTGGATACGCTGGCTGATATGTCAGGTAAGGCAATCGTCGTTGATCAGAATGCTTCTAATGCAGCTAATAAGGTTATGGTTTTTGAAAAACTGCTTGGTTTTCCTGCTACTAATAATGTCTCTGAGAATATTAAATTAAAGGTTTTTCGAAGGTTGAACCAAATCAACCACCCTAGCAGCCGTAAGGGCCCTTTTGTGGAATTGCAGGGGATTTAACCGGCCGCCTGCCAAACAGTTCCTCAGGAAATTATTTAATATGTATAGTCTTGATATTTTGTTTTTGCTAGAAACTAAGGTTTGTAGTGATGTATTAACCAAGTGGGCCGATAACACAAATTTTGGTCACTGGGTTATTGTGGATTCAGTAAACTTGGCTGGAGGATTAGCTCTTTTTTGGTCTCACAACCTGCAAGTGGAAGTATTAGCTCAACAACGTAATGTGATAGCTATCAGGTATTGGGATGCAGCAGGGAGGCCATGGGGTCTTCTTTTTATATATGGCCAGCCGGAGCAGCAACAAAGGTCCACGACATGGCAGGAAATACAAAATTTGGCTTTGTATTATGATCTAAATTGGCTCATACTTGGGGATTTTAACCAAATCCTGGAACGAGGAGATAAAAAAGGTGGTTTACCTTTCAAAGAGAAGTCAGCTGCCTCCATGCGAGAAATTTTGGACACTTTTGACATGACAGAGCTCCATTTTCATGGCAATAAGTTCACGTGGTCAAACAATCAAAAAGGGGACAGTCTCTTTGTAAAGCGGTTGGATCAAGGTTTTGCAAACCCAAATTAGTTTCTTGCCTTCCTAAAAGCTTACATACATAATCTCCCAATATCTATTTCGGATCATGGTCCTTTTATCTTTTACACCCACAAAGAAGTGCGCAGTCTCTGGAGCCATTCTTATCGCTCTGAGTCCTTTTGGGCAAGAATTCTTGTGGCACATGAAATCATCAAGGAGTCATGGATCTCACCGAATATTCTGAGATATGGAAATGTTTTGTCTACCTTCTCGACAGCATTGGAGCAAGGAATTAAACATCTATCGAGTTGGCATAAGCAGTCCTTTGGTGCCATTGATTCGAATATCGGTAAATGTAATGCCAGATTACGGAAACTTCAGTTGGAGGACGGAATAGTGTAGAATGCTACCATGACAGCTGACATGAAAGAGGAATTAGAACGCCAGCTGGTGTACAAAAGTGACTATTGGTCCCAACGGGCAAAAATTCGTTGGTCACAGAAGGAAGATGGAAACACAAGCTCTTTTCATAGTTGGGCTACAAGACGTAAAGCTCGAAATTGGATTAACTCTCTCCAAGATGAGAGTGGTTTATGGAGGAACTCACAAAGGGAAGTGCAACAACTTATGCTACATCATTTTAGTAGAGTGCTTGTGGCAGATGATTTCTACCCCAACGATGATGAAATTTGGGGTACTCGACCACCTCTCCGAGATTTGAGTCTACCACAAGTGTCTGCCGAGCAGAGAGAAGCTTTGTAAAGCCCCTTCAACGCCTCAAATCTGATCTTTTTGGCATGGCACCATGGAAGTCGCCAGGTCCTGATGGTATTCCAGCTGATTTCTTTCAGAAGTTTTGGAATACAGTTAAGGATAAAACTTTTTCTGCTCTGTTGATGATCCTAAATGACCATTAATGGGAGGACGGCTGGAACCAAACAAGAGTTATCTTTATTCCAAAGAAGAGTAACCCCAAGACTCCGTCAGACTTCGCCCCATCAGTCTTTGCGATGTCAAGTACAAGATAATTGCAAAGGTTTTAGCAAACCGCCTCAAGAAGATCCTACCCAAACTAATTTCTGAAAATCAAAATGCTTTTGTCCCAGGAAGAAACATAGGCAAAAATATCCTCATGGCCCATGAAGCAATTGAACACATCAGGAAGCGGAAAAAGGGCCAACTAGGAATGACGACACTCTAGATTGACATGAGCAAAACTTATGACAGAGTGTCTTGGACATTCTTGCAGGAGATGCTGATCAAGTTTGGTTTCCTGACAACCTTTGTGGAGCTGGTGATAAAGTGCGTGAGCACGGTCTTATTCTCAATTAGCATGAATGGTTGGCAATCTGACTTTTTCAAACCAGTTAGAGGGTTGTGACAAGGTTCCCTATTATCTCCATATCTTTTCATAATCTGTCAACAAGTATTGTCTCTTGCTTTGAATGATATGGACATGTTTGCATTGGTTTTGGTATCAAGATTGGCCCGTCAGTGCCGCGCTTGATACATTTGAGGTATGCTGATGATTGTTTGATCTTTATGGAAGCCAGACAGCAGAATGTCAGAGCTCGAGCAGAACTCCTCAATCAATATGCAAAATTCTCAGTGCAGCGTATAAATTTTGACCAATCTTCCTTGTTGGTGAGTCCTAACACTTCCCCAAATTTTCAACTTTGGAATGACATGTGGTTGCACATCCCGATGAAGACATGTCATGGAAAATATTTGGGCTTATCCTTAAATTTTATGCAAAGGAAGACTATTTTGTTTGAGGACATCATTGGCCGCCTAAAGCAAAAGCTCAATCATTGGAAGACAAAATCTCATTCGATGATGGGATGAGTTACATTAGCAAAACACTCACTAGCTACTCTACCAATTTACATGATGGGTGTTTTCAAGCTGCCACAGAGTATCACTTCACAAATAGATAAGGTAGTTGCCAAGTTCACTTGGAATGGCGATAAAGAAGGTCGAGGAATCCACTGAAAATCGTGGAACCATCTGTGTACTTCCAAACTGCAAGGAGGACTTGGGTTCAGAGCAGCCAAAGAAATGAATCAAGTGCTTCTTGCGAAAATGGCTTGGCATATTTTACATAATAAAGATGCCTTTTTCTCACGGTTCTTCATGGCAAAATATGCAAAAGGTTAAGACTTCTTGAAGTATCAGCCAAAAAAGAACATATTATGTGGGGTCGTGAACTATTAACCAGAGGTTTAAAATGGCAAGTTCATACTAGGCGTTATATCAGACTAGAAGACGATTGGATACCCAACATGGCTAACCCTTTAAGAAACAATGTCCCATTCTAAGGTCAGTTAGACTGGAAGGTTAGAGACTTGATACGCCCGAATAATGAATGGAACGAACCTCTAGTACGACAATTTTTCCCACCTTCAGTAGCTAGGGCAGTTCTAGCTATTTACATCCCCAAGAATCCACATACACAAGGGGATCGCAGATATTGGTCCTTGTCAACAAACGGCTTTTACACAGTGAAGTCAGGGTATCATGAAGCGAGAAATAGAGTGGTGGGTTCAGACTCCTGCAACCCATCGACATCATCCGCAAACGTGATATTTACCACTTCATGGAAGAAATTCTGGTCCGTGGAATTTCCATCAAGGATTCAATGGTTTACATGGTGGCTACTCAACCATGCAGTGCCTTCAAGTATGGCGCTGGTTAAACGAGGCCTTCAGATCCCCACACTCTGTGCCCGTTGTGGTAGATGCTGAGAAAACACACAACATACTTTCTTTGATTGTGACCACTTGCAATGGGTATGACCCAGTTCTCCATTGGGTTTTGACTTTAGCAGAGGACAGAGGATTCTTCTAGTAGTCTGGTTCGAGAATTGGTTCAATCAGGCTCCAGACAGGTCTTTGATTCAACTATCCTGTTTCCTATTCTAGAAAATCTGGATTGCTAGGAACAAGGCCATTTACGAAGCGTAATTGTTAGATCCTATTCTCGTTCAGCAACAGGCTCTGGCAGAATGGAACTTGTTTTGTCGGATTTTACGAAAACAGAGGCTGGACATGTCAGAAGACGATCACTGGGGGCCATCATCTCCAGGCCAGTCAGAATCTCACGGGCAACAAGTTTTAATCCGAACAGATGGAGCCTACCAAGAAAGTGAATTCAGAGGAGCGGGAGCCTGGGAAATCTTGTCTGACCAAGGTCGAATAGTCAGTTATGGGTCGGAAACTTATGCGACGAGCTCATCTGAGATGTCAGAAGCTTGCACCTGCTTAGAAGCCCTAACCCAAGCAAGGGATCTCGCGATTACAAACTGCCAACTTCAGACAGACAAGTAATGGTGGACATCATAAATGGACGGAGAACATGTCCTCTGCTCCTGCAACTGATCTTTGAAGAAATGTTCTCCCTTCTTTCTTCAATTTCTAATGTAATGGTTAAGAAAGTTTCAAGGATACAGTAGAGGCGGCGCATAGGTTAGCAAAAGCGACCCTCCTTTCGTCCCTCTCATGTAACTCTTCATCTTAATATATGATAAATATTTTTCTTAAAAAAGAAATGTATATGGAACACTCAAATCTCTTAAGTTGAAATTCCTCGCAAGTGATATCAGTTTTTTCTAAATTCATATCGCACATACCTCTATTTAAATTAGTGAGGGACTAAATGTAGCCCACTTAATCCTTAGAGGAGCCCACTTTATGACTATTTTGCCCTTTTTATTATTATTAATAAAAGAATCATCATTTTGACATGTCATAAATATTAAATCAAAAAAATAATGAAATTGACATTAGCGGAATATTATTAAATTCAATAATTATTAAAATTAACTTGTATAATTTTATAGTATATTTTACTTACTAACTAATAAGTAGATAACATTAAACAAGCTAAATTAATTATAAAAAACAAATTAACTTTACCTAAATAAATAAATATTTAACTTGGCCTAAATTAACTTTATTTTAACCAAAAAAATTATTCAATTAATGAATATCAAAAACCTTATCCAAAAAAATGATTACACATTACTAAGTAACAAAAAACAAATATAATTAAACAAATATGATTACACATTAGATTTGGGAAAAAAATTTAAAAAAAGAGTGAAAGCCACGCTCTCACTGCGCGAACAGTCGGCGGCGCGGCGCCTATCGACTATAGACAGCCCGACGGTCACCCGCGCACAGAGGGCAACCTACGTTAACCAGGCGAACGGCCGACTGGCTGCCCGCACTCTCTGCGCGGGTCACCGTTGGGCTGCCCGCAGCTGGTAAACGCGGCGCCGCCAGCCATTAGCCTAGTGAGGGCGTGACCTTCATTCTTTTTTTATATATTTTTTTTCCAAATCTGATGAATATATATACTAATAATAAAAAAATATATACCTGTAGTGACAAGATTTTTCCTTCTCTCTCGTGGGGCGAATTGCTATGATTGCATTAAAGAAACACTTAAAAAGTTAAATATTAATGAAGATTAGAAGGTTATAGATTTTAAAATAATATAAAAAAGATTAATTTTTATACTTGTTCAAATAAGGTTAAAATCATAAAATTTAGGCTCCACTAGCATTAAGTAACTTACGCTTAATATTTTAAGTAAATTGAGGAAGTGCATATTTATATCTTTGGTAATTAGTTGACAAATTGAGGAAGTGCATATTTATATCTTTGGTAATTAGTTGACAAAATTATCTTTAAAATTTATCAAACTGAACCGCTAGTTGAAAGGGAAAATTTAGAGGAAAAAAACAATTGTATTGGGAAAGAGCAGATAGTAGTAGTAGAGAGGGTAGAGAGTAGAGACCAAAGAGAAGAAAAAGCATAGAGGACATCGATCCAGCCAACGTGGCAAAATCCCCCCAAAGGCCGAAACTCACGTGACATGATAAATCGGATTCGATCTCCCAGGTCCAGGATACTGCACATTGGCACCGCTTACAACTGTCAGTGCCGTCTCAAACTCAACTCGAACCACTGGAACCAGGCTCGAACCAGTTGACTCGCCATCAGGACCAGCCAGGCGCCAGCCAAACGTAAGACAAATCAAAGCCAAAGGGGCTTCAACTCAACGGCCAAACCGAAAAAGGCTGGCCATTTAATTCAATCAACAAGCTCACTGTGGGTAGGTTTCCCGTTCCGTCTCTCTTTTAAGTCTTAACTTAATCCGCTTTGCATAAGAAGTATCGAAAAACATTTAACATTATTCAGATCTTTATTTTTATTTTATTTTAGTTTTAAAAAAAAAAGGGAACAGAAGAGGTTATGTGTGTGAAGTGTGTGAGTGTGTGTGTGAATGGACCTAAAAACAAATGAGCTTTCTCGATGATGACGATCTCCCCAATGCATTCCCTTTTCCTTCTAATTTGTTAATCACTCACTTCTAATAATCTTCACCTTCTTCTTGTGCTCTTCCTGATATCTCAAAGCTTCGCCTCCGACATTTATTCCCACCTGCTTTTTTTGCGGAATTAGTATTTCCAGCGCCTCGCCGCTTCAGATCTTTTCTCTCTGGAGCTTTTTTTTGCATTCTGATTTTGCTTTACAGGTATGTTTGTTTTCCTGTTTGATTCAGCTCCTGCATGTTCGATTTCAATTGTATAGTTTTTTTTTTCTCTCTATTCATTCTGATTTTGCTAGTTTGTGTAAGATTGATTGATTTATGATGAATGAGGACTTCTTCTGTGTGTTAATTACATTGGTGATTGGTGTTATGGATCAAAACGACGAATGAGACTTGGTTTTTTGCTGTTGTTGTGTTGATTGTTTTTTGGTTCCAACTTGGATTGAGCAAATTGGATGCCAGCTATAAAGCAAGCCCTTAATTATCGTTGATTCCTATGTTATATGTTTGAATTGATGCATTCAAGATGAAATTTATAGTGTTTGAATTGGCTGGTTTTGTATGTCCCCAAAGTTTCGGCTGTCCGAATCCGTTAATTATTTAGTCGGGTAAATGGCACGCAGATGACCATCCTCGCTCTTGTAATGCTTATCATTCAATGAATGGAAAATGTGATCATTAAGTTTGGAAACTCACTTTTTTTAAAATAAAAAAAAATTCAGGCTGTGAAGCATAACGGGGTGCTGACAATCCATCGGTGGGCTTCCTAAAATGGCTGCAGCAACTCACCCTTCGGCGCCGTTTACTGGAAACTTGGTATCAAAACCTTCTGCATCGGATCTTCTGCGAAGCTCAAGGAATGGTGTTTCTGGTATACCCCTTAGGGCCCTTGGGAAGGCGCAAATCGGAGCCAGAAGAAGAGACTTGACCGTTTCAGCTAAACTAAGGAAAGTCAAGAAGCGTGAGAATCCATGGCCAGCAGATCCTGACCCCAATGTTAGGGGTGGGATTCTTAGTCATCTCTCACCGTTCAAGCCTCTAAAAGAGAAACCTAAGCCAGTTACACTGGATTTTGAGAAGCCTCTTATGGACCTGCAGAAGAAGATAATTGATGTAAGACTTTTCGAACTTGTACAGAAATACTGTAATTGTTATGAAATGTGTGCTGCTTTGACTTTACACTTTTATTTCAAGATGCTAAAACAATATTTTCTATGAGTTCAGGTTCAAAGGATGGCTAATGAGACGGGTCTGGACTTCAGTGATCAAATTATATCCCTGGAGAATAAATATCAACAGGTATGCCATTAAAAATATCCGTTTGAGTGAATAACAACAATTGGACTTGCATTGGATACATATCCAGAAGTACGAAAGAGAGATAAAATGCACATTTATTTCACTACCTCAGCGAGAATATGTACTGTTGTACGGCATTTCTCTTTCTGGATGTGTTTCCCACCTTATCAAGAGGGAATATTTTTTAAAATTGATTGTTTTCTGGGTAGAATTTTGCTGTCAATTATATTCACAATTCTGTTGTATGTTTTTCCAGGCTCTGAAAGATCTGTACACACATCTAACGCCCATACAGCGTGTGAACATTGCACGACATCCGAATCGACCAACCTTCCTTGATCATGTTTTCAACATTACTGAGAAGGTCTGGAACCTTGCTGCAGTCTCAGTTTGTTCCTTTGATGATTTTTCCTTTTAATCTTTTAAAATTTTCATAAAAAAATATTTTTGAACCATCCAAGTTTCCAATAGTTTGTAGAGCTTCATGGGGACCGAGCCGGGTATGATGATCCTGCTGTTGTCACGGGTCTTGGTACCATAAATGGCAAATGCTACATGTTCATGGGCCATCAGAAGGGCAGAAACACAAAGGAGAACATTCAGCGCAACTTTGGAATGCCTACTCCCCATGGGTGTGTACAATTCTTTTTGATATACTGTGTTTAAGACGAAAGTCTACATAGTTGTATGTAGCTTTTTCAATATGCCATCCTTTCCTCATAAAGATAAACTGAAGTCTATGTTTTATGGTGGTTGTGTTAGTTACTTGCATTTCCCCTTGATCTGACTCTGGATAACTGTTAATTTCTGACAGCTACCGGAAGGCTATGCGCATGATGTACTATGCAGATCATCATAATATTCCAATTGTTACTTTCATTGACACTCCTGGGGCTTATGCTGACCTTAAATCTGAAGAACTAGGCCAAGTATGTTAAAACTTAAAACATTTTTTCGCAATTTTTTGAGTTTAAGTTCTTTAACTTTATTTTTTCCACCATTGGTTCTTTGCAGGGAGAAGCCATAGCTCACAACTTGAGGACTATGTTTGGTCTAAAAGTGCCAGTCATTTCTATTGTTATAGGAGAAGGTGGTTCGGGTGGTGCTCTTGCGATTGGTTGTGCCAATAAACTGCTAATGCTTGAAAATGCTGTCTTTTATGTTGCAAGGTTCGCCTACCCACAAAAAAAAAAAATCATTTACTTGTGAATTTTGAGAATGCGATGCATCTCAGAATGTAGATTTTAGTCTGAAGGAGTTATTTGTTTTCTAATCTGCGTTTTTGTCAAAAGAAAAGAAAAACCTTCTTTTGAAAAATTTCACTTTTAAATAGAGACGCCTTCAGTGTTCTTTGTCCATTAAATTGTCACAATGTGCACTGAAATTTTGAATCTGCCACTTCGTTCATCACATGGTTGCCATTTGATTCTTCAACAACACTTACATCGTCAACTTCTTCAAATCATCATTCCTCAAGAAACCTTTTTTGTGTGAACCGTAGACGTGATGTTTCCACCTTTGTCAATGTTACAGTCCGGAAGCATGTGCAGCAATTCTATGGAAGTCTGCCAAAGCCGCTCCCAAGGTTTTGTTTTGATTCTCTCCTGAAAGACATTTTTAGCATTGTGGAAAAATGAAAATGTAATCTACATTTTCCATTATAACTTTTACTGCAGGCAGCTGAGAAGCTCAAGATTACTGCAACAGAGCTATGCAAGCTACAAATTGCTGATGGTGTCATCCCTGTAATATCATCTTACAAGTTCACTTCTTTTTGGATATTTCCTCCCTTTGTTTTCGGACTTACTTTGCACTTCTTTCTCATTGTCTCTTATCTTTGTGAATGTAGTATAGACATCAGGGTATTGTATTACATTGATAACTGCTTCCTTTTATCAATGGTATAAATTCTCTTTGGTGCTCAACAAAATCTTGTGTCCTTTTCAGGAGCCACTTGGGGGTGCCCATGCAGATCCTCATTGGACGTCACAACAGATTAAAGCTTCAATATTGAATGCAATGGATGTGAGTGCTTTGAAATTGTGGTTTCTGTTCTGCTGTATAGTTTTCCAGCTAACTTCATTACATGCATCTGATTTTTGTAGGAACTCGATAAGATGGACACACCAGATTTATTGAAGCATAGAAACCTCAAGTTCAGAAAGATTGGTGGATTCCAAGAGGGGATTCCAATTGACCCAATAAAGAAGGTGAACATGAAAAAGAAAGATCTTCAGCCTGGCAAGACTCCTGTTGAGGAACTACGGAATGAGGTTGAAAAACTAAAGCAACAGATTCAAAAAGCAAAAGAATCCTCAGATGCAAAGAAACCGGAGTCCGGTCTTAAAGAACTTATTGCCAAACTGAAGAGTGAGGTTGACTATGAATACACCGCAGCTGTCAAAGCTCTGGGCTTTGAGGACAAAATTGCAACAGTGCGAGAAGAGTTTGCTAAAGATAAGAGTGCTACTGGTAATACTGCTCTGAAGGAGAAGATGGATAAGCTAACGGAGGAATTCAACCAAACTCTTCCAGCTGCTGCTAATTATTCCAGGTTAAAGAAAAAACTTGACATGTTGCGAGAGATATCAAGGGTCGAAAAGCTATCCAGGAAGGGCAGCAAAGAAATTGAACTGCAGCAGGAAATTAACAAGAGATTTAAGGAACTCACTGAGCGACCTGACATTAAGCAAAAGCTGGAGGCCTTGGAGATCGAAAAACAGACTTCAGGGATGTCAGAGAGTGTTAAAGAGAAAATTCTGTCATTAAAGGATGAGATACAGCTGGAATTTTCTGGTGTTCTCGAATCCATGGGTTTGCAAGTCAATGCACCTGAACTTGCGGTGGCAAAAGAAAAATTAGATAAATTCAACAGCAAAATTAAAGCCTCAGTGGAACATATAGCCAGTTCATCAGAATTGAAGAATAAGATTGAGTTGTTGAAATCAGAGGTGGCAAAGGCGGGAAAGACACCCAGTTCAGAGTCAAAAGCTAAAATTGAGGCATTAGAGCAAGAGATAAAAACGAGCCTTGCAGGTGCAGTTAACTTCCCACCACTACAAGAAGAGTTTGAGCAGCTCAAAGTGGAGATTTCTGAGGCCATTCAATCTTCTGGAGGTACAAATGGTAGCATGCTTGAGGATGCCAAGTATGATAGCGCTCCAAAAGTAGAGGTAGCTTTATAAGCAATTTCCCTTCTGTTTTTACCCGAATGATGTTTCTTATTTTCCCTTTTTGTGTGTGTGTGTGTGTTGTTGGGGGGGGTGGTTATTGCCAGAGCAAAAATCAGCTTTCACAGAGCTAACCTTTGTCATTCTAGACAAGATTACACATAAAACCAGAAAACCTTGTTTGTTTGCTGGAAGGATAATACTGTCCAAATGATAGAAGGCTGCTTTTGGTGCTAATTTCTGAATGACAATAATCCTTTTATTCCCTCATTTCAAAGTTCTTATTTCGAAGTTGATTTAGCTCTTTCATCATATTTGTGAGGCAAGTAATATTTTCTTGTAATTTTCACTCATTTACAGACACATGTCTAGATCGTTAGCAATTAGTCATGGCAGTGGATGAACTTGTTGAAACTACAAGAAAGAAGATGGAACTTTCTTCCAACCATCTCTGAAGAACCCGACAATTTTGAGCCTTCTGGAGTTCTGAGTATATCTCCTTGTTATGGCGGAATGATTCTTCAGTTTGTCATTTCCATTCTCCTTGATTCTAATTTCGCTTTATTCTGTTCTGGTTTTGGTAGGTTTATCTGTTATTTACATGACTGCAAGGCACTGTATAAAAAAGAATTCATAAGCATGCTCTGTTACACCATTATAGAATAGAACTGTAGTTGATGTTGCCTTCCAAATGTATGGGCAAACTGGAAATCAGATTTTTTTTCCATTCTTGTGGTCGAACAGGAACTTGATCATTTGTATACTGAACTCTTTTTTTAGATTGTCATATTTTATCTAAAGTTGAGCAGACTTAAATACTATGTATCCTCACAGTTCAAACTTCAAACCTAATTCTGGTAATTTGGCAAGAAAAAGGGGGAACCAATGGCGAACTGGTTCTTTGTGAACTTCCTGTCTAAGTACTGTAATTATAACAAGTTTCTTCCCGTAATTGTTTGGCAACCTTGCACCTTACCTTTCCTTGTATGGAGTCCATCCATAACCTCCAAGATGCAACAAGATGCAGGAAGGCTTGCCAATCCATTGATTCATAAGTTTCGGAAGGAGTCCAAATGGTTGGGTTCTAAACGTATTCTTTCAATTTCTGTCGGTTTCAGGATGTATGAGTACATTGTAAACTCTTGGAAGTTCAAATCTTATTGTTTGTCAAGGTTACAAGTACGATGCGAATTCTCGACAATCATTTGCATAATGTAGAGTTAGGAAACCAGTTGATCGAGGCATCAAGCAAGAGTTGCATACAAAATCCTTAAGAAAATGAAGGATTGAGTAAGAAGCGACACGAGGGTTAGAAGTTCAGATGCAAGAAGTGCGGGTAGTAAGTATTCTTATTTCTTATTCGGACGGTGGACATCGTGCAATAGAAAAAAAAAAAAAAAAAAACTCCGAAAAATTATTTAATGGCTAGTTGAAATGGTAATCTTGAGTCAGGAATCTGCAAATAAAGATTACAATATCACGAAATAAAGATTACAATATCACGAATCAGGTAGCATCCTCAAAACACAAATGGAATCACAGCTTTTCTTTTCTTAGGATAATCTTCCCCAAACTTCTGCAGATACCACCTATGATTTGCAGCTGCCCTTGGCACCAAATTAGCACAGGTGTACAATAAAAACCCCAAACCAGCCCATGACCAATTCATGATAGTCCAGCCCAACCACTCCAGAATCTCCCCAAAGTAATTTGGGCAGCTCACCAACTCAAAGCAACCTCCTCTGGGTATCTTGTATTTCCCCCCACCTACACTCTTCAGGCCCAATAATGCATAATCGGATCCAACATTCACTGCCATACCAACCACGAACACCATTAATCCGCCGGCGAATCGCAACCAGAATTTCCACCGGCCGGAGTCTAAGTCGGCGTAATGAGAGACCCATCTCGTCTGCAAATAAGCATTCAAAAGGTTGAAGAAGAAACCAATCAAGGCAATAACGACCGGAAATCCAGCGGCCGTCTTAGTATCCCCGGCGCCGTTGTTTTTTAGGCGGATTCTCAGTGGGTAAATCACGGTGCGGTGGAAGTAATGGATCAGGTAAGGAAGGATGAGGATTTGAGCAACTGGGTTGGAGTGATTTTTGCCTAAAGGGAAGAGGAGGAGAGTGAGCCATAAAGTGGGGCTTTCCATGAGGAACCAAGCCGCCGGTGCCGGAATTGAGGGCCCCCAGCCTGGCCGGTAGTGCTTCCCATATGGGGCGGTGAGGAATTGGAGGGCGACGATGGTGAGTGGTGAGATTATGAAGATAACGGCGAGGCTGTATCTGAAGCAAATGTCGTCGGAAAACATTTTCTGCAGGAATTTGCAGAGATAAAAAATGATGTGATTTACGGAAGGGAGACGATGGCGGATTAATATAGAGAGCCTGCAATGATTAGAACACAATACATTGCTTTGGTACTAATGACTGTCACTAAAAATAGTATCCCATGCTAAATTCAGTCAACTTTTCAATGCCTTCGTCAAATGTTTTTTTTTTAAAAAAAAAAACAAAATACGAAATAAAATGATGGAGACAATGAAAGTGCCGTAGAGGATTTTCATTTGCGATGTGTGTGTGATAATGATATATTGAGAATAGTACTCCCCCGTCCCATAATTATTGTCCACTTTGTCCAAAAAATTTTGTCCCAAAATTATTGTCCAATTTGACTTTTTATGGATCAAGTTACATATTTGTCATTAGTAAAAAACATTATACATAAAATTTTAGTGGTTAAACAATTACTTATGTAGAGGTATATCCGGTTGTTTAAGGTAAAATATAGTTAAGTTTGACCAAAAATAAAATTTTTCATTTTAGTAAAACTGGACAATAATTATGGGACGGGGGGAGTAGTTGATTTAACAGTATTAATATAGCACTAAATTGAAATCACTTAATAATATAAATGAAAATGTAAAATAATTTGTTCCTAAAAAAATGTAAAATAATTAATTTTGTTATCAAGGACAATTTAGAAAATTTACAACAATTTTAAGACAAAAAACTAAAATTTGTTAGTATTATTGGTTTGTGTAAAGTTAGTTAACTCCATTTTATAAATAGGAATGGAGGTAGAATTACCCAAAATTACTTTAGATTGAGATGGGATTTTTTTTTTGTTTTTTTTGGGGTTAATAGATGGGTTTTTTTTTTTTGTGTGTGTGATTAAGTCCCAAATATTATTACATTGTTAGTAGCAAAACACAGAAATAGAAAAACATGAAATGGTTGTTATTGAAAAAATTCGACATGTACTGTAGATTCAATTCATTCGGGCTTGACTTATAGAATTGGAAATTAATCAAACGATCATGATGCTATTAATTGACTTGACAATAAATTTTTTCTCCTAGTGTGTGATATTGAATATCTTGATTTAGAAAATCTTTTCCTCTCTCTCAATATTTTCCTTTTTCTCTTCATTGAAAATACTTTATCCAAATTTTCTTTCTTCTCAACTATCTCTCTATTAATAGTGGATGGAGAGAGTTCATTAGTTTTTGCTGTCTAGTTAGCTCCTCTAGAGAAGTTTAGTTCACCATTATTGGTGGGTATTTTCCTCTGCAATATTTAGAAGTTCAGATTTCTCATTTTGAGATTCTTAGTTTTTTTTTTCTTGAAAATTTTTCTTTCGTTTTCTTTTGTGCTTTGGTACTCCATCAAAAGATATGATGGCAAAGATATAGACCCATGAGTCAAAGCACAATACGAAGTTAAAGTTGAAGACCAAAGATTGACGGAAAGGTTGTATACATGAAACTTCTAGGCTTGTACAAAGCATTAGTTCATGTCGTCCTTGTTTCGATAGATTGTAACTGAAATTGTAATTGTAATTGGCTCCTTGTATAGTAGATCATTGCTAAATTTAATAATATATAATTTAATTATTTTAATTAATTAATAATGTTCTCTTGTTTTAACTTGGGACCAGTACATAAGGTAAGCAAAATCGATAAAATAACAGGATAATAATATTTTAGCAAATTTCTTACATATCTATTGGTCTCGACAATATTATACATTAATAATTATTTAAAGTAAAAAAAAATTACTACAAATAGGCTACAAGACTCTCTTTCCTGTACTGTGGGAGATTTCATACCACTGTGTGCGAGTAGTTCTTCGAATTCCCGGCACGCTGTCCGAGTCCGCAATGGTGGGAAAGCAAAAAAATACGGGGAAGGTGGTGGACAAGGAAGTTGTGCAGCCGGAGAACCAGATAGCACTTCCAATGGCAGGATCTGGATCTGTTTTGGCAAAAAAAGGTAAGAAGTCCGAAAATGAATTCAGATGTATCGCATGCTGGGATTCTTGAAAAATTGTGTAATCAGAAGGTCATTCAAGTGGGAGAAATATTTGGTATTACGAATGGATTTAAAAAGGACAAAGGTTAGTTAGCTAGGGTTCCGTAAGGAATGAAGTTTGGGAGAATTTTGATCCTAAGAAGATGTAGGGAATGAATCGTAAATCACACTTTATTGAACAAGTAATGATGAGTAATAGGTCAACTGCTAGAATTCAGAAGGATGAAATACAAAAAATCTGTCGATTATTGGTGATCCTCTATCATTTGTGAGAGGTTGTCGTCACACTAGTCAAATACTCCCTCCGTCTCATTTTAATAGGCTTGTACCATTTTTCACACAGATTAATAAAACTAACTTAACTAACAATTTTTTCCTTAATCTTTCTAAACTACCCTTATAGAGAAATTAATAAATTAGTAGACAAAACTTTAAATAAAGAGAATTACTTTGGAAAAATTCATCTCAACTCATTGAAAAAAATAAATTTTGACTCTTTTTACTAATCCCAATACAATCAATAAGTACTTAGGTGGTTGGTTAAGTTAAGGGTATATTTGGAATTTCATTAAAAAAATCCATCATAAATAAGGAAACCAGCCTATTAGTGGGACACCCTAAAATAGTAATATAGCCTATTAAAATGGGACGGAGGGAGTATAAATTTACCTACTTAATACAATTACTAATAGTAAAGCAGAAAGTATGGTCTATCCTAGAAGGTTACCAAATACCAGGTCAAACTATTTCTTATTATTATTTAGACAAACTATAATATCTGGACTTTTAAACTAACCTAAACCTAAAACTAATAATTGTATCTAATTTAAGATTAAACAATTAAAAGAAAACTTAGGGCAAAGGGTTTACCAGTCGACTACTTAGTTTAATTCAATCTATAGATATGTGACTTTGAATTTTCATTAATTTAACGACAATTCACCAATTTAAGAATTATACACTCTCGTGTCATAACTCTCTTACTCAAATTAACCCTATGACTACTCTCGTGATTATAGGGATTAATAAAAGTACATTAAGAATTTTGGAATTATTAATCGCGAATGCGGTGTTCTTACTGTCGTGGTTCACTACCTAAGTTTATTATTCTTACGAACTAATACTAATCTTCCACTCTCGCTACTTCAGTTAGCACCTTAAAGTATGTAAATATTGATCAAGTATTCACATGATAAAAAACAAGCATAATAAATATTAATTAATGAAAAAGTCATATATCAAATAAATTAAATAAATTAAAGTAGTACGGCGGCTACAACCAAAACCCTAGATTAGAGTAAATTAGTTACACATCATCTCAAAAATAAATAAAATAATGAAACCCGGAAAAAATCGGCCAAATTCCGAAATTTTGAAGTTTCTTCCATTACTTGCTTTGATCAGTTCTTTCCCTTCTGATGATGATGGTCGCGGAACGTGGGTTTGTGTGCCGGATGAAGGTGGAGAGGTGGTGGTTTGGTGCGTGGGTTGGCCGTGGGTTTTGAGGGGTGTTGGTTGCCAAAATTAATGTATGCAATGTGTTTATATAGGCTCCCCAAATCTTGCACTCCAATCAACCGACCCAAGAACCCTAAGGAAGCTCTCTCTCAAGTGCTGCTGCCAACTTAAGTTCCAGAAATTTCCTTTTAACCCCTAAAGTTTTCAAAAATTGTAAATTGACCTCAAACTTCTTCATTTTTTCGCTTTAGTCCCTAATATGTGTGTCCATACTGGGATTCTCGTCTTTTGCTAGATTTTATTCTTCATCAATTATTCAAATATTCAATCTTGCTCCTATAAGTTGCTCTTTGTCTTGATTTTAGTTTAAAACTTCAATAATTTCTCCACTTAAGTACAATTCATACAATTAAAGATAAATATACATAAATAATATATTTGTACTCAAAATATTAGCAAAATATCGCATAAAAGGATATTAAAAATAGGTAATATATACATATATATATATCAATTTGCTACATCTTGGGGGCGAACCCACCATTTTTTGTAGTAAATGATTTTCTAAAGAAAATTTGGAGAAAATTAGAAACTGATAAGATCTTGCTCGTGGAAAATGGAGTTTATGTTGTTAGATTCTACTCGGTTACAATTACGGAGGCGATGTTGAGAAATAATTTTTATCAGTTTAATAACAAACCTTTGGTGGTAAGGGACTGTGTGGTAGAAGGTTTTAAGCTGGAAGATGTGAAGATGGTCCCTGTTTGGGTGCAATTGCCTAAATTACCATTAAAATATTGGAATGATAAGTCTCTAAGTAGAATAACTAGCTTGATTGGGAAGCATATGGAAATGGATGAGATGACCACTATGAGAGACAAAATTGGCTTTGCTAGAATCTTGGTGAAAGTGGAAATAACAGGAAAAATAGCTATAGAAGTGTGATTTGAGGATGAAAATGGTGTGTTGAAGGAGCAAAAAGTCAAATATGAATAGATGCCAGTGAAATACAGTAAATGTAAGGGCTATGACCATAAAGAAATATAGTGTACAAAACTAGAACTGAAAGCATGGTAGGTGAAGCAGGATAAGGAACAAGCAATTGTTAAGAAAACTATGGAAAACGTCACTACAAGAAAACACCCCAATTACCACGGAATTAAACATGGAAGACATTTTCATGGTTAAATAACTACAATTTACACACAAAATAACCACGAAAGTCACAATAAAATTTTTACCCATGAAATACAAACGGAATAACTACAACTTTACCTACGGATACTAGTAGTCGTAGATAATCCATGATTAATTAAGCCTTTAACTACAAAATACCCACATAAAACTCCGAGGTTAATCTACCCACGAGTGATTCGTGGGCAAAGTAAATATTATCTACGAATTATCCATAAAATCTCTCGTGGTAAATAATTTTTTGGGTATGTTCGTAGCTAATGAAAATATTTCCCACAAATTTACTACGAAAATAATATCTACAAATTCATTTGTGGATAATCTGTGGTTGATTTAAAATTTAAAACATAATATCATATGTTTCGTGTACCTTCTATAGTACAAATATTAAAATTATTTAATTAGACAGATAGTGAAACATATCATGTTACTGTTCTTTCTCTGGGTCCTAAATGTAAAACATTTT